TCCAGCTAGATGGCACAGTTCCGGTATGGATGGAACGATTAAAGATGATAGATAAAGGCAGGGCTAAAGATGTAGCACAGGCCTTTACCAGATAGGCTGGGACCGGATCTGCGGTTTTGGTAAATTTTGGCTTTAGTGACGTCATAATGAGCCTCTCAATGGTATGAGGGGCAAGGTCCAGAAATTGCAACGATTCGTTTGTCCGTCGGGGAAAGTAGGTTGGGGTGAATGAGGCATGATTAAATACAGCAGAGAAATAAGTTTGCAGAATTTGTGCCTTTTCACCATCAGTGGATGCCATTTCACCATTAGTTCCGGATAGGGAAGGGATAGCAGATGGAGGTCTGACCACTGATTTGACGTGCCGATAAAATCGTTTAGCTGCACTCATTCTATCAAGCTTGGAGCTGTTATCCACAAAGTTTAGCTCTTTATGCATAGTTTCTTCGTTGAGAGCCATTTTTAGCTCTTAGACCACATTCTTATATTCAATAGTATTGCCAAAGATACGCCAAATTTTGAACTTTTTCTTGTGGAGATCTGTAATTTTTGCGGAGGGTCGCATTTTGTAGGCTTTTTTTAGCGGAACAAATTCCTCAACAAGTTCAGCTAGAAAGTTATTGAGAATTACTTGAAGCTCTTCAGCATTTCCTTCACGAAATTCCCAAAGCCAGTTCACCCCCGCGATTCTTGCATTCATTTTTTCATAGTCGGCCCGGCGGAAATCCTTTTCTCCGGACACCGTCGGGGCAAAGTGACTCATCACAATATTAAAAGTGACGGACCGGTGATCGCTGAAAGGCTCCCCAACATCCAAGGAATCGATTAGCCCGGGGAGTGGGGTGAGGACAAGGTCTAGAATATTGTGGAATCGAGTAGGAGTTGTGACCAGTTGGGAAAGGCCCATTTTGGAGGCAAAACGGACTAGCTCCTGACAGTTATTACATTTCGTGGACTTTTTGATCCAATCAATATGTGGGGCATTTAGGTCGCCAAGGATAATATAGGGCATAGTTGATTTTGCAAGAATTTTGTGGAAAAATTGTAGCAATGATTGGAAGGACTGGGAATGTAGGGGGTGGTAGCAGAGAATGAGTCGCAGGGCCGTTTTTGTCTTTTTAATAAACAGATCAAGACATAGAACTTCGAGTTCAGTGGAGACATTTAGCTTGCAGATTTTTAGATGGCTGCGATAAATGACTGCTATGCCCCCTCCATGACCTTGTCGGTCTTTTCGCAATATAGAGTAGCCAGGTATGGTTAGAAGAGAGTCAACAATATCATCCTTTAGCCAGGTTTCTGTTATAAAAACAATATCTAGTTCAGTCAATAGTAGCATAGCATTTAATTGTGCCAATTTTGGATAAATAGACCTGGCATTGATTAGGCTAGCACGGATAACCGGATTGCTTACTTGGATTTTTTGTTCCACACAGCAGGCTCGACTCCTTCTGGATAGACACGACGAGTCAGTTTCAGGTTCCGCACAGTCCAAATTGCTTTCCCAGCCTTGAGGTTGAGCTCGAATGCTTGTTTCCAGGCTGCCTGATAAATCAGGCTGTCCGTGACCGAATAATTGGGTCTGGAATTCAGACCTTTCTGGCGATTGACCGGATGATTGACGGCCTTCATGAAGGTTTGAGCAGCTTGGATAGTGTCGAATTGGACAATCAAGGGTCTTGGCGAAGAGGCTGTTGCTGGCCTCTTGCCGCCCAGCCGAAAAAACCTTGGTCGGAGCGGTGAATTGGGGAACATTGGTCAAGTCGATTTTTTGGGGAAGAGCATCGACCTCATCGGTCTCAGATTCGGGCAGCCCTTTTAGGAATACTTGCTTCTCACGTTCATCCGCGGAATCATGGTCCTGGAGGACCTGTTTGATGGCAACTAGTTGAGGAATAGAGGCTTTTGCTGCCATCGTGGCATAGGAAGCGGGGACCGGGATAGTCGCCGAATTTTTCATCAATCCTTCGACAGTTCGTTGGAGCATCTCAACTTTTCCGGTGAGAGCCACAACCAAAGTTTTCAGTTGGTCGATGGTGTGTGCCTGTGAGTCAATCATAGCGGCATTGACGAAAGCGTCAGCTTTTTCGAAGGTGTAGATGGGATTTACGGAAGCAGTAGGGAATTTTTTTGGTGGGCAGAGCGAGGTGAACGCCAATGGATGGGGACTACAGAACTCCCGGGTAGCCGAATTGGCAGGAGAATCATTAGGGGAATCAGTCATGGGCCTTTTTTGGGCCGGTTGGGAAGGCATACGGTAGCACTTTCCAGCCGCCTCACAAGCCGAGGACAAGGGGGAGAGTGAGGACAAGGGGGAGAGTGAGGACAAGGGGGAGAGTGAGGACAAGGGGGAGAGTTCTCAAATAAAATGCTAGTAGCCGTTAATTTGAGGCAAAGTCCGTTCCAAAAGGTTCAAATTCGTTGTAAAATCGCTTAAGGTGTAAAAAATGTAGAATAAAAAAAGTGTGATAAGGGTTCATGCAAATAAGCCGTTTCACGTGCTTACGAATCGTGTAACTATGGTTCCGATCGAATACTTCTGCGTCCAGTTTGAGGCATTATTTTTTTTAAATGAATTTGTGTTTGTAAATTTAAATTTTGTGGTAAAAATCGACACCTTCGTTGCTAAAAAACAATTAGCATACACGGAAAGTCGGGGGAGCTTCTTTCATGATTTCTCATCGAAATTCGGGCGAGTTATGCAAGTGAAGGATTTCGTGTGCTCATTAGGAGTGCTTTTTTGAGTCATACGCAATAATTTCGAATTGCATTCGATAGAGAATTTCATCCGGTGTGGCGCTAGGAGGTTTATTTTTGCAGAATGGCCGTCCGGAATTTTATAAAATTAAAAAAAAACTAAATTAGTATTTTCCTGCGTCGCTCGGCGCGCGCTGATGGTAGGTAGAGATAGCCCCCGGGGCACGGCCCGGCCCGCACTTCCCCAATCACCATCAGCAATAGCGCAATTGGTAGCGCGGTTGCCTTTCAGACTTTTTTTTTGCACTTCTTTGGCAGGTTCGGTTCTTCCACGTGTGATTTCTTTTGCTTTGAACTTTTATAGCTTAAACCTCATCGCGCTACCCAGAACGAAATTCTCGATCGACTACACTATCTTTCGAAATGATTTGCGTATGGCTCAAAAAAGCACTCCTTACCCGACCGATAATGCGAAAGAACCGGAATTCCTAATGGAAAAGTGAGACAAGTTGCATACAGTACTGGCCAAAATTCTATCATAGTTCGGTTTTTAGGCTATAACTTCGCGGGGCTCGGGTGGTTCTTCCTGAAATTTACACACAATGTTGGCTAAAGTGCAATATACTTGCTGTAGTGTTTTTATAATTTTTCGATTTAGCGTCGGCGCGCGTACGGTAACATTTTGTCGAGCAGATAATAGGTTCCAAAAATTAACTTTGTTTAAGGAATTTTCAGATATCGAAAACATGTCCAGTGTGCTCAGCAGGATCGAAAACCCTTACTGCAGCGACTTCGTAAAATTTGGGAGCCGGGAAGGGCCTTTTTGGGTGCATGGAAGATGGGAGTTTGGCACCTTGGGGGCCCTGTCGGAGGAGGACATTTCTACCCCCGCGCGACCAACTTCCAGGGCCGATTAGAGCCACTTCCCGGCTCCCAAATTTTACGAAATTGCTACAGTAAAGGTTCCCGACCCTGCTAAACACGCTGGACATGTTTTCGAAATCGGAAAATTCCTTAAACAAAGTTAATTTTTGGATCCTATTATCTGCTCGACAAAATGTTACCGTACGCGCCGACGCTAAATCGAAAAATTATAAAAACACTACAGCAAGTATATTGCACTTTAGCCAACATTGTGTGTAAATTTCAGGAAGAACCACCCGAGCCCCGCGAAGCTATAGCCTAAAAACCAAAATATGGTGGAATTTTGGCCAGCACTGCACCAGCGTCCAGTCTCATATAACATTGTCTTGCCTCCCCTTTAGAAAACCGCTTTTTCAGTCGTGGTGGGATGACCTGAAGCAATGGCTGAAGAAGTTCAGAAATCAGGTTAAAATTCCTTCTAATCTGATTTAATTATTATACTAATGGTACATGTAATAATAAAAATAACAGAATGTTATAGAGAATTTTTCTAAACATCCTGCACTAGCTATTTATTTCTAAAAAACCTATGCCGAAGCCGTTTATGTGCATCGAAAATAGCTGATTTGTGGCGGTTTTAGGATTAAACGGTTCCTGACTTTTGAGAAAGAAATTCATAACGCTTAGGCAGAATCGGCGGCTATATTCGGAATTAGCACTAAACTCTGCACAAAATAGGCTTGATCCCATCCGAAAGTTCGGATGACACTCGGAAACGTCTACAGGGTGTCCCAAAAAAAACCCCCCCCCCCTCGGCATTTGGCCGTCTTCTATCCCATCGGGACCAAATTTTTACCAGTGATGGGGACCCATAAAAACTATGTGCAGCCGAATTTTCTAAGCAAAATACTATAAAACAAAAAAGTTATCGCTAAAAACTGATTTTTGGGAAAGGCTAGTACCGATTTTTCGCTATGTTTTGGCAATTAGCATGCCGATTTTGAGTAATTTTCCCAAAAATCGTCATTTTCGGGTCCATTTCTGTCCGTTTTGATAATAAAAATTGATGAAAAGTCCCGTTTTTGACGTAATTTTCGTAAATCAAAAAATTTCTCCGGGTGGAAAAAAGTGCCCTCTTCAGTTTTGCTAAACATTTCGAGGCCCTAATCCATCAAAATCCTAGTGAAATCGGCAAAATAAACCTTAATTTGAATAGAACTTTTTTGTCTTACAATATTTTGCGTCGAAAATTCGGCTGTTTATGGGTCCCCACCACTGGTAAAAATTTGGCCCCGATCCGATAGAAGACGGCCAAATGCCGAGGGGGGGTTTTTTTGGGACACCCTGTACTTGTCAGTGCTCAACCTTCACTTCGGAACCTTTCCGGTTAAAGATCAACTAAATGATTTCAGGAGAACGGGGGAGAAGACGAGCGTGGGATGCGCTGGACGCAACACACCAGTCAGCAATTGGCGCTCATGGTGGGTGTGCTACTATGAATCACCATGAATTACGATGATTACGGTTCTCGAGATAATTGGATAATCGAGATAATCTCTTTTTTTTTTTGGTCCACCCGGTACCGGGTGTTCCAAAAAAATCGTACCTTTCCACCGTAGCCGGTATTTGGCCCAAGATAAAAAAATTCCCGTTGATTATAGGCCAAGCTCCGATCCACTGGCTACGCGGTTTTTACTACATTCATCCCCGCCGGTGTTGCCAGTCCGTGCCTCCTGGATGACGAGGGAATAATCGTGTGGGCAGAGCCGTCCCCATATCATACGTTGTCGGTTGGTGGTTACAGTTGTTCAAAAAAACAATAAAGGATATCCCAACCCCCCCCCCCGCCCTACCGGTCGGCAGTCGGGTCCGATTTTGGTTCTATACCGGGTCCTTAAAAATCAGGATCCTTGATAAAAAGAAGGGTCCTTAGAATTTTTATGTTAAAGGGATGTCGACGGCATAGGCATTCGGTTACGCGCTGGAAAGAAAATGTCTCTGCGCCTCTCCCCAGCGCGCGCTCTCTGCCCTGTTGGCTACTTGCCAATTTGTTGATGGGGAGGGGGGGGGGGCGGGATCGACACATGCCGTCGGCAGCCCTTTAAGGGCCCTTGTCCCGACAGGGGTCCTTAAAGGGCTGCCGACGGCATGTGTCGATCCCCCCTCATCAACAAATTGGCAAGTAGCCAACAGGGGAGAGAGCGCGCCCAGGGAAGAGGCGCAGAGACATTTTCTTTTTCCGCGCGTAACCGATTGACTATGCCGTCGGCATCCCTTTAAAACCCATACGATTTTTAAGGACCCCGATTCCGCCAATACCCAAAGATACGCTATTTTCGCGGATTTTGCACAGATTTGGGCTCGATTCCCCTTTTAAGTTAAACGGCTTTCTTACACCCAGTCTGTCTGAGCCTAGAAATAAGGGCTCGAGCCACCGGGAGCCTAGTCGCTTCGGATGGATGCCTGACGTATCATAATGCTCCAATTGTGCTCATGCCGACAGAAATTTCCACAAAATCTGATGTTTTAAGTTTTTTAGGACACCCTTTATTTGTGTAATTTCAGGAGCGCGACATCGTGATCTCAATTGGCGGCTGCGGCGAGGTCAGCAGCAGCAATCTCACCCGCCGCAATGTCCCTCGCTATCTGACTATCGGACGCTTCCAGGTAGTTTGATAACCGGAATTGAGAGAGGGGCAGGCTAGCACAGATCACTAGGGAATTGAGAGAGGGGCAGGCTAGCAGAGATCACTAGGGAATTGAGAGAGGGGTAGGCTAGCACAGATCACTAGGGAATAATCGCAATCTTCTTGGTCTCAGGAATAATCTTTGATTATCAGGAAACCACTGCCACGATGACCGAGGGCACGGACGATTTTGTGCCAGTGAGGTTTTCGAGTAGATCAAACCCTGTAGGCTAGCCTAGATCACCAGGGAATTGAGAGTGGGCAGGCCGTAATAACACATCTGTTTAGGAATACCCGCAACAGCCCCTGATCGATGTCATCAACAACCACAGCCTCATCGCGTTGCTGTTCAGCGGCTATGTCTGCGCAGTATGCGTCTGGAGCAGCAAAACACTGCGCCCGTACCACGGCATTCAACTGTGCGCCGTCCACCGGAACCAATTGAGGTGTTCCCTAATTCCTCGGATCATACTTTTTTTCGCAGCCGGAAACAACCACCTGGCGAATGCGTCGATTACAAAGGCCATGGTTTCCTGCGACTCACGCATAGTCGTAAGTTATTTTTTCCTGGTCTTCAGAGCATGTGACTTCCAGAGCCACGTGACTGCCATGCTTGCACGACGATCATTGTTCGGCAGCTCACCGGCGGCGGCGGTTGATGGATGAACTACAAATGCGAATGGCTTCATCAACATTAACCTTTCATTACCTGTCGAATCCATACTATGATCAATTAATCTCCCCTCCTCCCATTTAGTTGTGATGTGCTACAAGCCGGTCAGGCCATACTTGCGAATAAATGTTGGTGCTTTCGACAGACACCGGACCTGCAGACGAAGCTAAAATTAGAAGTCGGTGATATCCTAGATCTCAGAAGCGAGCAGGAGCGGCCTTGCTGGAGCTCAAAAACTGTTGAGGCAAGATCTGCCGCACTGTAAAGTGTTTTTACTCAAGTTGGAATCTCGATTTGGGGCCAAGTGCATCTTGTGCAGAATTTTTCGCTGATCCCGAATCCGCTTTCCAAATTTGCTGCGGACTCTTATTTTGAAAGTTGTACGGCAATTTTGGTAGTGTTTTTCACCAAAATCAAGGTACCGTTATCGTTTTCGATTTTCTTGATCAATTTCAACGTCAAATCGGCTAGAAATTGGCTAGACAAGCCTCCTAAAGGTAAAACAAGCTTTTTTCAGAAAAAATTAGATGTGTTTGGCAAAAAGCAAAAGAAAGGATGCAGGCGGGGATTCGAACCGCCGCCCTGCGCTTGGCAAGCGAGCACTTTGCCAATGCACCATGGTCGCCAAAAGTGACTTTTTAAATAAAAGTCCGCAGCAAATTTGGAAACGGGATTCGGAATCAGCAAAAAAATTCTGCACAAGTTGCACTTGGTCCCGAATGGAAACTCCAACTTGAGTAAAAACACTTTACAGCCAGATGAAAAGCGAGCAGGAGTCACGCGTCCCCGTCCGAACATTCGCATAAAGTTTTGCGGACGGACGCGGACGCGTCCTGGACGGGCGGGCGGACGGCGGACGCAGGAAGTAACTGCGTTCGCGATGCAAATGAGAAAATCCGATTCAGATCAACATGGGGCAAATAGTTCTAGATTTCTTGGCGCGCAAATTTGCCTAAAACTGGGCAAAAAAGGGCCAATTTTCGGCACGTCTACTATTAGTCGACGACAATAATGCAAATTCGCCACAAAACTTTGCGAATAGTGTAAAATTCGTGGGAATTCGAGTTTGCGATTTGAGTTCAAATTACTATCATGTAATTTGCATCGCGGACGGTAGGCAGGGACGTAGCGTAAGGTGGGCCCCTGGGCTCGCCCCCTCCCCCGAAATCGGCCCCGAAAACTTCATAAGGGGGGACCCTTATGATTTTTATTTTCTCAAAAATTTTGCTGCCTGCGGCGCTATTTTTTCACGTTTTTACTGCTATGTTGCCTTTGTTTGCAAATTTTTTCGCCTGCGGCGCTGTTTTCTCGTTAATTTGTTGAGTTTTTCGGAGAAAACTTTTCCGGGCCCCCCGAAATTTTTTTTCTGGCTACGCCGTTGACGGTACGTACGCTCGCCGTCCGCCGTCCGCCCTGCGTCCGTCCCGTCCGTCCGCGACGTGTCCGCGTCCGGCCGCAGAATTTTATGCTAATGAGACGGCGGACGGGACGCGTTCCGTCTCGGACGCGGACCGGACGCAAAAGGAACAACCCTGGCGTCAATCCAAAAGCGAGCACGAGCAGCGATAGACTAGGATAAAAATTGTTGAGGCCAGATCGTCCTCAGGTCAAAAGGGAGCAGGAGAAGCGTTACTGCTGCTCAAAATGTTGTGAGGCCTGAACCATGGTAAAATTCGACTGTCGAAGTACAGTACTTCGAAGTCCATAGTCAGCGTGATTTGCGCAAGTCGGTTGTTGATCACCTTGTTGTTGACGGCAATTTGCCTGGCACACTATTTATCGAAAAATAAAGTAAATACAAAAACGATACAGGGTTTAAAAAAACAGAGAAATGTTCGTTTGGTCGCTATTGGCTATTTCGAAGGGATTTTTTCGGGTTTTTTTTAGAATTTTCCACGGCTGGCAGATCGCATGACGGCAACAGAGGCAGATCCCTGGAGGCCGCCACCACCTGGGGCCATCGAACCGACGCGGGACTTGGCGCTGAAAAAATAGAATTTTGAAGGGTTTTTGCCAGTTTTCCCGGATTTTTCTAAAGAGTACCTGCTCGTTTGCTTAATATTGGCCTTTGCTAGTTCCCCGGTTTCCCAAAGAATTTCTGCTCGTTTTCTTGGTGTTCTTGAACGATTTTGCCAGTTTTCTTGGGTTTTCCCCAAAGAATTCCTGGTAAGTTGCCTTGGTTTTCCTAAAGAATCACTGCTAGTTTGTCTTAGATTTTCTCAAGGGTTGCTGCTATTTTCCTCCCCGATTTCTAAAGAATCCCTGCTAGTTTGCTTGGACTTCCTGAATTCTCTTTGCTTCCCGGATCTTCCTTAGGAATCTGCGCTAGTTTGCCCGCTTTTTCCTGCCCCTGCTAGTTTGCTTTTTTTCTAAAGTGCCTCTGCTTGTGTGCCTAATTTTAAGAGCTTTTTTCAGAAATTCCGGCAAATTCTCTAAGAATCCATGCTAGCTATCCCTCGTCGTGTCAAATTTTTAGATTCCTCAAAAATCCCTGCTAGTTTGCCTCCCAATTTTTGTCGCAGCCAAATTTTGGCTTGTTTTTCCCTAACAATCTCTTCCAGCCAGCCCCTTTCTCCGGATACTGACCGTAGTTTGGAGACGGAATTCTCGGCCATGTCGGCCCTCTCCTCAGCGTCTTCGAGCTGGTGCTGGATCTGGCGGTATTTGCCGAGGTGGACATTCGCTTGTTCTTCCTGAAAAGTGGACCGTGAATTTAGTGACCATTAATGTCTGGTGCTTACGGCTTCATCGATCTGTTTCTTCTGTTGTTTCAGCTTGTTTTGGAGTTTGTCGACGAGTTCGTTGAGGCGATCAAAGTTCTTCTTATCCTCGTTCATCTGACGAGGGTTTTTAGCGTTTTAAAGGGATGGTGACAGCTAGGTTCAGGAGAGAGAGAGCGAGTGAGATTGAGAAAGAGAGTGAGAGACAGCGAGTTAGAGTGAGAGAGATAAAGACAACGATATAGAAATATAGTGAATGCGAGAGAGAGAGAGAGAGAGAGAGAGAGAGAGAGAGAGATGGACTGCAAGCGATTGAGAATGAGATAGAGTGAGAGAGAGACATGGTGAGTGAGAGAAAGAGAGTGAGCGAAACAGAAAGCGAGAGAGCGAGAGAGAAAGCGAGAGAGAGTAAATGCGAGAGAGAGAAAGCGAGAGAGCGATCGAGAGAAATCGAGAGAAAGCGAGAGAAAGCGACAACTTCCTCTCGTAATCATTTACCTGGAACTCGAGCTCCTTGACCTTTCTCTCGGCCTTGCTCAAGTCCTTATTGGCCATCTGGAATCGTCGTTGTTCTCCATCCAGCTCGCTCTCCAGGTCGCGGGACCTCTTCTCGAGTTGTTGAATCACCTAAAGATCACTTTTAGAATTTTTTTGAATTCGGGGGAGGCCCAGTTTTTCTCCACTAACTTATTATGGCACCCTAGCTGAATATATACAATTGCTTTGCATTTCTCCACATTTTTTCGATTTAAAAGTTCTAAAAAAAAATTTGCAAAATGTTCGAATTTTTTGACTTTTCGTCAAAAATCTATGAAAAATGACAAAAAAATGTTCAAATGCTAATTTTCAAAAATTTTCACAAGTTTTATAACTTCCTGGGTGTCCAAGGCTTCCAAGAACACTATGAAAATACACGATAGTTTATTAATAGGCTGATTTTCATCCTGTCGAAAATCATTTTGACGCATTTCAGCTCATTAAAATGCCGACAAAATGTTGACATAATTATGAATCCGAATTAGAAGCAAACCAGGGTTGAAAAGCCGCTTCGCGACTTTTCAACCCGGCCCCCGGGTCCCTTGCATATATATTGCATTAATATTACGAATTACGCTAGCGATAGGCACACCACAGGAATTACTTGAGCAACCGACTCGGAACCCCGGAAAGCCCAGAATGGGCCGCATTAATCCTCGTATGCAAATTGGCCTATTTCCATGTGTTTGAACAACTTTAAAATAAGGTATTAAACGACATTTTTATGAAAATCTGATAAGCGTGCAGTAATCTACGCCGTCGATTACCCCTTACTACCTTACTTTCGGACCATAAAATCCTTTCCCCTTCGGTTTGACTGGAACCCGGGTTTTTATGCAAGTGTCCACACACGTACTATTTTTATTGTGGATCAATGGTAAATAGGAATTTACCCTTCCCCCCGTTAAGCGAAAAGAACCGCCGTACCTTTTTTCCACCCTTGAGAGCGGCAGCCTCGGCCTCATCGAGACGAGTCTGGAATTCCCTCAATGTCTGCTCGAGGGCTTTCTTTGCCCTATCAACATTCTGTGTATGATCTTGTTCCTGTCGGAGGGCATCTGCCAGTTTTGCCGCATCAGCCATTGCCCTTGTCGCGTTGTCTTGGGCCGTTCTGTACTCGGAGATTGTCTCGTCCAAGTCGGCGTGCAGCGCCTGGATTTCGGTCTCGAGCTTGCGCTTCGCTTGCTGAAGAGAGCCGAGCTGGCCGCTGAAAATTGAGAATTTTTAAAGGATTATCGTTGTTTTATTGATTACGCCATTAAATTGAACTAATTATTGATATGTAACCGATTACGCCACTTTATTCATGTCGTAATCGATAAAGCCATCTGATTTTCGTGCCGTAATCGATTACGAAACATTATTTTCCCGCCATAAACGATTAGCTCAGGTTATTTTAATGTCCTAATCGAATACGCTGCGTTTATTTTAACGCCGTGATCGATTGAGCCTCGTTTATTTCTGCCGTAATCGATTAAGCCGTCTTCCTTTCACGCCGTAATCGATTAGGCCATATTATTTTGATGTCATAAGCGATTATGCAATCTTATTTTAAAGTAATAATCGCTTAGCCATATTTTTTGATGTCAGAATCGATTAAACCGCCTTTATTTTCCTGCCGTAATCGATTACTCCATATTAATTTGATGTCGTAAACGATTGCGCTATTCCTGATCGATCGCTTAAGGACTAAGGAATTTAATGCCGTAACGGTTTTTGGTGGGGCTAATTAGGTCGCGTAACCGGTTAATTTCCATGGATTTTATTCAAAATTTACGGTTTAAACCACGCAATTTCCGAGGTATTTTTGACAATTTTTGAGCACGCACCTGTAATCAGCCGCCTGGGCCTGAGCCTCCGCCGCATCAGTCTCAGCCTGGCGACGAGCACGAAGCGACGACTCGAGAGAGAGCGCCAACTCCTCGCGCTCGGACTGGAGCATGGTGGCCTTCTTCTCGGCGCCAAAGTACTGCTCCCTGGCCTCCTCCTTATGCCGTTGCTCCTCTTCCACCTGTCGCTGCAGCTCGCTCACTTGATCCTGGTGCTTCTTCAGGTTGCGCTGCGCCTCAGCGTTTGCCTGGTTGGCATGATCCAGTGCGAGCTCGAGCTCCCCGATATCCGACTCCAACTTCTTCCTGATCCTCGCCAAGTCGGTCTTTGCCTTTTGCTCATTCTCCAATGCCGATTGCATGCTCTCCATGGCCCTCTGGTGGTTCTTCCTGGTGTTCTCGAACTCCTCCTCCTTCTCCTGGATCCTCTTCTCGATCTCGGCGCGGATCTGGGTCACCTCGACTTGAGCACGAAGCACCTTGCTCTCCTCAGCCTCGAGGGCAGCCTCGGCTTCGTCGACGGCGTGTTGCAGTTCCTCCTTCTCGAGCTCGAGGGTACGGACGATACGCTGCATCTCCTGCACCGAGCGACCGCCGTCGTTCAGTTGGCCCTAGAAAGAATGCGTTTTTTGTGAAACGAAGCTTGCGTAGAATTTGACGCCGAATTCATAAAAAGCATCAGAATTTTTAAAACTCGCATTTTCAACCAGAAATCCAGAATTGAGTGGCTATTTTGCGAGGTTTCGCCATTTCTCGTGACGCTTGAAAAGCGTATCGTACGCAGAATTTGATGTTGAATTTCGAAATAACATTCGTTTTGGGGTGTCGTCGTTTTTTAGATAAAACTCTCTTAGTCGTTTGATTTAGTCGAATTTCAGCTTTGGGTTTTTTCTGGCCGCCATTTTTAACGAGTTTGACGCTTACAAGAATGAAGCATTTTTAAGCTTGAATTCTAGCCTAAAACCGGCCAAGAAAAGTGGAAAATCAAATCATCAAAAATCACGAAGAATGGCATTTTTTTGAAAATGGAAAATTTAGCATTTTCGAGCTTTCCTCATTAATACCAATAAAAATTAGTTTTATAAACGTAAAATCCCCATAGTCTATTTTTTTGCGTCAAAATTCGAAAAAAATCACCTTCAACGAATGCAAGACACAACGTAGAATTTTTCGAACTTTTGAATTTCTCACTTTTTGTTACTTTTCTCGTTCCAATAGCTTAAAAAATAGCCTACTAAAATAATATTTACGAATTCTGCGTTTTTAATTGAAATTTAGACGTGAAATAACAAAAATCCCGAAATTCTTAATTTTGCGAAAATCGAAAATTTCGCATTTTTCGCGTTTTCTCATTAAAATTAATAAAAATTTGCCTAGTTAAAAGTATAATCCATACTGACCTGAAGATCGCGAATCTCCTGCGTGAGGCCTCCGTTCTCCCTCCTCAACTCCTCAGCCACCGACTTCAACTCGTCGGCGGCCGCCTTGGCCCTCAACAGGTCCGTCTGCGCATTCCTCGAGTCCCTGAGCGCGATCTCATGATCCTGCGACAATTCGTCAATCTTCCTCCTCCAGTCATCGATAATCTTATCGAATCCCTTCTGCTTCTTCTCCAGCCCGGACACGTAGTTATTGGCCCTCTCGACCTCCCCCTGGGCCTCATCCAGCTCCGCGCTCAACCTCCCCTTCGTCTTCTCCAGGCTCCCAATCTTGGTCGTCGCCTGGCTGAGCACCGCTTGAAGTTCATTGATCTTGTGCTGCTGGCGGCGCCGCACTTCTTCAAGTTCTTCGCCCTTCAGCAGCCCCTCCCCTTCGAGCTTGGCCTTCCAGTTCTGGATCTCGCCGTTGACACGAGAAAGCTGGCGCAGGAGCTCGGCCTTGGCCTCGTTCTCCTCTTCGATGGCCTCCCGAATAGACTCGGCCTCATGCTGATAGTTCTTGGCCTGGGCTGCGTATTGCTGCCGCTCGCGGCCCTCCTCTTCTACCGTTCGCTTGGCCTCCTCGAGCTGGCTGGCCAGTTGGGTCTTCGAGCGGGTCAGCTGGTTCAGCTGCGACTCGGCGTCCTCGATCTGCTTCATCAGATCGCCGTTGGTTCCAGAGAGGCGGGCCTTGTTCGCGTTGTACTCGGCGATCTGCCTCGCCTGTTCATCAGCCTTCGTGCGCAACTCGGACAGCTGGATCTCCAACTGTTTGCACAGTTTCTCGTTGTGCATCTTGGCGGACGTCTCGGCGTCGATGGAGGCCTGAACCTCATCAGCATCGTGGAGGGCAGCCGCCCTGTCCTTCTCGGCCTTGACCTTGGCCTTTTGGATCTGGTCGAGCTGGTCGGTGAGTTCAGACACGGTGTCGGTGTGCTTCTTCTTGAGGGCGGCAAGTTGGTTCTCGTGGTTCTGGTGGGCCTCCTCGAGTTGGTGGCGGAGCTTGGCGAGCTCGGCCTCGCGCTTCTTGTTCAGCTCCACCTGGGCGGAGGTCATGCCTGAAATAAAGGTTTTTAATTTAATTTGGTAGCTTTGGATTAAAGGGATCGGTAAGGCAACGCTGTAGATTTCTTAGTCCGGGATTTCCTAGGAATTTTCCTAACGCCGCGACGCGCAACGCACACGTCGCTCCGTGAACCGGAAGGTGCAATCGATTACGCCATAAAAAAGAATGAATGACCATGAATTAGGTGCGTTGAGTGTCGCGGTCGCAGTAAATTGGATAGCAGGTCAAAACGCTTGTCATTTTCTTGGAAATTCGACCGCCCGTGACGCGCAACGCGCACGCCGTTCTCAAAAGCCGTAATCGATTATCCCATAAAAATTCGGTGGCGCGCGTTGCGTGTCGAGGTCGCGGCAAAAGCACCGCAGCAGCGGAAGGGTGACTAGGGTTTTTGTCTAAATATTGGCAGGGCCGCGACACGCAACGCGCACGCCGCTCTCAAAGGCCCGTAGACGATTACGCCGCAAAAACTCGGTGGCGCGCGTTGCGTATCGCGGTCGCGGTCAATTGGATAGCAGGCAAAAACGCTGGTGGTTTTGCTTCGAAAGTTAGCTCGCGCCGCGACACGCAACGCGCTCGCCCTTTAAATGGCGCCGTATTCGATGACGCCATGAAAAGGCTCTCGGCGCGTTGCGTATCGCGGTCGCGGTAAATTGGTCGGCAAATAAAAACGCTAGGGATTTTCTTGAAAATTTACCCGCGCCCGCGACACGCAACGCGCACGCCGCTCTCAATGACGCCTAAACGATTACGCCATGAAAACGGCGGTCGCGCGTGGTGCGTGTCGCGGCTGATAAAAAACCCGCTTTAAATTCTTACCTCCAGCCTCATCCAGCCTATCATTAAGATTGTCGAGTTCCCTCTGCAAATCGGTCTTGCTCCTCTCGGCGCGGGCACGATTTTGGCGCTCAGTCTCGACCTCGTCCTCCAGCTCGGCCAGCCTGTTGGTCCCGTCACGAAGTTGGCGCTGCAGCTTTCCGGAGAGCGACTGCTCCTCCTCCAGCTTTCCGACAATCGCCTGGTGCTCGGAGTCCTTCTTCTTCAGGTTCGACTCCAAATCACCGCGAGCACGAGCGATATCCTCGAGTTTCTCCTGCTGAACCGAGAGTTCACCCTCAACCTTCCGCTTCTGCTTCTCGATATCGCTCCTGGCTCGCTTCTCCCGCTCCAGAGCATCTTCAAGGTCATCCAGAGCTCGCTCCAGCTTCTGCTTGGTCTTGGTGGTCATGTTGTTCTTGTCCTCCTCCCCTTGGAGGTCCTCCACCAACTTCCTGTTCATCTCCTCCTGGGCCTTCTTCTCCTTGTTCAACTTGGCGATCGTCTCGTCCTGGTTGGCCATTTCGTCTTGAAGGGTGCGGATTTGTCCTTCTTTAGCCTGCTTCTCCTCCTCGACCTTGGCCAGATTGGCCTCAAGATCCCCGAGCTGCTTCCTCAGGTTCTCCAGCTCGTTCTCCACCTTCTTCCTCGCCCGCTGCACATCATTGTTCCTGTCCTCCTGATCGGCCAGCAGATCGTTCAGCTCGTTGACCTGCTTGGCGGCGTCGGTGGATTGGGACTGGAGCTTGGACAGCTTCTCCTCAACCCCGCTCAGGTCCGCCTTGACCTTCTCCAACTCGCCGAACGCCGAGTTCTTGTCCTCAACGAGCTTGGCGTGCTGGGACTCCATCTCCTTCCTCTTGGCCTCCTCCTCGACGATGAGCACCTTCATCTCCTCGATTTTCTTGGCCATCTTCTCGACCTCTTCGCCCTCCTTTCCGCACTTGAGCATCGGGCGGATCTTTCCGAAGAGGAGGTACCAATCCCAGGTACGGACCACGGTCCAGGTACGGATGTTGCGGTGGAGCACGAGGAGACCGCTACGTTGAAGGGTACGGCGACGGGCTTCCGCCTGAAATTAGAGAGTTACACGATTTCGCAGGCGTGCCCGATTTTTACGATTTAGGTATCTTTAGAAAGCTCTCGGAAAGACGAGTCGACATGTGCGCTTAGATTTTCGAAATTCTGCAATTTTTCGCTCGGAATTTGCCATTTTTCATGCAAAAATCACATGTTTTTTTCTTCGCCAAAATGCCCTACTTTGCTCCTTTTTGCTGTAACTATTTGATTTTACGGTATTTCGCGCTGAAATCAAATTTCTCGGTATATTTTTCGATGCTCTATCTAATGGCGTTAAAGAATTTTTATTAAAGTACCGAAAATATCGAAAACGAGCTTTTTCTATTCAACATTTCTATGTGCAAACCAGTCCTAAAGATTTCTTACTGTAATTTTTGGAGAGTAGCCTATTTTTAGCTGTTGAAAAATGCGAAAAAATGGCGGAAATATCGAAAATTTTTGGGACCATCGTTTGGGGCTTTAAGGTTTTTCCAAAAAGTTGCCCACCTTAGCCAGGTAGTACCGAATCGACGCTTGGAATCCGGTGAAGACAGTGCCCAGCTTTTCGTCGCGCAGATCCTCAAGCGCGGCCAGGATACCGGCTTTGAAGAACACCTAAAACCGAGCGTCTTCGAGCAGTTCGACTCTCCTACCTTGGTCTTTCCGACCCTGAAGTTCTCATCCGTCAGTCCGCCCTCGTTGACAATCTTGCTGAGGATGGCCTCCGAGCACTTCTTTTGATCCGGGTCAGACTTTGCCTCAGCGGCAGCCAGGATGGCGTATCGTTGGACAAAGTCCGGGTGTTGGGTACGGTTGGGGAATCCCTTGCGGCAAATACGGATACCCTCGAGCACACCGTTGCAAGTCAGTTGGTTCATGACAAGGGCCGCGTCGAGGACTCCGGACTGCTTCTTCTCGTTGGGGATGATGCAACTGGAATTGGATGGGTTTTGTTAGCATAGCTAAAGTTTCCGGCTAAAGTCTAGGCTTACGGAGTTGGCAAGGGTACTAAAATGCATCCCTTGATCTACAGAACAAGCCTACCGTGCGTTTAAGTCGAAAAACGCGCAAAATAGCAAATATTTGAGTTAAAGCACCTGGCACGTCACTGGTCACTAGTCTTTTCAAACTTTAAAATCTTCTACAACAGTTTCTAGCAATTATTGGCGCTATAAAACAATTTTTCTTTGAAGGGTTTCCGACCAAGGCGAGCATTTTGAGATATTTGGCGCATGAATAGGGCTTATGACTGAGTGGCTGGGGAAGGCTCCTTTGAAAGGCGTCCAATTTCGAGATACAAACTAGTGAGGTAAACAGCACTATTTTTCTAATCGAGACGCGACGCCCAGTCTTTCATCAGATTTTAGAAAGACCAAAAATCTGCCAATTCCGGCTAATTTGTTGAAGCCCGCTAAAACTTTTGACATTGCGCTCCTGCGCTAAATTGGAAAGGAGACTCGGAACCAGCAAGAATCAACAAGCTCCTTTTCTACGGTATCTGCTTTTTCTATGCGTCTGCCGATACGTTGACGCAAAATTGATTAGTAGCAGCGAGATGTGATACACGGTACGATTTTCGCTCTCGCTCTCTCTCTCTCTCTCTCTCTCTCTCTCTGTCTCTCTCTCTTACCGAATGAAGTGCGGATGCGTCTTGTGCAACATGGTCATCAGCTTGTTCAGCGACTCTCGATACAGCATCGACACCGTCATCATAGATCCAGACTTTCCCTTCTTCTTTCCACCACCTCCGCCCTCCTTCGCGGCGACGGCGGCCTCTTCTTGGGTCTGATAGTCGGCCCAGATCGTCTTCATCAGCTCGGTGCCACCCTTCATGACCCCGACGACAGTATCGTTGAGTGGATCCTTGTTCTTCTCCAGCCAATTCAGCACATTGTACCGTACAGTACCAGCATAATGACGCATGGCAAAGTGGGCCTCGGCCTGTTTGCCCTTTGGCGGCTTCGGCTTCTCGAAGTTGGGGTGCTTGCCGAGGTGTTGATCGGACAATTTTTGGGCGAGGGTCATGTCGGTGGCCTTGGGGACGATACATTCTTCGTCCAACATGGAGATGATACCCATCGGTTTCTCGATCAGCTCGATACATGCCTGAAAAAGTGGGATTTGGGAGGCATCTAGGTAGCGAACGAGTTGGTACGCTACCATTTAGTATTAGCTCTATATCTCGGAGTAGAAGCATCAGATCGTAACGATTTCTATACCATTCGAAAGCTCTTAAATATCCGCATTTTTTCAATGCTAAAATATTTACATTTTGATCTCAAAAACCGACTCAGCCATATAAAAAGTTTGTGGCTTTTTACGAAATCGCGCGTTCCTAAAAAAGTAACATGCAATGGAATTTTGAGGTTTTTAGACATCAGATCATCTTTTTGAAAATTTTTGGCGAAAAGGCAAAATCTTGGCGGTGACCAGGAATCGAACCCTTGACTAATTGCTTGGTAATCCTGCACATTTACCATTACACCAAGGAACTAATCGGCCACTAAGGCTTAATGTTAGGTTTATAAAAGATGGAACTACGCGGTTTTGTTCGCCTTGCCAAGAGCTATCGATTGATACCGAAATCGTTAAGATCTGATGCTTCTACGCCGAGATACAGTGGATTGAATAAGCCCGACAAATTCAAGGAGTTCAAAAACCAACCTGAAGATCGAGGCCGAAATCGATGAACGTCCACTGGATGCCCTCCCTAGCGTATTCCTCCTGCTCGAGGACGAACATGTGGTGGTTGAAGAATTGCTGCAGCTTCTCGTTGACAAAGTTGATCCACAGCTGCTCGAAGGAGTTCATGTCGAAGATCTCGAAGCCGGCAATATCGAGCACTCCAGTGAAGTAGTCCCTGGATACTCCCTGTTGATCTAGGGTCACGTTGCACTTGGCCACGATCCAGTTGAAGATGCGGTTGTAGACGGCCTTGGCCATGGCGCCCTTCGCCCACATCACTTGTTCCACATTTTGTCCCTTCGACACCCACTCGGTTCCGACCTTCACGCGCGGCTTCAGCAAGGCGTCCAAGAACTTCTCCATGTCGACACCGTACATGGTTGCGGCCTTTTGGGCCTCGTCGGTGCCATCAGGTTCGGCCTGTTCTTCGCGGGGGCGCTGTTTGAACTGCATGTTGCCCATGTGCATGTGGGCGGACATGACCCTGTAGCAGTCCATCTTCTCCTCCTCCGAGAAGTTGAGGATGCCGAATGCCTCGTCCGTCGCCTTCATCTCTTCGACGTCATCGATACCGTCGACGGTCAGCTCGGCTTGGGCGACGAACCTGGAAAGAAGCTTGTCAAGTTCTGGGCTAGGGCATATTAGGCTTAGGCTTGGATTAGGATTTGGCTTCGCCTTAGGCTTAGGTACGTCATACTCCGCTACGTTACGTTATGCTACACTACGTTACGCTACACTATACTACACTACGTTAGCTTACGCTACGCTACGTTGCGCAACGTTACACTAAACTACATGACGTTGCACCATGCGACGCTACACTACGTTCCGTTACGCTGCGCTAGGCAACGCTACGCTACGCTGCGTTACGCTACGCCACGCTACGCAACGTTACACTAAACTACGTTACGTTACGCTACGCCACGCTAGGTAAGCCACGCTTCGCAAAACGTCGCACTCACCAGTAATCCTTGATCGGCAGGTCGAGCAACAACTGCTTTTTGAGCTCGGGCTTGAAGTCCGAGTAGATTTGGTAGAAGATGTGGTAGCAACGCTCTCCTGGGGCTTGACGGATGACACGAGACTTCTCCAGCAGGTAGTGCTCAATATCGCAAGAAGCGACACGGCCGGTACGCGAGAAGTGGATACGGATGAATTTTCCGAAGCTGAAAGGGAATATCTTGGTTTTTTCGCTCTCTCTCTCTTTCTCTTTCTCTCTCTCTCCCTCTCTCGCTCGCTCTCTCTCTCGCTCTCATTTTCTCTCGCTCTAGATACCTACCGGGAAGAGTTGTTGTTCCTCACAGTCTTGGCGTTGCCGAACGCCTCCAAGACGGGGTTCGTCTGGACGATCTGGTCCTCCAGGGTGGCCTTCTTGGTGCCGTCGTCGGCCTTGATACCCTCAGCCTCGTTCTGCTTGGCGCCGACGGCGGCGAAGTAGGCAATAACCTAGAAAATCGAGCTTAGAATTCCCCGTAGCGCTGACCTTCTTGGTGTTCTCGGTCTTTCCGGCTCCAGATTCTCCGGTGATCAGCATCGACTGGTTCTCGCGGTCAGCCAACATGCTGCGGTACGCCTGATCGGAGACGGCGAAGAGATGAGGAGGCATCTCGGTACGACGCTTTCCCATGAACATTCGGGCCACGGAATCGGTGTAGATGGGGAGACGCTTGTACGGGTTGATGACGACGCAGAAGAGACCCGAGTAGGTCTGGAAAACTGCTGGTTGTTGTAGATGATGACTCGCTTACGTAGATGAGCATAGCAGCGTAGCGAGCCCTGAGATTGTGCAGCACAGAAGCGTCGTTGAGGAACGACAAGTTGGACATGTCCTCGGTCTTCTCGAACTTTGGCGGGTTCATCTCCTGGACCTGCTCGCGCTTGAGGGTCGCCTGGAAAAGGGAGATACGGTATAGAGACGGAAAGCGGAAGCGGAGAGAGAGAGAGAGAGAGAGAGAGAGAGAGCGAGAATGAGGGAGAGAGACGCAGGACTGTCTTTCTAAATCCACGACCTCAACCGATACCACATCAGCTAGCCGTTCAGGCCCGACCTCTAGCTTTTAGGGAAACAAACCACTGGATGCAATTTTTGACGCTGAGTGCTATTCCGGGCTTCATTTTTAGCCAAAACCTGTTCGTTTTTGAGATACATATACTTTTGGTCAAGACCGACTCCAACTTATGCCTCCTCAGCAAGCAGTTCAAGCCTGATCGCCAGTATTCAATCAGATACTTGACCAGATGCAATTTTTCGCGCTGATCACGAATCCAAGCTCCATTTTTGGCCAATTGCCATGGTTTTTGAGATACATATGCTTTTGGTCAAAACCTGGACCTCCCCAGGTGGGGGTTTGAAAGGTGATTCTAGGCACAGAATTAACGCCAAATTCAATTGGGTTCCAAGATAGGTAGATGGATTCAAAATCAGCGTAAAAACACGCATCTGGTTCAGACAAAGAAAACCCAGAAAAATAAAGGAATCACGCGAAAATTCAGAAAAACGATACCTCAGTTCCCTTCGACGTGGTGACGGTGACATTGTCCCCGGCGGCGGAGGTGATTTGACCGGTGATGTATCCATCCTCGGCATCCGGGACCCAGACGTCTTTCTTCGAGTCGTACGGCTTCGATTGATCCTAAAGAAGGGAAAGAGTAGCTTTAGATGACCGAATAAGATACTTGAAGGATCTGCTCGCGAGAGCGCTTCAGGTATTGCCACCCGGGGTCCTTCTCGTACTCCGATTCCCACGACATCGCCTTTGGATTACCTGAGCGGATAAGAATTAGACGACAGAGCGGGAGAGAGAGAACGAGAGAGAGAGAGAGAGAGAGAGAGAGAGAGAGAGTAAGAGAGACAGATAAAGCGAGAGAGAGAACGAGAGAGATAGAGCGAGAGAGTAAGAGGGAATGAGAGAGAGAGAGAGGGCGGGGTTAAGGACAGATAGAGCGAGAGAGACGGGACGGGGGGCGCGATAGGGGGGCGGGGGAGAAACCAAGATACATCGAGATTGAGGTAACCATGACTTTTTCTAGAATTTTTAGAAGTGTAGCGAAGTGTCTATAGGCCTTTCCGGCTATTGTTTCTAGATTTTTTGTAGCAAAAAAGTGTCCACTGCCAAGAGGAGAGTGAACAGCTTTTCATAAAACGTTTAAATTCGGGAATCAGTGCGATGAAATGGGGCAAGGGCTTGGATCCAATCTGCAGCTACATTGGCTAGAACGCGTATCAAAATCGGGCTACGATAGCCAAAGATAACGGCAAGAAAGTTGAAGTGGTTAGATTTTTGCCATTCCAGTCCCTTGATCGACCAAAATGATGGGAGACATAGAAATCAGCTCGGTGAGGCTCAAGGCTCGAGCTCAGAAAAGGAGGCTAGAGGCGAAGAGAATACGATATCTAGCGCAACAATGAAGGACGGCACTACCCGATTGAGGAATGGGATTCGAAAAAATATGCTAACTGAAAAGTCGTCAAGATCAAATTGCTAACAGAGCTTCAATTCACGCCGGCCGGAAGTAGAAAACGCAGTTGATAGTTGTTTGAACGCACCAGGGCAGATACCAGTAAGAAGAAAGATCAGGGCAAACAGTAGAAGAGGTTCGAGCCCCGGCCCGGAAAGGAGCATGGCATCGTAGTGAGACAAAGTACTGGAAGCCGATCAACGCCGGATTGCTAAGCCAACTGGACGAATGAAACCGCTTTATACAGCAGAGCAAACTGAACCTTCAAGACCTCGTGCTCCTTGCACCGTAATGGCAAACGAGGGTCCGGTAGGCGAGAAAAGACGACGAAAAATCAGGTAGGTTCAAAGCTCCAGTGCCCTTTAATCGGCAAATTGGAGGCCAAAAACTAGAATAAAGCTCCAAAACCTCGTGCTCCTTGCACCCGAGAGGCAAATGAGGTTACGGTAGGCAAGAGAAGGCGGCATCATAGCAAAAATTGGTAGATTTAGGGCTTTCCAGTCCCTTTAATAGGCAAACTGGATACCAAAAAGTCGAATAACGCTTGAAGACCTCGTGCTCCCTGGACCGTCGTGGCAAATGAGGTTACGGTAGCCACCCTGGGCTTAAATACCCCGGCCTCCGGAGGGTGAGAAGCGGGCCATTTTCTGCTCTTTCCATCCTCCTCTCCTTTTTGTATCCTCGCCGCTGGCTGTCGAGGATCGGATGTGGTTTTGCCCTTCCCCCTCCTCTACTGCGCGCGTCTGTAAAATGGCGCCCAGCTCGTGTTTCACATGTTGAGCTGCTTAGAGGCCGAGAGAAGGGGGCACGCTTTAGGGCCATTCTTTACAGCCAGACAGACAGATCGACAACTCGACAGACAGACAGATAATCCCCTAAAGAGACAAGGAACCCCCGAAAGAAATGCCGAAAAAGGCCGACAGTGGCAGCTCTTCATCAACTTGTCTCGCTCGCTCACAGAACGAGGTTCCTTGTCCGGCTTGTCTCGACTTTTTTTGGGTTTTGAAGTGCTGTGACGTTCCGTCTGGAGGGAAATGAGGGGAGCAATGGAACGAACGCGGGGGATTGTCATTACTTACCTAGACTCACAGTATCTGTTTCCCGAAAAGAATGCCACGCTAGCAAAGAGTTTGGGAATTTTTTGCCTGAATTTTCTGTACTTCTGGAGTCAAAAAGCTTCCAATTCGGCACCAGGTCAGCCGATTTGAATTAAGGCGGTCAATCAACCATAAAATTCGGCTTTTAAAGGCATCGTTAATTGTACAGTTTCGTACTTCCGGTAACTTTCGGTCTTAAAGAAAACTCCGAAGGCATAACATTACACCCGTCAATGGGTTCCGTTTGGATTTTTCCGCTACGCAACCGGGATGCGCGCGCCGTTGGGCGGCCGTAATCCATGGAATGTAAAGACAATGAAAAGAATGTTGATAAGAAAAGGCGCGCGTTGCTTGTCTCGGTGCGGCAACATCCATAGGACCCTTAAATTGCAGAAATTTGTTACAATATGCGTCTATTTGGATGACTCGCTCTTCTTTTCACCCTCTCTCGCTCTCTCACTCGCTCACTCGCTCTCTCTCTCTCTCTCTCTCTCTCTCTCTCTCTCTCTCTCTCTTCTCTCTCCGCTTTTCCTCCCTCTCCCTGTCCCCTCTTGATTTTCGTGCTCGCTCTAATAGCGCTAGTAATATTTGCAATACCATCGGACGGATCTAAAACGTGCTTTTCTCTAGTTTTTCAGCTGACGTTTTCCGCTGCCGGAAGATTCAGGATTTCCATCTCTTTCGAAAGCAGGTGCAAATTGTTAGAAATGTGTTTCGAATTATCTCGTAGATCCCTTCCGGACCCAATCCCCCCACACCCCCGGGTCCCCCTCAATGCTTGAGTCGGACTCAACTCAAGGCAGAGAGAGAGGAGGGCGAGGGCGAGAGCGAGAGAGAGAGAGAGAGAGAGAGAGAGAGAGAGAGAGAGAGAGAGAGAGAGAGAGAGAGCGAACCAGGGCCCCACATGTGTTGTCTGGACCTCAACAGAGAGAGAGAGTGAGACCGATCTGTGCAACAGGGGATCGAGAAAAAGAGCGGGTGATCCCGGAAAAGAGAGCTGATTGACTATTGGAACGGAGCTTGGGTAGAGAGTATTTTAAAGGGCCGTTGAAGGCAAAATATACAGACTCAAGAAAAGGCCTTGCTGGGTACAGAGAATGGACAGCGCCAAAACTCTCAATTTTCAAGAAGCTGTTAAACACAAAAAATAATCTGCATTAGCTAGCTTCAAAAACGGAATTGGCCTCCGCAGATGGGTCTGCTAGTTTGCCCAGAATTTCTCACGAAACCGATTTCCTCCTGGAATTGGTACTGCAGCGTGTCTTGTTTCTAACCCCACTAAATTGGTGAGAAATTTCCTCGGAATTCCCAAATAATCTCTGCTAGCTTCTTGCCCATTGGGATTTCCAGCGGTTAAGGATGGATTTGCGGTACCCTCTCAAATTGTCACAGCTAGCTTGCCAGCAAAGAGTCTGTGCTAGTCTGCCCTTTTTAGAGACGTTGGGATCAAAATAGTTGGTTTCCTAAATCGTGTCTGCTAGCCTGCCGAAGGGCTGAATGTGTTTTCCCCAAAGTTCTCTCTGCTAGTTTGCCTCTCTTTATTCTCTCTAGCACTGTAGCAAAGACAAAGATGTACTGTAGTCTGATCCCCAAAGGTCTCTGCTGGCTTGCCAAGCTTTTCCCCAAGTTATAGCGATTTTCAGACGACTGTAAATGGTCTCTGCTAGCCTGCCCACGAGTCATAATCCGCTTTCCACAAAGATCACTTCTAGCCTGCCCTGTTGGGTGTTGGGATACGACATCTTCATTCCCAAATAATCTCTGCTAGTTTCCCTTATTCACCAATTCTTTTTCGTATTATATTTTTCTATTTCCGACCCCTATCCCATTTCTCCATCCCCAGTATTGCCGGCCTCCGCTTTTTTTTCAAGCCGCTCTTGCTCCCCTTCAACAGTTGGCCCTCCTTTCCTTTTTCCAAGGAATTCCTCGAAGGGCCCAGTTGATCACCCTTTTTCTCTGCCGTCTCTCTCACTCTCTCTTTCTCTCTCCTTCTCTCTCTCTCCCTCTCTCTCTCTCTTCATACTCTCTCTTGCTCCCTCCGAATGCCCGTTGTAATACCCCGAGCCGAGGGGGTGACGCTCAAGCCATCATGCCCCAGGAAACTCCCAGGAAACCCAGGGCCAGCGGCAAAACGCAAAAAAATAGGGTGGCTGCTGGGGTGAGGCGGTGTGCAAAGAGGAATGAAATGTACTCAGCGGGGAAACGGAACGAACGGATCGAACGAAGGAACGTTCGATCGGAGCATCGCGGAACTTGCAAAATTGGGATCTTTGATTTTAAAGGCACCGACAAGGGAAAATTGTGGCTTATCGATTTTTTTTTTGTGTTGATAGGAGCGCTCCAGAATTACTAAAATTTTGTGTTTGTGGTTTTAAAGGCACCTACCAGGCAAAATTGCCGATTTATCGCTTTCTCCCAATTTTTTCGAGCGATCCGGGGGTTTATAAAATTGGGTTTTTCGTTCCAAAGGCCTTTGAAAGTCAAAATTTTCGATTTATCGAATTTTTCGTGTTCTTATATTATTCCCGAACTTGCTTAATCACGCTTTCGCACTTGAAAAATTTGGACCAGGAAGTGTTAATTCGGGAAAACCCTAATTTTTGCAATTTTAAAGGGACCTGTAAGGCAGAAGAATGAAACTCCCTGAATCGAATTTTGGAAAAAAAAAATTGAATTTTTGAATTTTATTGCCTCGAATTACAATTTTTGCACCTTTTCTGCCGAATTTGATAATTTTAAAGATACGGTCATTTTATAGCAGCTACAGTACCCAAATTTCATTTTAAAATGTTTTTAGCAGACATGGCAAGTGGCCGCGGCCCGGCCCGGCCGGCCGGCTTTGTCGTTTTTACGGCCCGGCCCGGCTGCGGCCGTGGGTAATTTTTGCGGCTTGCGGCCGGCTTCGGCCGTGAAAAAAATTTGCATGCGGCTTCCGGCCGGCCGCGGCGGCCGTTTTGCCATGTCTGGTTTTTAGTGTTAAAATCGTCATTTTCTGCATTTTCCCCCACCCAAAAAGGCTTCGGTTTCCCGTTTTATTATACAAAAAAAAGAAAGAAGGATAAAAGGATACGGTAGGTAGGTATGTAGGGGGTTAAATGGGGGCTAAATCCCGAATTCTAAGTCCAGAAATCAGAAATGGCCGCCCAAAAAACAGCTAGCAACTAGAGATAAAATTGTAAATACAAAAAATAGGGGGTGGTCGTTCACTTCAATGGTCCTTTAGAAGTTGGAACGGCTGGGGGCACGCATCACGGCAACAGAGGCCGAGCCCTGCAGGCCAGGGGCAACCGAGGCAGTGCGAGACTTGGCCCTGAAAATGTGGAAATCAGGATAAGTTACGGGAGAGCACTTGAGGGTACGTTTCAGTAAGACAGAATACGCTTGATTACGGTATAGTTCGCTAAAGTACGCTGCAGCACGCTAAATTACCATAAAGTACGCTACAGTACCCGGTAGCACGCTAGATTACGACGTACTAGTAGGCTAAATTACGGTATAGTACGCCCGAGTACGCAGCAATACGCTATACGAAATCGTACGCTGAGGTAGCCTGAATTATGACATAGTACGCAACACTGCAATAAACGACTGTATTGTACTCTACATTACGTTCCTGTACGCTGCAGTACGCTACAGTACATAACAGTACGCTGCATTACGACACAGTACGTTACACAACACTACGCTACATTACGTTAAACTTGACTCGAAATTAAGCAAAGGTACGCTAGAGTACGCTGCAGCACGCTAAATTACCATAAATACGCTACAGTACGCCAACCGACGCTCCAGTACGCTACACTACGATAGTACATTACGGAATTTTTATCCGTTTAAAAAAATAAATTAAGTTCTTAGCGATTTTCCAGCAGTAAACTGCTTCAAAACTTTGTTTATGGCATAGAATTCCCGAATAACCCTTGCTAGCTTACCTCATCTTGGAGAGGGAGTTCTCGGCAGAGTCGGCGCGCTCCTCGGCGTCCTCGAGCTGGTGCTGCACCTGGCGGTACTTCTGCAGATGGCCGTTGGCTTGCTCTTCCTGAAAATGGGATCGATTAATGGATTATTGATAGAAAAACGGTTGTTTCGTTCCGGTAAATTCATGTATTTTTTAATACTCACAGCCTCGTCAATCTGCCTCTTCTGGGCCTTCAGCTTGTTCTGCAGCTTCTCGACGAGGTCGTTGAGGCGGTCAAAGTTCTTCTTGTCCTCGCCAATCTGAAAAGTTTGGTGGGTTTATCGATTTTTGAGACAAATTTCCAAAAAAATCAATGGGATTTCGTGGCGTAATCGATTTAACCCGAATCGCAGCTGATCGGAATAAATTTTTAACAATTTTTCCTGGTTTTCAAAGCTCGGAAAAACATAAATTGGCTCTGAAGACCCAAAAATTCATCCTAATTTCATGGCGTGATCGATAAAATCTGACCAGACGTTGAATTTCATAGCCTAATTAATTTTCAGCTTTTTTGGCTAAAATCTTGCCAAACCCCTCAAATGAAATTGGTTAGCTATTTGCATGGCATAATCGGTTATGCCGTACCTGGAAATCGAGTTCCTTGCCCTTCCTCTCGTTCTTCTGCAGATCCTTGTTGCCGGCCTGGAAGCGGCGTTGCTCGCCCTCCAGCTCGCTCTCGAGGTCGCGGGCGCGCTTCTCCAGCTGCTGGATGACCTGAAAAAGCGATCGATTAAATTTTTCGAGATATTTCTACGTATTTCGGAAGCCCCTATCTTACCGCGGCGAAAAAATATCTTCATAGCATTAATTTCAGCCCGAAAAATGTCTTTTAAAAGTTTTCTGATAAAAAAAATACGGCCAAAGCTGATAATATTACGGTGGAAAGCCAAATCTTCGATATATCGATATTTTGAAAGCATCATTCGATAGAGCGAAAAAATCTATCAGATGCTTTTTTGTAACCCCAAAAACGACATTTAATCCCATTTTAATGTAAAAAAACCTTCAGATGTCTCGACCTGGCTCTATCGTGCCCATTTTAATTTTTTTTTAATCTAAATTTAAAAAATAAAGAATTGCTAATTGAATTGCTTAATAAAGAAGAGCTTCGAAGAATATAATAGGCGGTTTTACAACCCAAAAAATCAAATTTAAAACGAATTTTACTGCCAAAAACTTCGATTGCCCGAAGTTGCGCAAATCGCTTCAAAAATCCCTTACCTTCTTGCCTCCCTTGAGCGCGGCAGCCTCGGCCTCATCCAGGCGAGCCTGGAAGTCCTTGAGCTGCTGCTCCAGGGCCTTCTTCGTGCGATCAGTGTTGTTGGAGTGATCCTGCTCTTGCCTCAACGCATCGGCCAATCGGGTAGCATCGGCAATGGCGCGGTTCGAGTTCTCCTGGGCGGTCCTGTACTCGGCGAGGGTCTCGTCAAGGTCAGCGTGGAGGGCTTGGATCTCTCCCTCCAACTTCCTCTTGGCAGCCGAGAGGGTGTTGGCCTGGGCCGAGAATTCGTTGGCCTGGCTGCGGGCGTCGTTGGCCTCGGTCTCAGCCTGCTTGCGGGCACGCACGGCGGCGTCGTGGGCGACCTGAAAAAGCCGGTTTTATGGGGTTTGACTAGGTTTTTTGCCAGTTAAAATATGCTCAATGATTGTCATAACTTTCTTTAAAAAAATCGACAGTTTAACGACGTTTACTGACTAGTTTTTTCAGCTAAATCCGGCTTTAGAAAAATCTAAACATCTCGGTGAAGAAATATCGGAACGTAACGATTTTTATATCAATCGATAACTCTCGAAAAGCTTAATCAAATGATGCTTTTCAATTGTTATTAGTTACAAATTTTGAATAGCTTTTAATCCTGGTTTTCGAGGGCCTACGCGCTTTTGTTTTCGTTTTTTTTTTCTGGCGTAACCAATTAGGCCTATTTTTATGAAAATTTTCTCATTTGTAGGAAATTGTGTGCAATTGCAGATTTCGTTCAAAAACAGCGCCTGTTTGCACTTTTCAAACGTCAAAAAAGCTGTTTGAAAAACGGTTTTGATCTTTGCGCCAGAATTCTTTGTCAGCCCAATAATTTTGGAAATGCAAGTAGTTAAAAAAACTCCCAAAAACCTAAGAAATTCAAAATAAATTAGGTCCAGTCGACGCGCGATTTCGAGAGCACTCGAATGCTACAAAAATCATTCCGATACGATACTCCTACGCCGAGATATCGCCCAAAAACCCGATGTGCACTCACCGACAACTCCTCCTTCTCCGACTGCAGAAGAGTGGCCCTCTTCTCAGCGGTGAAGTAGTGCTCCCTCAGATCATCCCTGGCCCGCTGCTCCTCCTCAACCTGCTTCTGCAACTCGGCAATCTGGTCTTGCGTCTTCTTCAGGTTCCTCAGCGCCTCGGCGTTGGCCTGGTTGGCATGGTCCAACGCGAGCTCCAGCTCGGTGATGTCGGCCTCCAACTTCTTCTTGATACGCACAAGGTCTCCCTTGGCCTTCTGCTCGCTCTCCAAAGAGGCTTGCATGCTCTCCATGGACCTCTGGTGGTTCTTCCTGGTGTTCTCGAACTCCTCCTCCTTCTCCTGGATCCTCTTCTCGATCTCGGCGCGGATCTGGGTCACCTCGACTTGAGCACGAAGCACCTTGCTCTCCTCAGCCTCGAGGGCAGCCTCGGCTTCGTCGACGGCGTGCTGCAGTTCCTCCTTCTCGAGCTCGAGCGTCCGGACGATACGTTGCATCTCCTGCACGGATCGGCCTCCATCGGCCAGTTGAGCCTGGAGATCGCGGATTTCCTGGGTGAGGGCTCCATTCTCACGGCGGAGCTCATCAGCGGCAGAGGCCAACTCGTCCTGGGCAGTCCTGGCGCGAAGCAGATCAGTGGAGGCGTTGCGAGCATCACGTTGGGCAGCCTCAAGATCGGTGGATTGCTCCTCGGTCTTCCTCCTCCAGTCGTCGATGATCTTGTCGAAGCCCTTCTGCTTCTTCTCGAGGTTCGAGACGTAGTTGTTGGCGCGCTCGACGTCAGCCTGGGCCTCGTCGAGGTCGGAGGACAGGCGAGACTTGGTCTTCTCCAGGGAGGAGATCTTCGAGTTGTTGGCATCGAGGACCGATTGGAGGTCGTTGATCTTCTGCTGCTGGCGGCGGCGAACCTCGTCGAGCTCGTCGGCCTTGACAAGTTCTTCGCCCTCGTACTTCGACTTCCAGACCTAAAAAATCTCTTGTTAAATTTGTCTTTATCATTTCTTGGCTAATTTTCGACTAAACCTCACCTGGATCTCAGCGTTGGTCTTGGAGAGTTGACGGAGGAGCTCGGCTTTGGCCTCAATCTCCTCATCGATCGACTCGCGGAGAGCATCAGCCTCATGCTGGTAGTTGCTGGCCTGGGCGGCGTACTGCTGCCTCTCGCGCGACTCTTCATCGAGGGTCCTCTTGGCCTCCTCGAGCTGGCTGACGAGCTGGGCCTTGGAGCGGGTGAGCTGGTTGAGCTGCGACTCGGCATCCTCGAGCGCCTTGTTCAGGTCGCCGTTGGCGCCGTTGAGGCGGCCCTTTAGCGAGGAGAGCTCGGCGAGTTGCCTGAAAAAATTAGCTAATTTTTAGGACTTTTTATAGCCTTCAACGAGGCGTTTTTCTGTGAAAATCCCAAAACCCCACCTGTACTGCTCATCAGCCTTGGCCTGCAGCTCCTGCACCTGCAGCTCGAACTGCTTGGCGAGCTTCTCGTTGTGGAGCTTGGCCGAGGTCTCCGAGTCGATCTCCGACTGGATGGACTCGCAGTCGTGGAGGGCCGAGGCGCGGTCCTTCTCGGCCTTGGCCTTCGACTTCTGGGCCTGGTCGAGCTGGTCGGTGAGTTCGGAGACTGAGTCGGTGTGCTTCTTGCGGAGGGCTCCGAGTTGGCTCTCGTGGTTCTGGTTGAGCTCGTCGAGCTGGTGGCGGAGCTTGGCGAGTTCGGCCTCACGCTTCTTGTTGATCTCGATCTGGGCGGCGGTCATGCCTAAAAAGGGTTAATTTGTCTATTTAATTTAATTTTAGCGGATTTAATAAAGAAACTGGCTAAAAACAAAGTTAAAAAAGTTTTGTAAAAGTGGTATTTTCATCTAGGTATCTCTTTTCACTCAAAGCGATACTTTCATAGCGTAACCGCTAGATTTTAAAGCTATATATCTTATATTTGACATTAAAATTTTTAGTTTTGTATATATTAAACCTATAGCTATATAAAATCTTTATTAAACGATACCTCCAGCCTCATCAAGACGGTCGTTGAGGTTGTCCAACTCGCGCTGCAGATCTCCCTTGGAGCGATCGGCCTTGGCGCGGTTCTGGCGCTCAGACTCGACCTCATCCTCCAACTCGGAGATGCGCGCCTGGCTCTCCTTGATCTGTCGCTGCAGCTTGCCGACGAGCGACTGCTCTTCCTCGAGCTTTCCGGCGATGGCCTGGTGTTCGGCCTCCTTCTTCTTCAGGTTGCCCTCGAGGTCGGTGCGGACGCGGGCGATCTCCTCGATCTTTTCGCTGGCGACGGTCAGCTCGCCTGGAAATTATTTTGTATGGATCTTAACCGATGTATTATTTTGATTATCTCATTTTATTATGGTTTTGAAGCGATTAAAAGGTTTTCAGTCTTTTTTAGGCCAGAAATTTCGAAATAGCAAAAGTTTAAATTGTTTTCAATTTGGAGATTTCTTTTTTCATTGATTAATCTTAATCTAAATTTATAAACGTTTAAAAACTTCATTTGTACATTTTTAGCCAAAAATCAACGAACGCTACGTGCCGATACAAATGACGTAAAGTGGAGCGCCGGGTAGCCCAATTTTAGCCCCTGGATTTTCTAGTTTTTCGCGGGTTTCATTTTTTACGCGCTAATAATTTGTATTTTAACGTTGTTTCTTATCTTTTTTTTTGTTAGAAAGCCCTGTTTTCTAATGGTTTTTACTTGTTTTTACTTTTTCCGGCAAAACGCGCACTTTTTAAGTGATTTTTCATAGTTTTAAAACAATTTTTGATACTTTTAGATGTTCTTTATTTTTTTTATACGATTACTTACCCTCGATCTTCCTCTTCTGCTTCTCAATCTCGGACCTGGACCTCTTCTCCCTCTCCAGAGCATCCTCCAGATCATCCAGAGCCCTCTCGAGCTTTTGCTTGGTCTTGGAGGTCATGTTGTTCTTGTCCTCCTCGCTCTGCAGATCCTCGACCAGCTTCCTGTTGGCCTCCTCCTGGGACTTCTTCTCCTTGTTCAACTTGGCGATCGACTCGTCCTGGTTGGCCATTTCATCTTGGAGGGTGCGGATCTGTTGATCCTTGGTCTGCTTCTCTCCCTCGACCTTGGTCAAGTTCTCCTCCACCTGGGCGATCTGCTTCCTCAGGTTCTCCAGCTCATTCTCGACCTTCTTCTTGGCGCGCTGGACGTCGGAGTTGCGGTCCTCCTGCTCGGCGAGCTGATCGTTCAGCTCGGCCAATTGCTTGGTGGCGTCGTGGGCGAGGGCAGACAGACGGGCCATCTTCTCCTCCAATCCGCTGAGCGTCACCTTCGAGGTCTCGAGCTCGCCGAAAGCGGCGTTCTTCTCCTCGAGCAGCTTGGCGTTGAGGGCCTCGACCTGTTGGCGGGCCTTCTCCTCGTCGGGCAGGCGAGCCTCTTGCTCCTTGATCTTGGCGGCGAGCTTCTCGACCTCTTCGCCCTCCTTTCCGCACTTGAGCATCGGGCGGATCTTTCCGAAGAGAAGATACCAGTCCCAGGTGCGGACGACAGTCCAGGTGCGGATGTTACGGTGGAGCACGAGGAAGCCAGTGCGCTGCTGCATGCGGCGACGGCAGTCGGCCTTTCCGAGGTATTGGCGGATGGCGGCTTGGAATCCGGTGAAGACAGCGCCGAGCTTCTCGTCACGCAGATCCTCAAGGGCGGCCAGGATACCGGCCTTGAAGAAGACCTTGGTCTTTCCGACACGGAACTGCTCCTCAGTCATGTCTCCATCGTTGACAATCTTGGAGAGGATGGCCTCGGCGCACTTCTTGGCCTCGGGGTCCGAGCGCGACTCAGCGGCGGCGAGGACAGCGTAGCGGAGCTTGAACTCGGGGTGGGCAATTCTGTTGGGGAATCCCTTGCGGCAAATACGGATTCCTTCGAGCACACCGTTGCAAGTCAGTTGGTTCATGACCAGGGCGGCGTCCAGGACTCCGGACTGCTTCTTCTCGTTGGGGATGATGCAACGGATGAAGTGGGGGTGGGTCTTGTGCAACATGCCCATCAAGTTGTTGAGGGACTCGCGGTACAGCATAGACACAGTCATCATGGAGCCGGACTTTCCCTTCTTCTTGCCACCACCGCCCTCCTTGGCGGCGTTGGCGGCCTCCTCCTGGGTCTGATAGTCCTCCCAGATGGTCTTGATCAGCTGGTTGCCAGGGGATCCCTTCATGACGGCGACAACAGAGTCGTTGAGCGGGTCCTTGTTCTTCTCGAGCCAGTTGGTGACATTGTAACGCACAGTTCCGGCGTAATGCTTCATGGCGAAGTGGGCCTCGGCCTGCTTGCCCTTTGGTGGCTTGGGCTTCTCGAAGTTGGGGTGCTTGCCCAAGTGCTGGTCGCACAGCTTCTGGGCCAGGGTCATGTCGGTGGCCTTGGGGACGATACATTCTTCGTCCAACATGGAGATGATGCCCATGGGCTTCTCGATCAGCTCGATGCAGGCCTGAAAAAAGGGTTTGCTTTAATTATGGAGATCCGACAAGTTCAAGGAGGTCAGCAACAAACCTGGAGATCCAGACCGAAATCGATGAAGGTCCAGGCGATTCCCTCCCTGGCGTACTCCTCCTGCTCGAGGACGAACATGTGGTGGTTGAAGAATTGCTGCAACTTCTCGTTGACAAAGTTGATCCACAACTGCTCGAAGGAGTTCATGTCGAAGATCTCGAATCCGGCAATGTCGAGCACTCCAGTGAAGTAGTCACGGGAGACTCCCTGCTGGTCAAGGGTCTCGTTACACTTCTTGACGATCCAGTTGAAGACCCTGTTGTAGACGGCCTTGGCCATGGCTCCCTTGGCCCAGTTGACCTGCTCGACGTTCTGTCCCTTCTGCACCCATTCCGTGCCGACCTTCACCTTCGGCTTCATTAGGGCGTCCAGGAACTTCTCGAGGTCGACGCCGTACATGGCGGCGGCCCTCTCGGCCTCATCAGTGCCGTCGGCCTCAGCCTGTTCTTCGCGAGGGCGCTGCTTGAACTGCATGTTACCCATGTGCATATGGGCGGACATGAGCATGTAGCAGTTGTCCTTCTCCTCCTGGCTGAAGTTGAGGATGTCGAAGGATTCTTCGGTGGCTTGGAACTCTTCGGTGTCGTCGATACCGTCGACGGTAAGCTCGGCCTGGGCGACGAACCTGGAAAGAGGTGTATTTTGGAAGTTATAGTTAATTTTTGTTGTGTTTGACAAAATTGACGTATTTCCTGTAAGATCAGCTATAGCTTATCGTAGGTAGATATTAAGCTTATATATTCGCTTATATTACGGGGAATATGGTACTCTATCAATCGAAGATACGGGTCGATTCGTGGCTAGCGAATGTTACTTACCAGTACTCCTTGATCGGCTTGTCGAGAAGGAGCTTCTTGGTGAGGCCGGGGACGTATCCGGTGAAGATTTGGTAGAAGATGTGGTAGCAACGCTCTCCTGGGGCTTGACGGATGACACGAGACTTCTCCAGCAGGTAGTGCTCAATATCGCAAGAAGCGACACGGCCGGTACGCGAGAAGTGGATTCGGATGAACTTTCCGAAGCTGCAAGAGAGGTTTTTGTTATTTTTCGTACCTTTGGGAGGCGCTTAGCTACTTTTAAAGTGTCATTTGAATACCTACCGGGAAGAGTTGTTGTTACGGACAGTCTTGGCGTTTCCGAAAGCTTCGAGGACAGGGTTGGTACGGACGATCTGGTCCTCAAGGGTGGCCTTCTTGCCTCCGTCGTCCGACTTGATACCCTCGGCCTCGTTCTGCTTGGCGCCGACGGCGGCGAAGTAGGCAATAACCTAAAAGAATTGGTTTCTCGAGCTTTCCAAAATGAACTGACCTTCTTGGTGTTCTCAGTCTTTCCGGCTCCGGATTCTCCGGTGATCAGCATGGACTGGTTCTCGCGGTCGAGCAACATGTTGCGGTAGGCCTCGTCGGAGACGGCGAAAAGATGAGGCGGCATCTCGTTACGGCGCTTGCCCATGAACATGCGGCACACCGAGTCGGTGTAGATGGGCAGACGCTTGTACGGGTTGATGACGACGCAGAAGAGGCCGGAGTAGGTCTGAAAATTTCTGGGGTTTTGTTGCTACTGTATCAACTTACGTAGATGAGCATGGACGCGTAGCGGGCCCTCAGATTGTGGAGGACAGAGGCGTCGTTGAGGAAGGAAAGATTGGACATGTCCTCGGTCTTCTCGAACTTCGGGGGGTTCATCTCCTGGACGAGGTCCTTCTTCAGGGTCACCTAGAATGGAATTATTTAGGGGATAAGTTGGGTGAATCGTACCTCATTTCCCTTGTCGGTGGTGAGCGTGACGGTGTCTCCCTTGGTGCCGGTGATTTGGGCGTGGACGAAGCCGTCCTCCGCATCGGGGACCCAGACATCCTTCTTCGAGTCGTACGGCTTGGAGGTGTCCTGGAAACGTGGGGGTTAAAGTCAGAAATCGAGGAAAATCGGTGCGTGACTCTCTAGGTATCGATTTTAAGGGTTTATGCGGTGTAAAAAAGAAAATTAATAGGGTATGGAACTATCGTGACGCTTCAAAAAAAATGTTGCGGGTTTAAAACTTCCAATAAAGCCGGATCATTTAGAAACAAGGGTTTAGAGCTTAATTTTAGTTACTAGCTTAGTTTTGTAGCCCTAAATTATTTTGTCAGCGATACTAACGTAAAGAGTTAGGTAAATGGCAAACTCCCATTAAAGGGATAGCGCAAGCAGCAGCCCACGTGTTACGTGAATTCCGGGAACTTTGCCAGATTTGGCTGGATTTGCGCTTAGCCGCATCCCGATAAGCGCTTATCAGCAAATCGACGCACTAATGAGAGGTTTCAATCTGATAACGCGTGCCCCCCGGCTATGTTTTGGGGCGGAAGGAGCTTTTTTGGAGTGCAGAGGCGCAACATCTCTGCAATTCCAGGAGTCCAAGTAACACTTAGATTTCGGCTTGCGCTATCCCTTTAATGCGCCCGGTATAGAAAAAAGGTTTTCTTGGGTTTAAGGCCTATCTAAAAGTTATTTATTGTCTTCTAAGAAAGCTAGCAAATTTTTTGAACGAGAAGAAAACTTGAAAACTATTAGCTAGTCGTTAAAAAACCTCAAGTTTTTATATCTTTCCTTCATAGTTACAGGGCTTTAAAATCTACCAAAAAGCCGCTTTTGATTTAGAGAATAAGAAGAAAATGAGTTCGAGCCACAAAAGGCAGAGCAAAACGAGGAAAATTTAAAGGGCTGCCGACGGCATGTGTCGATCCCCCTCATCAACAAATTGGCAAGTAGCCAACAGGGGAGAGAGCGCGCCCAAGGGAGAGGCGCATAGACATTTTCTTTTCCGCGCGTAACCGATTGACTATGCCGTCGGCATCCCTTTAAGTTTAAAACGACCAGGCGAACGGCAAAAGATTTGCTAATCTCTTCTAATCTAATTTCTAACAATTTGAAAAAGCGGTAAAGCCGCCTTTGAAAAATTTTGGAAGGCAATCGAAGAAAACTAGAAACGCTTAGCATTAAAAAAAGCAAAAAATAAGATATAGATAGCAAAAAAAATTAGAACTATGACTTACAGCAAGCTGTTCCTCACGGGTACGGCGGAGGTACTGCCATCCGGGGTCCTTCTCGTGCTCGGGAATATAGGCCATTGTGTTGCCAAAATCACACACCGCGAGGGCTGGAGATTGGCGACCGAGTGAGCCTCATCCCTCCCCCACTCCGCTTATATACCTGGGGGTGTGGCCTGGACTGGGGGATTGTGATGCTCCTCTCGATGTGGGCCCTCCTTATGGCTGCTGTGTGATCTGGGCCTCTCTCGGCTGGATCTTATGGGTTGTCTATTGGGTCCTCTGGGGGTTTTCTGGGTCCTCCACAGCACTGGAATCTCTAGCTGATCGGCGTGGTCGGCCCTGGTTTTGGGTTTTTGAGCCGGGTTGGCCGCTGGGGGAAAGGGACCAAATTTTAAAATTACCTTAAATTAAACAATTTTTTAAAACCCCCAGCAAAAGAGAAGTCGTCATCCCTAAACCAAATGTCACCTGGAAAATCCGTGAAAAAGCCAAGAAAAATACGCATTTTGATGGTGAGTCTCACTAGGGAAGGTTCAAAATCACAGAAAATATAGAGTCGCAAGTGCGAAAGTTTTTGAAGTATGCGACAGGCGTTTAAAACTCGGGATTTGGAATCTAAAAGCGCCAAAATCTCCGAATCTAACAAGGTAAGGTAAGCGGGCGACGACTTGACGAGGTGTGAAGTTTTCAACGTTTGCACCGGGTTGGAGGTTGCATAACACAAAAAAGTTTTACTAGTGATGCGTTTTATTATAACTTGTTTCCACCCTAATTAATCTTGGTATATATCCGCCGCCTAAAACCTTTTTTTGAAATTTTTAGCGCCCTCGAATCTCAAGCTCATACAATAAGCTCTCGAATTTTCAAGTCGAAACGCGATGGCAAGATGGAAGGCATACCTCGCTAAAGGGCATGTTCAACGTAGGGAACTTGGGCCGGCATCTTGTGAAACTATGGACGCAGGGGTAGCAGATGTTTTTGCGCAGAGCTAGCCTTTAGCGACATCTGCGTACTATTTGAGGTCTGAAAGATTGATAAGGAGCTCCTGGGGCGCGTAGATATGAAAATTCGTGCCCTCCGGTTAGATTCTTTGGCTACCGATGGCACTATTGGTGCGGCGAGTTCAATCTGGACGGGCGCCGATTAGCAGTTTCTGCCTCGAGCAGCGGGCTGTACGATCCCTTTAAACGCCCGTGGTAAAACTAAAAAAAATGTGTTGATAGACATTTTCAGAATGTGAATGCTGACATCAAAATAGGTTTTTTCGGTTCTCGGCCGCCAGGATCCACTCACGTCCAAAAATTTTTGAGCAGGAAACCCAAGATATTTGGGCACCAAATATTGGCATTTCTCATTTTCAGGTTCGCTGGCTTCTTTGTAAAGTCCAATTTCACCCAAATCGAAGCTAGCTGGCAACCCTTTACCTAGTCACGTTGTTTTCTAAACCTGGCTCCTTGCCATCAAAAATCGCCGCATTTTTCCCGGGGCTCAAAACAAAAGTATCGGCTTCTCCTGTGGATTCAATTTCAGGTGCATGCACGGTGATGATCTTCCCTGGCCCCCACTCGGGGTGTCGTGGAGTGTGGGTTGTCGCCCAGTGAGGAGTGTAACAACGAGGAGCACCACCCCAAGCACAGCCAAAGGGGAAAAGAGCGATCGAAAGAAGAGCCCGGAGGCGATGACAATATCCCCCAGTCAGGGGGGATCTATTGCCGGATCGAGGGAGAGGCGGAAAAAGGGCAAAAGCATTGCTGAAAACAAGCTTCAGACTTCAGACATGCAAAGAAAACATATTCAGGGGCGAAGGTAAAAAATTCTAGACTTTCAAGCCATTCAGCAAGCTAATTCGGAGGTCCGGCAAGCTGATTATTGATGGCCCCGCGAACGTCTCAAGACACAGTCGCCTCCCAACTTTTGACGCACCAAATCGGGGGCTATTTACACTTGACAGACTGTCAGAACTCTGGATCCAGAACGCTGGTTCCCCTCCATGGAGGGGAACGGCACTTATCAGGAGCACAATCTCCTCTCATTAGTGCGCACTTTTGGCACGCGCGGTTCCAATTTGCGTTTGGTTCAGGTGTCCTTTTGGTTTGCCACCGCCGGGGTGACAATGTGCGTTCCAGAGTTCTGACAGTCTTTAACACGAGAAAATTGGTGAGAAACCCATTGTGGATCGAACGATCAATGGATTTCCCGACGGTCTGTAGGGGGGCCTGTCTCTTTGGACCTCTAAAAAATCGGCAGGAGCCGAAATGTGGGCAAAAATCCAAGCGCCACTTGCAAAATTAAACTGGGCAACAGAGATATTTGAGACAAAACCTAAATGGCTAGTCTCACTATTATCAGGTGTCGGCCAGTTTTTAATGCAAGTCGCACCGGTAGTCGGCATTTTTGACTTCGGCCGTAACTTCGGGAACCGGTCAAATGGTCGACTTTGAGGGAAATAAGCTTGATTTAAAAATTGTTGTGTTGATATGGCCCGAATTTGGTTGCGGGCGCTAGCCTTTCCGCCCGTATTTCGCGCACCAATAGAAAGACACAGGCTTTTTCCAACGTGCACAGGCGTCTCACCAAAAAATGATTTTCGCTGGCTGGTTTGCGGTCCCGGGGTCTATTTTTCCACTGGAGATATGATGAATTTCATTCTAGACACCACTAAAACAATTTCTATTACATCACTAGTCATATCCGAGAAAAATCGTGGTTTTTCGACATTGCAATTTTTATATACAAAATTTTATATTCGTTTGAAGACCGGGTCTTTTCGAACTGGGGATTTTTTCGAAATGGTGACTTTCGAAATGGTGATTTTCGAAATCGTGACTTTTCGAAATGGCGATTTTCGAAATGGTGTTTTTTCGAAATGGTGTTTTTTCGAAATGGTGACTTTCGAAATGGTGTTTTTCGAAATCGTGATTTTCGAAATGGTGATTTTCGAAATGATTTTCGAAATCGTGACTGGGAATCGAGAAATTATGATTTTATCAGGCTTATATCTGGGAGGGATTTGAACTGCCTACGGAAGAATTTAGTACTAACACCAAAAATTTTTCGAAAACTTTGCTTGCCCTCATGGCGACCGATCGAAAATTAGATTAATGGGCTGACTTTTCAGATTCGAGCTCGATTAGCACTCTTTGGGCTAATCGAGCTCGCTGCAAGTGCGCTTTTACTGTGCGAGCTTTTTTTAATGTTATGAGCAGCTAGTTCCAAAATTAAAGGCCGTACGAAGATTGGAAACGTTATTAATTTAATCTAGCCCGACTTCTGGCCATGGTCTTCGGATCGTATGTGGAGTTAGCAACGAGGTCGATGGCAAATGGGTTTAGCTGTTTATAGTTTCAAATTAAATAGGCTACTCTAAATTATGTAAGCACTCAAAATCTATCCTAACTTCTTTCAATATTCTGTGTATGCGCGTTGTTTTTATCGTTGGATTGTGTTCTCCCCGAATTCATTACCACAAAAACTTTATTGACAGACACACACGGCACTACTAAAAAATCAGATGAAAAAGATTGCATTTTAAAAAACACGGATATGGTGTTCTTGGTGGGGCGGGCAAATCTAGAATTTGGAGCGGCTGGCGGCGCGCATCACGGCCACAGAGGCGGATCCCTGGATGCCGGCGCCGGCCGTGGTTCCAGCACGCGACTTCGACCTGCAAATTGAGTGTTTATTCGCGCTTTGGACTGGAAAACTTTTAGAAAGTCTCGGGAAAGCTTTAATCACCCCATTCTAAGCTTCGTTTTCACTCTTTTAAACTAGAAAGTCTATTGTATTTGTTAAAAATCTCATTTGTGCAAAAAAACACTCAGTTTTTGAGTTGTTTTATTCTGTTTTTGGCTACTAATCTTTCTGGAAAGAGCAGAAAGACCTTGGTCTATGAATTCTAACTTTCATTTAGCTTTCTTGAAACGGGAAAATCTCTTTTTATTGTCAAAAAAGATTATGTTGCGCCCCTTTTTGAAAAAAAGCCTGTTTTTGCGAGTTTATTTGAGAAAGCAGGAAATTTCGACCTAATACGCTTCGTTTATTTTTGTTTGGACTTCAAATATTCTTTTAAAACACAAAAAGATTTTAGTTTTTATGTCCTAACTTTTGTTTTGAACTTTTTTAACCTTTAGAAGCGTTTTTCGAAACCAAATCGCTAAATTACGGCTATTTTGTAAAAAAAACTCGTTTTGGAGATTTTATTCGAAGCCTACGCTTTTTAGATCTTGATTTCTTTGTTTTGATATTGTTATTTCCTTACCTGAGGCGGGTCAGACCATCCTCAGCCGAATCGGCGCGCTCCTCGGCGTCCTCGAGCTGGGCCTGGATCTGGCGGAACTTCTGCAGGTTGCCATTGGCCAGTTCCTCCTAAAAATTGTTGATTGCATACCGTGTTTACATTTTCGTTTTATTTTTGATGTTTTTGTGCTATTTTTACTTACAGCGTCCTCGATCTGGCGCTTCTGGGTCTTGATCTTGGTCTGGAGTTTGTCAACGAGCTCGTTGAGGCGGTCGAAGTTCTTCTTGTCCTCGTCAATCTAGAAAAATGTTTAGATCGGCCAGTTTTATGCTAGTTTTGGTTGTCGATATCTCCTATTGTATTCTTACCTGGAACTGGAGCTCCTTGACGCGACGATCCGACTTCTGGACCTCCTTGATGATGTTCTGGTAGCGGCGCTGCTCGCCGTCAAGCTCGGCCTCGATCTCGCGGATGCGTTGCTCCAGCTTGGCGATGGTCTAAAAAGTTTCAATAAGTTTTACCCAACCTTATAAGCACCAACCTTCTTGCCTCCCTTGAGCGCGGCAGCCTCGGCCTCGTCCAGGCGGACCTGGAACTCCTTCAGACGCTGCTCGAGGTCCTGGCGGGCACGGTTGAGGGCGGCACCATGGTCTTGCTCCTGCTTCAGCTCCTCAGCCAAACGGGTAGCATCAGCGATGGCGCGCTTGCTGTTCTCCTCAGCCAGACGGAACTCCTTCATCGTCTCGTCCAAATCGGAGTGCAGAGCAGAGATCTCTCCCTCGAGGCGGCGCTTGGTCGAGCTGAGCGTCGAAGCCTGGAGCTGGTACTCGTTGGCGGCTTCGCGGGCATCATGAGCCTCAGTCTCAGCCTGGCGTCTCTGATGGTCGACCTCTCCAAAGGCGTGCTTCAGTTCATCCTTGTCCTGCTCGAGGATCTGGGCCCTCTTCTCGGCTCCCTGGAGTTGATCACGAACCTCATCTTTCTGTCGCTGTTCCTCCTCAACCTGGAGTTGCAGCTCACGGATCTGTTCTTGATGTTTGCGGAGATTCTTCTGAGTATCAGCATTGTTCTTATTGGCATGATCAAGAGCAATCTCCAATTCGTTGATATCTCCCTCCAGCTTCTTCTTTGACTTGAGAAGTTCATTCTTAGACTTGGACTCGGTCTGGATGGAAGCAGTCATGCTCTCCAGGGCCTTTTGATGGTTCTTCCTGGTGCTCTCGAATTCGGCCTCCTTCTCCTGGATTCTCTTCTCGATCTCGGCACGAATCTGTGATACTTCCACTTGGGCCCTCATCACCTTGGCTTCTTCGGCTTCAAGTGCATTCTCAGCCTCATCCAATCCCTTTTGAAGTTCTTCTTTTTCAGTCTCAAGACGACGAATAATCTTTTGCATTTCATGAACAGATCGTCCTCCTTCACCAAGTTGATCGCTCAGATCCTTGATCTCCGATCCGAGAGCCTTGTTCTCACGGCGAAGTCCCTCAATGACTTCTCCAAGTTCATCTTGGGCAGTCTTGGCACGGTGAAGATCAGCCAGAGCATTGCGAGCATCACGTTGAGCTCCATCGACCTGAGCTCCAAGGTCATCAGATTTCCTCTTCCATTCTCCGACAATATCATCAAAGTCACGTTGCTTCTTCTCCAAAGTAGCAGCATAGGAATTGGCACGATCAGCATCAACTTGAGCATCATCAAGTTCTCCAGCGATACGAGCCTTTGATTTGTCGAGAGCGGAAATCTTTTGATTGGCAGCTTCAATGGAATCGGTCAATTCCTGGATGCGTTGTTGTTGCTTCCTCTTGGCTTCTTCAATCTCATCAGCACGAAGCATACCTTCTCCTTCGAATCGAGATTTCCATTGTTGAATCTCAGCATTCGCCTTGGACAATTGACGGTTGACGTCATTCTTGGCTTCGATCTCCTCTTCGAGTTGAGAACGAACTTGTTCAGCTTCAGCCTGGGCATTGCGAGAAGCGGCTTGAAGAGCTTGACGCTCACGAGCCTCATCATCAGCAGCACGCTTGGCCTCGTCGAGTTGGGCGAGGATCTGCGACTTGACGCGGTTGATGTTGGCAAGCTGAGACTCGACGTCTTCGAGTTGGCGGCCAAGATCGGAGTTCTGTCCTCCAAGTCGGTTCTTCACCGAGTTCAAGTCGTGCAGCTCACGTCCCTGGTCATCGACACGGGACTGCAGCTCTCCGAGCTGGGCTTCGAACTGCTTGGCCAGCTTCTCGTGCTGAACCTTGGTTGAGGATTCCTGGTCGAGCTGGGACTGCAGGCTTTCAGCGTCACGCTGGGCCTGAACCTTGTCCTTCTCGGCGCGGTGCTTGGCCTTGTTGACCTGGTCGATCTGCTCCGAGAGCTCCGCAACAGCATCGGTGTGCTTCTTCTTGAGTGCCGAGAACTGGGTCTCGTGGTGGTGGCCGGCCTCCTCGATGTCACGACGGAGCTTGGCAAGTTCGGCCTCACGCTTCTTGTTGATCTCGGCCTGAGCGGCGGTGGCTCCTCCCTGGTCATCAAGACGGTTGTTGAGGTCCTCAAGCTCGCTCTGGAGTTCTGCCTTGGCGCGCTCGGCGCGGTTGCGGGAGTCCCGCTCGCTGTCGAGCTCCTCCTCGAGCTCGGCAAGGCGAGACTGGTGCTCCTTAACTTGGCGTTGGAGCTTGCCAACCAGGGATTGTTCGTCCTCCAGGCGAGAGTTGATGTTGTGAAGCTCGCCTTCCCTCTTCTTCAGGTTGTTCTCGAGGTCGAGCTTCTGGCGGTGAGCCTCATCGATGTTTTCGTTGGCAATCTTGAGCTCGCCCTCAGTCTTCCTCTTCTCCTTCTCAGCCTCAGCCTTGTTCCTCTTCTCGCGGTTCAGGGCATCCTCCAGCTCATCAAGGGTCTGCTCGAGCTTCGACTTGACCTTGTTGGAGTGGTTGACCTTGTCCTCCTCGGAGGAAAGGTCCTCAAGAAGCTTCCTGTTCTGTTCTTCGTGGTGCTTCTTCTCCTTGTTGAGCTTAGCGATCGTCTCCTCCTGATGTTGCATTTCATCCTGGAGAGAACGGATCTGGTGCTCCTTGGATTGCTTCTCAGATTCGCCTTTGCGGAGGCTCATCTGCAGATCTTGCAGTTGCTTCTTGAGCGAGTCGAGCTCTCCCTCGGCCCTCTTCTTGGCACGAAGGCCTTCAGAGTTGCCCTCCTCGGCTATGGCCAGAGCGTCGTTGACATCATCAAGCTCGCGAACGGCACTGCTGTGCTGCGACTCGAGCTGAGAGACCTTCGATTGGTGCTCTGCGATGTTGCTCTTGGCCTTCTCGAGGTCGGCGAACAGTTGGTTCTTTTCATCGTTGAGCTTCTTGTTCTGTTGCTCGAAGTCGGTGCGGAGTTCGGATTCGCGCTTCAGCTTGTCCTCGACCTCCTTCAATTGAGCGTTGAGGGCATCGAGCTGCTCGTCAAACTTGGAGGCGTAGATCATCGGCTTGACCTTGCCGTACAGCTTGAACCAGTCCCAAGTGCGCAGGCTGCACCATCCCTTGACGTTCCTCTGGACGATGAGGAGTCCAACCTTCTGCTGCTCGCGGCGCTTCTTGTCGGCGCTGCCCAAGTAGGCGCGGATGAAGGCCTGGAAGAGGGTGAAGATCTGTGCGAGCTTCTCGTCACGGATGTCCTCGAGATGGGCCAGGATTCCGGCCTTGAAAAAGACCTTGGTGGCTCCGAGCTTGAAGTTCTCATCGGTGACATATCCCTCTTTGATCATGCGCTGCATGACAGCTCCGGCGCACTTCTTCGGGTCCGAGTCGGACTTGGCCTCGGAAGCGGCCATGATGGCGTAGCGGTGGACGAAGTCGGGGTGGAGCATCCTGTTGGGGAAGCCCTTCCTGCAGATACGGATACCCTCAAGCACACCGTTGCAGGTGAGCTGGTTGAGCACGAGGCCGGCATCAAGCACTCCCGACTGCTTCTTTTCGTTGGGGATGATGCAACGGATGAAGTGGGGGTGGGTCTTGTGCAACATCGTCATCAAGTTGTTCAGCGACTCGCGGTAGAGCATAGACACGGTCATCATGGAGCCCGACTTGCCCTTCTTCTTGCCACCAGCGGCTCCTCCAGACTTCTGGAGCTCCGCGGCTTCCTCCTGCGTGACGTAGTCGTCCCAGATGGTCTTCAGCAGCTCGTTGTCGTTGGACTGCTTGAAGGCGGAGACGACGGTGTCGTTCAGCGGGTCCTTGTTCTTCTCGAGCCAGTTGGTGACGTTGTAACGCACAGTTCCGGCGTAATGCTTCATGGCGAAGTGGGCCTCGGCCTGTTTGCCCTTTGGTGGCTTGGGCTTCTCGAAATTGGGGTGCTTGCCCAAGTGCTGGTCGTTCAGCTTCTGGCCCAAAGTGGTGTCGGTGGCCTTCGGGACGATGCACTCCTCATCAAGCATGGAGATGATGCCCATGGGCTTCTCGATCAGCTCGATGCAAGCCTGAAAAAAAAAGTGTTTGCGTTAATTATGGAGATCGGACAAGTTCAAGGAGGTCAGCAACAAACCTGGAGATCCAGACCGAAATCGATGAAGGTCCAGGCGATTCCCTCCCTGGCGTACTCCTCCTGCTCGAGGACGAACATGTGGTGGTTGAAGAATTGCTGCAGCTTCTCGTTCACGAAGTTGATCCACAACTGCTCGAAGGAGTTCATGTCGAAGATCTCGAATCCGGCGATGTCGAGCACACCGATGAAGTAGTCACGAGAGATTCCTTGTTGATCAAGAGTCTCGTTACACTTCTTGACGATCCAGTTGAAGACCCTGTTGTAGACGGCCTTGGCCATGGCTCCCTTGGCCCAGTTGACCTGCTCGACGTTCTGGCCCTTGGAGACCCACTCGTTTCCGACACGGACACGGGGCTTCAGGAGGGCTCCGAGGAACTTTTCGGTCTCGACGCCGTACATGGCGGATGCCTTCTCGGCCTCGTCGGTCTGATCGGGTTCGGCCTGCTCCTCACGCGGGCGTTGCTTGAACTTCATGTTGCCCATGTGCATATGGGCGGACATCAGGCGGTAGCAGTCCAACTTCTCGGTCGGGCTGAAGTTGAGGATGTCGAACGACTCCTCAGTAGCCTGGAACTCCTCGGTGTCGTTGATTCCATCGACCGTCAGCTCAGCCTGGGCGACGAACCAGTACTCCTTGATGGGCTTGTCAAGCAGCAGCTTCTCCTTAAGGCCAGGGACGAAGCCGGTGAAGATTTGGTAGAAGATGTGGTAGCAACGCTCTCCTGGGGCTTGACGGATGACACGAGACTTCTCCAGGAGGTAGTGCTCAATATCGCAAGAAGCGACACGGCCGGATCGGGAGAAGTGGATACGGATGAATTTTCCGAATCTGAAAATGGTCAGTTAGGATTTTTTGGTGGTCATTAAGTTTCTTTCTCCCTTTCATAGCACATTTAGCTACTCACCGAGAAGAGTTGTTGTTCCTCACAGTCTTGGCGTTACCGAACGCCTCCAAGACGGGGTTGGTGCGGACAATCTGGTCCTCGAGGGTGACCTTCTTCGTTCCGTCAGAAGCGGTCACACCCTCGGCCTCGTTCTGCTTGGCACCGACGGCGGCGAAGTAGGCAATAACCTAGAAAACAGAAGCTTAGAACTCTCGATGGCGCTGACCTTCTTGGTGTTCTCGGTCTTGCCGGCGCCGGATTCTCCGGTGATGAGCATCGACTGGTTCTCGTGGTCGATCAACATGTTACGGTAAGCCTCGTCGGAGACGGCGAAGAGATGGGGCGGCATTTCGGTACGGCGTTTGCCCATGAACATACGGGCCACCGTATCGGTGTAGATGGGGAGGCGCTTGTACGGGTTGATGACGACGCAGAAGAGACCCGAGTAGGTCTGAAATTAGGGAATTGATTAAGCACTTTAAAACAGAGAGGGGACGGTTATTAAGATGGAAAACTCACGTAGATGAGCATCATCTTGTAGCGGGCCCTCAAGTTGTGAAGCACAGAGGCGTCGTTGAGGAAGGAGAGATTGGACATGTCCTCCGTTTTTTCAAACTTTGGAGGATTCATCTCCTGGACGAGCTCCTTCTTCAGGGTGATCTGAAAGAGAGGCACATCCTGGAGACTGAAGTGGCAGTACCTCATTCTGAGACTTGGTGACGACGGTGACCTGCTCTCCGGCGGTCTTGATGATCTCGGCGGCCTGGAAGCCCTCCTCCTCATCGGGGACCCAGCAGTTCTTCTTCGAGTCGTACGGGGCGGATTGCTCCTGGAAAGATGCTTTTGAGAACAAAACTTTGGGGAAGCGTTGTCAGGAGGTAATTTAGGGGGAATAGGGCCACTTTTGTGCTTCGGATCTCACAATCTAGTTTCCACACGGGACGACGCCTATCTGGTGCAGAATTTTGCGTTAATTCCGAGCGTGTTTTCAAAATCTGCGAGACGATAAGCTACAAAAAGTCATGGATATTTTAAGTGCGATAAGGGATCAAGATAGGAAAATTTCGGAAAATTTTTGCCTTTTGCCCCTAAAAAGTTTCCTAACTTTTATGGTCTGATGGTTTCGCAGCTTTTGACAACTGGCTCGGAATCAGCGTAAAATTGCGCAAGATTGGTCCCGTACCGCGACTTGATTGGCACTAAAAATCGTCTCCTTGTCAGTAAACCTTTTCAGGAGATGCTTTGCGGTTTTGGGGGAGTTCTGAAGTTCTAACCGTTTCATTTAATCTACACCTCCGAACCGGAAGATTATATTAGGGTTAAACTCAAGTTCCTATCTTCATAGCCTAATCAATCACCGATTTTCCTGTCAGCCCCCAGGCAGAGTTTCTTTCCAGATCCTGAACCCATTGTGCATGGCCGGGGGGCCGTCAAGCAGTGGCAGTTGGACCCAAGCGAGAGACCACGGAGACTGAGCGACAGAGAGAACTGCCCCAAAGACATTGGAGAAGAGCAAGAGACGCTGAGAAAGGGGGCCCCTGCCTGGGGCTGTGCGGGGGGATGGCCCCTGTTGTAATGCTTGGGCCCTCCCCTCCGGGCCCGACAATGCCACCAGCTTGTTCCGATGCATAAAATTGAAAGGAGGCATGGATTTGGGAGGAAGGCGATCGATTGATTGGGATGTCGAGAAGGTAAAGTGGGAATTAAAGGGACTGGGAAGGCAAAAGCTCGGCTCAAATTACGAGAGATTAGACTAGGTGTCATCATCTTTTGTAGAAATGCTTTTAAACCTCCTGGTAGGCTTTTCTATGCTATTTTTCCTCGCTGAGCTCGAGTCTACCTCTAATTTTGCTGTTAATAGAGTGTTTATGGAGCTGCGACCTTCTTGAGGCGGAAGTAAGAGTTTTAAATGTCACGGATTCGACCAATGCTCGAATTTTTACGATTTTTTTGAGGATTTGCGTCAGCATTAAGCTATTTTTGGATCTTTGTGAAAATTTTCCCTAATCCGTTATTTCTAGCAATTTTCAGAAAGTCCCGAAATGCCCAGCTCCGCTTTTCCTTATTTTACGCGGCGGTCCATGAGGAACCCGATCCGCACCGGGGAGCCCGAGACGTGGGCAGAAAAAGTGCCAAGGAGCAAGACAGCAGAGGTCCAGAAAAACGGCGATTGATGAGACTGTCATGTTTTTCTGGGGTACAACGAGTACATTAGGTTATGGTAAAGAATTATGGTGATCTAGGGGCTATTCTGGTCTTTTCAGCAGCTTTTGGAGATGCTTTTTTGAAGCAAGGAGGGCTAGGATACTTCATGGAATTTTAGACTTCATGGAAATTTGCAAGATGAACTGTAAGGTAGTTTTTCTAGGCCGAGAAAAGACTTGACAGTTCGTTTCGAAAGTCCGTGCTCAGTCAGCGGCCAAATTTGGGCATGACAGCTGAGCCACCGCGCATTAATAGACACTTCAGATTTTAGGTAGCGTCGAGGGCCGCCGGACTTGGAATGCTAATCAGAAAATTCCTTTTAGAGGGGCTACTGCGCTAGGTGATTCAAGCAAAAAACCCTGCAAGTCGCCTAGTTTATCGTAAAAATATTTTTTAATCTTCTCTTTCTGAGAGGCATTGACCTCCGCTTGTTAAAAAAATAGCTTGTTATCCCTTAAACTAGCTTAAAAAGCAGGGGGAGGGTTTTGTCAGAAAAATTGATGAGTTTGGCCTGGCCCGCAAAGGCTAGAATGCAAAAGAAACGGTAAAATTAAAATTTTACGGTAAGCGAGCTAATATGCTACTTTCAGAACGCTCGAATGAGGCCGAGCAGGGGTTGTTCGAGCGGAATAAAACGGTTCATTTTCCAGAATGTCGTAATGGCTCAAGAAGGCCAAGAAGAGCGCGAGAAGAACACCAAATTCACCATGAAAAACCCCAAAAAAACGCCTCCAAAAACTCACAGCAATCATCTGCTCGCGGCTCATGCGCAGGTACTGCCATCCCGGATCATTCTCGTACTCGAACGCCATCCTCTCCACGTAAGAAACAACGACCACAGACGCGACGACGGTGTGGGGTGCCCGAAGGGGAAGATGACTCTCCACCGCTCGATCTCAGCTATTTATACCTCCCGCCCTCATGCTCATTCCACTCCTTCTCATCCTCGCATCTCCTCCTCCCCTTCGATATATGCCCTCGGGCCATTTGGCCCTCACGTATTTCTCATCCTCCTCTTCATTGGCCATAGGCCAACCAACCCCCGATGCCTCTAGGTGTGTAGCCGCAGGGGGGATCCACCCATTTAGTGGCGTATCTAGGGCTGCACGTTTTCATCTCGCTCTGAAATCTCTTGCTCTCTATCTCTGTCCCTCCACCCTCTCGCCCTCTGTTGTATATGCCGATCTGCCTTGCCCGAAGAGTGTGAGTGTGATAGGAGGAGGGCATCGCCCGCGGCGGGGAGCAAGAGCAGGGTCTTTGGCCTGGGCCCCACACAGCTGCCGCTCATGCTCACCTCACCACCACTGCCCACAACCTCCGGGGCTCGGATTTCCGAGGCTGGACGTGGGCCAGAAATATGCGAGAAAAACAAGTGGCCCGGAACCACCAAAAATCGCGTGAGCCGCGTGGAGAACGAGTAGAAAGTTTCACAAACGTTTTTACAGGCTAAAACATTCAAAAATCCTCCAAAATAGTTAGAAAAAGTAAAAAATACACTCCAAATTAGCTAGCAAAATTCATACCTATTTTCCAAGGTTTTTATTGCTTGAAAAATGGTTAAAATTGTTTGGAAGACCTGGAAAACTTCAAAAAGGCTCTTAAAGCTTACCGCCTCCAAAAGAATCGATTACGCCATCTATTTCAGCTAAAACACCCCCAAAACGCTTAAAAAAATCGCGCGCGTTACTTTACAGGATTGGATTTCGCAGCGCTGAACTCTAAGACATCTTCCGCACACCCCTCAGAGCTGTTATCGATACTACTTCTTTTTTTGTTGACAGCAATCACCGCCGAAAATGCCCTCGAGTACGTTGCGACAAACCATCCCCCTTTCCCGGCTGACTTCCGTGAAAACAACGAGCCTCGTGTCACCCCTCAACCATCACGCATTAGCTTTTAGGCAGGCGTTTATTAGCAGAGAAACGGGGAAAGCGTGGACGCTCTCGGGTTATAGGGATAGCTAGATAAAAATAGACTACAAATAGACACTATCTAGGGCTTGACGATGAAGATTGTGGCCCGGGATATGTTCGTAATGCGTTGTTGGTTCGTTGCTTAGAAGTGGCGGCTGGCGGCGCGCATCACGGCCACCGAAGCGGAGCCCTGCAGGCCGGGGCCGGCAGTGGTTCCAGCACGCGACTTCGAGCTGGAAAAGGAGGCATAAATAAAGTTTAAGAGAATAATAAAGCGATAAAATTCTTGTGTCGGAAAACACTAAAAATCACAGGCTTGTCCAAGGTTACAAAGCCCCCCCTTTTCGTTTTAAAAATTTTAAAAGTTTCGAAATTTCCCTTTTTATTGAAATGCTTGCAGAAACCAAAGCGTTTACCTTGTTTAGCCATTAATTTTGTAAGAATTAAGTACTTTGAAAAGCTACCTAATATGCGAAAAAGCTGTGCCAAAAATTGAACGCTGCAAGCTATAATTCGAGAAGGTCCATAAAAAAGCAAAGTTCCTGAACGGTGCGCGCCAGAACGAAAATTCCGGAAAAAAGTGATTTGTATCATAGTTTTAGTTTTCAGATGTATTTCTGGGTTTTTTTTTTTGTAACGCTAAAAACGAACCGCAGCTTGGTGAGTCCATCCTCAGCCGAATCGGCGCGCTCCTCGGCGTCCTCGAGCTGGGCCTGGATCTGGCGGAACTTCTGCAGGTTGCCGTTGGCCAGATCCTCCTGAAAAGTCCATAATAAATCCCAGAGCCAAAATAACACAATTACGACCTTTTTGACTCAATCCTAACAGGAATTCTCTTCATTTCCTCTGTTTTAACCTAATTTTAGCGATCTACCATGTTTTCCACATCCTACAAACTATTTCCTCGTTTGATCACGACTGCTCGCTAGGGTTTGAGCAAGAGGGCACCCGTGGCAGTTGGGTTTTCCCGGAATTCTCCAATCGCCCCGGGGGGCCTCAATCACAAAAAGCAGCCCCAGGCATTTGAAAAAGAAGCGAAAAGACGGGGGAGGCCAGGTGTTGGGCCCGGCAAACGATCAGCCAGGAAATGGCCAACCAGGCAGAGGTTTTTCCAGGGGATCTTGCAAAATAACAAGAGCAGCAAGTTAGAGGGAAGCTGTCGAAAAGTAAAACGGGAATAGAAAAGGGCTATCAAAGATATTTGGTAAAAATTTTTACAAATTAAATTAATTTCTACTTTTTTGAGGTCAGTTGGGCAGTAAAATTTCTATGCTTATATTAAAGCTATGATATTTTAAAAAGCGTTCGAAAATCTTCAAATTTGAGAAAAAACTAACAGCATCCTCGAGCTGGGTCTTCTGGGTGCGGATCTTGCCCTGCAGTTTGTCGACGAGGTCGTTGAGACGGTCGAAGTTCTTCTTGTCCTCGTCAATCTGAAAGCTTTTGAATTATAGAGGTTTTTATTTTGGTTTTTGAATTATAGATGACAAAGTATCGATCTATTTCCCGTTACGACCGCAACACGGCGCCGAATCAGCCGTGCTTTTAAAAACGTACCTTCAGGACCTGGTTACTTTTCAAATAGGTTTAATTTAGGTAGATTATGACTCCGAATTGTAAAGCGGATCTGACGCTTCCAATGATGTCAAAAAGTGCAACTTTAAGTCGAAATTTAGAAATATTGAAGCTGAAAAAGTGTTTTCAAATGTGCTCTGCGTTTTCATGGTTCTAAAAATTGCATTTTCAGGTGTTTTCCATCGTTGACTAACTTTTAATCTAACGGTACAGGCTTTTAAAATTTTAGTTTGAAAAATTTCGATGCTAATTTGCTTTGCTACGATTTACACCCCCGTACGGTTTCCGTCCACGGGAGCGTTCGTAGCCCCCTCGCCTCTTGGGCATCCCTTTTTGGCAATGCCTCCTTTACTGCCGTTTTTTTGATCATTTGCGTTAGTTTTCGACATCCTTTCTACTGTAGTTTATATCCCACCTGGAACTGGAGTTCCTTGACGCGACGGTCGGCCTTCTGGACTTCCTTGACAATGTTGGCGTAGCGGCGCTGCTCGCCGTCGAGTTCGGCCTCGATCTCGCGGTTGCGCTGCTCCAGCTTGGCGATCGTCTAAATTCATGAGGTTATAAGTTTATTGAAACTTTTCGCTGGGAATTCAGCGTTTAAAATTAGGATTGCTTATTTTGTTTTTGACGCACTTGTCACGAGTTTTCATTCATAAAAGCTCGCGCAAATCTTGAAAGCCTGGTTTCGTGCGCTCGAATTTATGCTTTAACGTTTTCTATACCATTTTTCCTCCTTTTTGATAGCTCGGCTAATTTAATGGCACGATAACTTTTTGTTTTCCGGAATTTTTCGATAACTTACAAGCTTTGGCGAATTTTGCTGCGCTACGTTTGAGGATCGCGCGGACCAAAAAATCTGGCGCTTTGCGCTTACACAACTGTTTCACAGTCACGTTTACCATACAGCTTTTTCCATATTTTTTCAACTATTTGTCGATTTATGAAAGATCTAACACTGGGCTTGGTAGTTTTGATCATAAGCAGGTAACCGACCTTCTTGCCTCCCTTGAGCGCGGCAGCCTCGGCCTCATCCAGGCGGATCTGGAACTCCTTGAGGTTCGACTCAAGGTCCTTCCTGGCCCTCTCGAGAGTGGCTCCGTGCTCCTGTTCTTGCTTCAGCTCTTCAGCAAGGCGGGTAGCATCAGACATGGCCCTCTTGGCCTCCTCCTCGGCGTTCCTGTACTCCTTCAGGGTCTCGTCGAGGTCAGCGTGCATGGCAGAGATCTCTCCCTCCAGCTTCCTCTTCGTTGAGTTCAGGCTGGATGCCTGGAGCTGGTACTCGTTAGCGGCTTCACGGGCATCATGAGCCTCAGTCTCAGCCTGGCGTCTCTGATGGTCGACCTCTCCAAAGGCATGCTTCAGTTCATCCTTGTCCTGCTCGAGGATCTGGGCCCTCTTCTCGGCTCCCTGGAGTTGATCACGAACCTCATCTTTCTGTCGCTGCTCCTCCTCAACCTGGAGTTGCAGCTCACGGATCTGTTCTTGATGTTTGCGGAGATTCTTCTGAGTATCAGCATTGTTCTTATTGGCATGATCAAGAGCAATCTCCAATTCGTTGATATCTCCCTCCAGCTTCTTCTTTGACTTGAGAAGTTCATTCTTAGACTTGGACTCGGTCTGGATAGAAGCAGTCATGCTCTCCAGGGCCTTTTGATGGTTCTTTCGGGTGCTCTCGAATTCGGCTTCCTTCTCCTGGATTCTCTTCTCGATCTCGGCACGAATCTGTGATACTTCCACTTGAGCCCTCATCACCTTGGCTTCTTCGGCTTCAAGTGCATTCTCAGCCTCATCCAATCCCTTTTGAAGTTCTTCTTTTTCAGTCTCAAGACGACGAATAATCTTTTGCATTTCATGAACAGATCGTCCTCCTTCACCAAGTTGATCGCTCAGATCCTTGATCTCCGATCCGAGAGCCTTGTTCTCACGGCGAAGTCCCTCAATGACTTCTCCAAGTTCATCTTGGGCAGTCTTGGCGCGATGAAGATCAGCAAGAGCATTGCGAGCATCACGTTGAGCTCCATCGACTTGAGCTCCAAGGTCATCAGATTTCCTCTTCCATTCTCCGACAATATCATCAAAGTCGCGTTGCTTCTTCTCCAAAGTAGCAGCATAGGAATTGGCACGATCAGCATCAACTTGAGCATCATCAAGTTCTCCAGCGATACGAGCCTTTGATTTGTCGAGAGCGGAAATCTTTTGATTGGCAGCTTCAATGGAATCGGTCAATTCCTGGATGCGTTGTTGTTGCTTCCTCTTGGCTTCTTCAATCTCATCAGCACGAAGCATACCTTCTCCTTCGAATCGAGATTTCCATTGTTGAATCTCAGCATTCGCCTTGGACAATTGACGGTTGACGTCATTCTTGGCTTCGATCTCCTCTTCGAGTTGAGAACGAACTTGTTCAGCTTCAGCCTGAGCGTTACGAGAAGCGGCTTGAAGAGCTTGACGCTCACGAGCCTCATCATCAGCAGCACGCTTGGCCTCGTCGAGTTGGGCGAGGATCTGCGACTTGACGCGATTGATGTTGGCAAGCTGAGACTCGACGTCTTCGAGTTGACGGCCAAGGTCAGAGTTCTGTCCTCCGAGACGGTTCTTCACCGAGTTCAAGTCGTGCAGCTCGCGTCCCTGATCATCGACACGGGACTGCAGTTCTCCGAGCTGGGCTTCGAACTGCTTGGCCAGCTTCTCGTTCTGGACCTTGGCAGAAGATTCCTGGTCGAGTTGGGACTGAAGGCTCTCGGCGTCACGTTGAGCCTGGACCTTGTCCTTCTCCGACTTGTTCTTCGACTTGTTGACTTGGTCGATTTGCTCGGAGAGCTCGGCGACGGCATCCTGGTGCTTCTTCTTCAGGGCGGCCAGGTTGTTCTCATGGAGATGAGCGGCCTCCTCAAGATCACGACGGAGCTTGGCGAGCTCAGCCTCTCGCTTCTTGTTGACCTCCGACTGGGCGGCAGTGGCTCCTCCTTGCTCGTCAAGGCGGTTGTTCAGATCCTCGAGCTCGCTCTGCAGCTCGGCCTTGGCGCGTTCGGCACGGCTCCTCGATCCGCGCTCATTCTCGGTCTCCTCCTCAAGGGTGGCGACCGTGGCCTGGAGCTCCTTGATCTGGCGCTGGAGCTTGGAGACGAGCGACTGCTCATCCTCAAGACGAGAGTTAGCATTGTGCAGCTCTCCCTCCTTCTTCTTGATGTTGTTCTCCAGGTCAAGCTTCTGGCGGGTGGCCTCCTCGATGTTCTCGTTCGCGACCTTGAGTTCTCCCTCCAGCTTCCTCTTGTCTTTCTCGGCATCAGCCTTGTTGCGCTTTTCGCGAGAGACGGCATCCTCAAGCTCATCAAGGGTCTGCTCGAGCTTGGTCTTAACCTTGTTGGAGTGGTTGACCTTGTCCTCCTCAGAAGATAGATCTTCGAGGAGTTTGCGGTTAAGCTCCTCCTGGTGTTTCTTCTCCTTGTTCAGCTTGGCCAGGGTCTCCTCCTGATGTTGCATTTCGTCCTGGAGAGAGCGGATCTGGTGCTCCTTGGACTGCTTCTCAGATTCACCCTTGCGGAGGCTCATCTGCAGATCCTGAAGCTGCTTCTTGAGAGCTTCGAGCTCTCCCTCGGCACGCTTCTTGGCACGCAGTCCCTCGGTGTTTCCTTCCTCAGCAGCAGCCAGGGCATCGTTGAGGTCATCGAGTTCGCGGGCGGCACCGGAGTGCTGCGACTCGAGTTGGGCGACCTTCGACTCGTGCTCGGCAATGTTGCCCTTCGCCTTTTCGAGATCGGCGAAAAGCTGGTCCTTCTCCTGCTTCAGCTTCTCGTTCTGCTTCTCGTAGTCGGCGCGGAGCTCGACCTCCTTGTTGAGCTTTTCCTCGACGTCCTTGAGTTGGGCGTTGAGGGCATCGAGCTGCTCGTCGAACTTGGAGGCGTAGATCATCGGCTTGACCTTGCCGTACAGCTTGAACCACTCCCAGGTACGGAGTCCGCACCATCCCTTGACGTTGCGCTGGATGATGAGCAGGCCGACCTTCTGTTCTTGGCGGCGCTTCCTGTCGGTCTGAAAATGGAGGTGTACTGCTTGATCTCGATGCTGGAGTATAGTCAGAGCTAAGACTCACGGCTCCAAGGTAGTGGCGGATGGCAGCCTGGAATCCGGTGAAGATGATGTTCATCTTCTCGTCACGCACGTCCTCGAGCTTGGCCAGAATACCGGCCTTGAAGAAGACCTAAAGCAGTTGGTTATTCAGAATGAATCTTACGACACTTTCATAAAATACCTTAACTGACCTTGGTGAGACCGACGTTGAAGTTCTCGGCAGTGACGTGGCCCTCGTTGATGAGTTTGCCCATGATGGCATCAGCGCACTTCCTGGGGTCGGTGCTGCTCTTGGCTTGCTCAGCGGCGACGATGGCGTAGCGGTGGACGAAGTCGGGGTGCATCATTCTGTTGGGGAATCCTTTCCTGCAGATACGGATTCCTTCGAGCACACCGTTGCAAGTCAGTTGGTTCATGACAAGGGCCGCGTCGAGGACGCCGGACATCTTCTTCTCGTTGGGGATGATGCAACGGATGAAGTGGGGGTGGGTCTTGTGCAACATGGTCATCAGGTTGTTCAGCGACTCGCGGTACAGCATAGACACCGTCATCATGGAGCCAGACTTTCCCTTCTTCTTGCCTCCAGCAGCGGCTCCAGACTTCTGGGCCTCGGCGGCCTCCTCCTGGGTCTGGTAGTCTTGCCAGATCTCGACGAGCAGGGCATTTCCGGTCGACTGCTTGAAGCAGGACACGACGGTGTCGTTCAGCGGGTCCTTGTTCTTCTCGAGCCAGTTGGAGACGTTGTAGCGCACAGTTCCGGCATAATGACGCATGGCAAAGTGGGCCTCGGCCTGTTTGCCCTTTGGCGGCTTCGGCTTCTCGAAGTTGGGATGCTTGCCGAGATGCTGCTCGACGAGTTTCTGGGCAAGAGTCAAGTCGGTGGCCTTCGGGACGATGCACTCTTCGTCCAACATGGAGATGATGCCCATGGGCTTCTCGATCAACTCGATACAGGCCTGAAAATAGGTTATTTTTGCGGGTTTTAGGGTGGTACTACAGTAAGTTCTTTATATATATTATTTGTCTCAGTTTTAGCAATTTCTGTTTTTATTTTGTCGAAGTTTTTACTCAGTTATCCTAATTCGAAAAATGAGAGTAACTACCTAAATAAAACATGCTAAAAATATCTAATTTTCCAGAAAACTTTTCCAGAACTAACGGTGCTGATTAAACTAGTTTTTCCCAAAATTGGGAATTATTCGATTCTGGTTTAAATTTACTATTCATTTTTCTAAGTTATCCAACTAATTTTAAAAAATGTTACTGGAAATCCTGATAAACATTGCTTTGCATACAGACAGCTGCTAGGCAAAAAAATATCGGTTTCACCGCCGGAGAGCCCCCTTTTCCCGAAAACACTAGTGCCCTAAAATCTAAAAACGAACCTGGAGATCAAGACCGAAATCGATGAACGTCCACTGGATGCCCTCCCTGGCGTACTCTTCCTGCTCGAGGACGAACATGTGGTGGTTGAAGAATTGCTGCAACTTCTCGTTGACAAAGTTGATCCACAACTGCTCGAAGCTGTTGAAGTCGAAGATCTCGAAGCCGGCGATGTCCAACACACCGATGAAGTGATCACGGCTGACTCCCTGTTGATCAAGGGTCAGGTTGCACTTCTTAACCAGCCAGTTGAAGACGCGGTTGTACAACCCCTTGGCCATGGCTCCCTTGGCCCAGTTGACCTGCTCGACGTTCTGTCCCTTCGACACCCATTCGGTACCGACACGGACACGCGGCTTCATCAGGGCGCCCAGGAACTTCTCCACCTCCACTCCGTACATGGTAGCGGCCTTCTCGGCCTCATCAGTGCCGTCAGCCTCAGCCTGCTCTTCACGGGGGCGCTGCTTGAACTTCATGTTGCCCATGTGCATGTGGGCGGACATCAGGCGGTAGCAGTCCATCTTCTCTTCCTCAGAGAATCCGAGGATAGTGAATGCTTCGTCACTGGCCTTCATCTCCTCCACATCATCGATACCATCGACGGTCAGCTCGGCCTGGGCGACGAACCAGTAGTCCTTGATGGGAAGGTCGAGGAGGAGGGTCTTCTTGAGCTCGGGCTTGTAGTTGGAGTAGATTTGGTAGAAGATGTGGTAGCAACGCTCTCCGGGGGCTTGACGGATGACACGAGACTTCTCCAGCAGGTAGTGCTCGATATCGCAAGAGGCGACACGGCCCAGTTTGGAGAAGTGGATACGGATGAACTTTCCGAAACGGGAAGAGTTGTTGTTACGGACAGTCTTGGCGTTTCCGAAGGCTTCGAGAATGGGGTTGGTCTGGACGATCTGGTCCTCAAGGGTGGCCTTCTTGGCGCCGTCATCAGACTTGATACCCTCGGCCTCGTTCTGCTTGGCGCCGACGGCCGCGAAGTAGGCAATAACCTAAAAGAATTGGTTTCTCGAGCTTTCCAAAATGAACTGACCTTCTTGGTGTTCTCAGTCTTTCCGGCTCCGGATTCTCCGGTGATCAGCATCGACTGGTTCTCGTGGTCGATCAACATGTTGCGATAAGCCTCATCAGAGACGGAGAAGAGATGAGGGGGCATCTCAGTCTTCCTCTTGCCCATGTAGATGCGGGCAACGGAGTCGGTGTAGATGGGCAGACGCTTGTACGGGTTGATGACGACGCAGAACAGTCCGGAGTAGGTCTGTAATCAGGATCTCGTTTAGGTATTGTTTTTTTCTCGAGAGAAGGTCCGGTTTTCAAAGTCTAGAACTCACGTAGATGAGCATAGCCTTGTAGCGGGCCCTCAGATTGTGCAGCACGGAGGCGTCGTTGAGGAAGGAGAGGTTGGACATGTCCTCCGTTTTCTCGAACTTCGGGGGGTTCATCTCCTGGACGAGCTCCTTCTTCAGGGTGATCTGAAAAGAGAAAGAAGTGGATGACGTGAGCGGGGGTTAGGTACCTCATTCTGCTTGCAGGTGACGACCTTGACGGTGTCACCCTTGTCCTCCTGGATTTGAGCAGAGACGAAACCGTCCTCCTCATCGGGCACCCAGCAGTCCTTCTTCGAGTCGTAGGGCTTCGATTGGTCCTGGAAAAAGAGGATATAAAGGTTAAAATGGATTTTTTTTATATTGAACAGCTTGGGGACGTTGGGGGCAAGACATTAAGGGAGATAAATAATTGCAGAAAGCGAGATTTTGAGTTGGTAGTTTTTAAAATTTGCTATATTTTCCTGTTCAACTACTTCGTTACTGTCTTTTTGGCCCATTTCTACTGGCTATACTCGAGCTCAAGTAGACCAACATATGTTTCTGAAAGGGCCGAAGAGAGGCAGGCGATAATGGGAAACATCCGTGTGTGAGGCTAGTGAAAGAGCGCAAGAGAGAGCGAGACAACTGCCGTAAACCAGATGCCCGGGTTGGGATTGTGGAAATTTAGGGATGAGATTCTCTGGAAAGCTCACGTTTTCGAAGCGAGGAGTCATAAAAAGAGCACAGCTTTAATTTCTAAACCTGCCAAAAATTATAGATACTAATTTCGGGGGTTGAAAGACAGAGCCGTGTCTATTTCTGGCAAATTGATGACATTTTTCGCAAAATCAAATCAGGTGCTCAACATTGATTTATAATATTTAGAAGAGAAGAGAGAAGGTAAAATCGACTGTGGTTTCGGATTTTTTAGAAAATCTGTAAAAAACTAGAGGATGAAGTTAGATACTAGAGAAACTAGACAAGAGTAAAATCAGGAGAATGTGACAATAGCGAAACAGTAAGGATGGACTATGCAGCAAGTTCCAAAACGATTTTTGTGGCGTAATTTTTTAAAATTGAATGCCAGCCTAATTTTTATCTGCCAAACAAAAGTGGATTTTTCGTAAGGCAAGAAATTAAAAAAGCGGGAGAATGAACAAATGAGCATTTAATGTCAAGAAATCCTAAGCGCTAATTTAGGAGAGACGGATCGCTAAGGTCTTATTCGAGTTTTTGTTGCAATTCTAAAATAGGGTTGGTAAAATTTGGATTTAATGGGAAAAGATCTGGCAAAAGGCTGGCTACAGTACGCCTAGTTTGGTTAAAGAGACTAACAATAAGTGGAGACGATGGCGTAAAAACTTTGATAGAGGCAAAATCAAGAGCTACAGTAATCCTAAGACAACATGAAAAAATGATAAAATGCTATTAGAAGCCGAATGAGGCAGAGCGAGCGGGTAGGGCAGATGCAATAAACAGCATCAAAAACAGCATAAAACACGAGACGTACCACAATCTGCTGCTCCCTGCTCATGCGCAGGTATTGCCAGCCGGGATCATCCTCGTAGTCCATGGTTCTCGGCGGGACGACTTGTGAAGACGCTCTCCCAGGGGTAGAATGCCTTTTTTTCGGGGGCCACCGGCCTTTTATACCGCGTCTCTACCAGCTCCACCTCCTTGGCCTTCCCCCCTCTTGCTCACCCTCTATAACTCCACCCCAACAAGAGTTTTCGCCGGCGGTTCCCGATCCCTCGATCTCTGGCTCCACCCTTCAGACCCACATTTTTCAAGACACTGGGGGGATTTTGGTCCTGGTCCGGCCAGCCAGACGGGGCTCTTTCTCCTCCACCGTATCCCTCTCGTGCTCCCCTTAGTGCCCACATACCAGGAAGCCGCCCCGGAAACAACTGTGCCGTTCTCCCCACAGCCATTGAGCGGACGAATTGGCAAAAGATAACGATTCCCGGGCCCCAGACTGGCGGACAGGAGAACGAATGGCAGAGAGTGGGATAGACGGAGACGGGGTAGAGATACCGAGACGTGTGGATTGACTGTCTTTTCGTCTCGGGGGGACCCCATCAACCAAAAGCCTCGAGGGAAACCCGAGCTCTCCCACAGCACCCCGAGGGCTCTCAACCATTACTACCTAACCCATGAGCGGTGAGGATGAGCAGGAGGAGGGGAGCATGAGCATTTTTGGAGAAAATATGAGAATGGGAGGTATCGATTTTTGGGTGTTTGGCTAAAAATGAAAAATTGTTGCTGATAATTTTTTCAGCGCTAAAGTCGTAAAACGCGCCGAAAAAACCTAAAACAGTTAAAACCACGAACAAATAAAGTGCGAATTCTCGAATGAAACTAATTTTAAAGCAAAAATCGATGACGCCATGAAAATCAAGAAAAGCAAATTTTTTGATTTTCTTGATTTTCATGGCGTCATCGATTTTTCGGGTCTCGAAAATCAAGGATTCTGCTATTGAAAATAGTTAATTTATTTACTTTGTAAGCTCTAAGAAAATCTAAATTATATAAATTACTATAATAATTATAATTAAAGACCCCTAAAACCCGAATTAGATGCCGTAATCGATTAAATTCCTGCCTATTTTCTGAGACAAATGGATACATTCCCATCCATATATCGTGCGTGTTTCCAGGCATACAGTCCGTGTTATATAAATACGTACATAAATTTTATTATCTTTGGCAAGCACAGGCTATCCTATCCTCTAGGCAAAGCGGCGGTAGACGCGGAAGAAGAGACGCTTCTCCTCGATTTCCCGGTGAATTTTTAGTCGAGACGGCTGCGGGAGCGCGAGCGGGCGATCACCGCGGCGGAGGCGGATGCCTGGAAAATATTCGTGAAAATGGAATCGTGTTTTGAAAACTGCATTCTAAAATTACTTCAAAATACAATTTAAAGCCCAACGGTTTATAGAAAGATTCTGGAATTTTCAATCGATTACGACATGGAATTATTGATGAGAAATACTGTCCTTGGCGAAAAATTATATTTTCAACTTTTTCAAATACTTTTTAGACCTCTAAATTTCACCCCAAAAACTCCGGATTTTCATTCGATTACGACATGGAATATTTATGAGAAACACTGTCGTCGCGGTGGCAAATCATATTTTCACTTTTTATATAACTTTTTAAACCTATAAATTTCTTTTTTGATTTGATCCGAAATTTTGATTCGATTACGACATGAAATTCTTTACAAGGGGTCCAGTGCATTTTCTAGCTTATATAATTTTTACAAAGCTTCTGAATTCGCCCACCTGAAGCCCAGGTACAGCGGTCCTCGAGCGCGACCTCAGCTTGGTCAACGACTGCTCGGCGGAGTCGGCCCTCTCCTCGGCCGAGTCGAGCTGGCCCTGGATGTCGCGCAGCTTCTGCAGGTTCGCGTTCGCGAGCTCTTCCTGAAAACTCCGGACTATAAACCACAAGTTTGCATACCGCATCCTCGATCTGTCCCTTCTGGGCTCGGATCTTGCTGTTGAGCTTCTCGACGACGTCGTTGAGGCGGGCAAAGTTCTTCTTGTCCTCGTCAATCTAGAGGCCTTGTATTCAAGAATGAGTACTTTCTCCACCTGGAACTGCAGCTCGCGGACCCTCTTATCGTTCCGCTGGGCCTCCTTGACAACATTCTGATACCTGGCCTGCTCGGTGTTGAGCTCGGCCTCGAGCTCGCGGTTGCGCTGCTCCAGCTTGGCGATCGTCTACAAATTGTTGATGAGGATCTCAGGGCATAGACCCACCTTCTTTCCTCCCTTGAGCGCCAGGGCCTCGGCCTCGTCGAGTCGGACCTTGAACTCGCGGGTCTGACCCTCCAGGTGTTGTCGTGCGGAATCTGCGGCGCGAGAGGCATCCTGTTGCTGCTTCAACTCCTCGGCAAGGCGAGAGGCGTCCGAGATGGCACGCTTCGCGTTCTCGTCCGCATGCCTGAGATCGGATTTCTTTCCCGGGATTCGGAGCCCTACCTGAACTCCTTCATCGTGTCGTCAATGTCCGAATGGATGGCCTGGATCTCTCCCTCCAGCTTGCGCTTCATCGAGTTGGCAGAGGTCACCTGAATTTGCCTTTTCAAAAGCGGTTTTTGCACTCACCTGGGACAGGGCGTCATTAGCAGCCTCGCGGGCCGAGGCTGCGTCCTGCTCAGCTTGTCGCCTGTCAGCCTCGTTGGCGTTGAGCTGCCTCTTGAGGTCATCCCGCTCTCCCTGAAGCATCTCCCCGCGCTTGTTCGCGTTGAAGAACTGGTCGCGGAGCTCGTCGCGCTGGCGCTGTTCGTCTTCCACCTAAAAAACCTTTCAGAATTCGTCATTGAACTGCTACCTGAAGTTGCGAGTCCCTGATCTGCTCCTGGACCTTCTTGATGCTCTTCTGAATATCAGAATTGGCCTTGTTGGCGTGGTCGAGCGCAATCTCAAGGTCGTTGATGTCTCCCTCGAGCTTCTTCTTCGACTAAAAATCGATACGTTTAGATACCTTACAAATTACGGTGCTTACGCCGTATCGGGGGGGACCAAATTTTTTTCTAGGATCTAATTTTTCAAATAGAAATAGTGGAAATGTTTCTAAATTTTTATTACTATCCCTACACGTGAAAGTTAGTTTCTATATTAAGTTACCATGCACTTCTAGTTATACACCCCCCCCCCGATGATGCAAAAGATCCCAAATTACCACCCACCTTCAACATCTCGGCCTTCGACCGCGACTCGGTCTGAATGGAAGCAGTCATGCTCTCCAGGGCCTTTTGATGGTTTTTCCTGGTGCTCTCGAATTCAGCCTCCTTCTCCTGGATTCGCTTCTCGATCTCGGCACGAATCTGTGATACTTCCACTTGAGCCCTCATCACCTTGGCTTCTTCGGCTTCAAGTGCATTCTCAGCCTCATCCAATCCCTTTTGAAGTTCTTCTTTTTCAGTCTCAAGGCGACGAATAATCTTTTGCATTTCATGAACAGATCGTCCTCCTTCACCAAGTTGATCGCTCAGATCCTTGATCTCCGATCCGAGGGCCTTGTTCTCACGGCGAAGTCCGTCGATGACATCGGTGGCTTCGTCATGGACAGCCTTTGCGCGTTGCATCTCGGTGATAGCTCCACGAGCCTCACGTTGAGCACGATCGACCTCAGCGGCGAGGTCGTCGGCACGTTTCTTCCAATCGCCAACGATACCGTCAAAGTCCTTCTGCTTCTTCTCGAGGGAAGCCGCGTAGGAGAGCTGGCGGTCGGCTTCAACCTGAAAAATCGTGTTTTAACTTACCCAAGTTGGAGGTCATCTACCTGGGCATCATCCAACTCTCCGGTGAGCCGTCCGCGCTGCTTGTCAAGGGCCTGGATCTTGGCGTTGGCGGTGGCGATCTGGTCCTGGAGCTCGGTGAGCTTCTGGCCCTGCTTCCTCTTGGCCTCCTCGATCTCGTCGCCGAGAAGCATGCCTTCGCCCTAGAATTTTTGAGATTTAAAGGGGCCAGGAAGTCTGGTTTTGCTATTGATTTCTGGCAAGTAGCCAACTACGACCGCGCATAGTTTTTTGGCCCCTTTCTCAAGTTGCAAACGCGCGAATTCGCAGATTCTCACTTCCCAGTCCCTTTAAACACGGTTTTCTCCTTACCTCAAATCTCGACTTCAACTGCTGCGCCTCCTGGTTGGCCTTCGAGATCTGCCTGTTCACGTCATTCCTCTCCTCCGTGGCCTCCTCCATGGCCGACCGCATCTGCTCGGCGTCGTGCTGATAGTTCCGGGCTTGAGCGCTGATCATCTGCCGCTCCCTCGCCTCATCATCAGCGGCTCGCTTGGCCTCGTCGAGCTGGAGCACGATCTGGGCCTTGACACGCTGCACTTGGTCGATTTGTTGCAGCAAATCCTCGAGCTGTCTGCCGAGATCTCCATTCTGTCCGCTGAGCCTGTTCTTTTGCGAGGTGAAGTCGTGGATCTGGTGTCCCTGATCATCTACTCGAGACATCAACTCCGAGATCTGCTCCTCAAGGGAACGGGCCAGCTTCTCGTACTGAACCTTTTGAGAAGTCTCCTGATCCAACTGAGATGAAACTCCCTCCGCATCGCGTTGAGCGGAAGCCTTCTCCTTCTCCGCCTTGGCCTTCGCCTTCTTCAGCGCCTCGATCTGCTCCGAGATTTCGGTGACAGCGTCGTTGTTCCTCTTGCGCAGTGCCGACATGGCCGTCTCAAACTGTCCGGCCCCTTCCTCGACTTCACGACGGAGTTGGGCCAGTTCAGCGTCCCTCTTCTTGTTCATCTCGGCCTGGGTGGCGGTGGCCCCTCCCTGTTCATCTACACGCGACTGCAGGTCCTGGATCTCGGACTGCATATCGGAGCGGGCACGGTCGGCACGTTGACGGGACGCACGCTCGTTCTCGGCCTCCTCCTCGAGGTCGTGAATTCGGGCCTGTTGCTCCTTGATCTGGCGCTGGAGCTTGGAGACGAGTGCGCTCTCGTCCTCCAGTCGGTTGTTGGCGTTGTGGAGTTCTTGCTCCTTCCTCTTGAGGTTGTTGTCCAGATCGTTCTTCTGGCGACTGGCCTCGTCGATATTTTCATTCAGCACCTTGACCTCTCCATCCAACTTCCTCTTCTCCTTCTCGGCATCGGCCTTGTTCCTCTTCTCACGCTCGAGAGCCTCTTCCAGCTCATCGAGGGTCGATTCGAGCTTGGACTTGACCTTGTTGGAGTGGTTGACCTTGTCCTCCTCGGAGGCCAGATCCTCCATCAACTTGCGGTGCTGCTCCTCTTGATGTTTCTTCTCCTTGGTCAGCTTGGCGATGGTGTCCTCCTGCTGCTGCATCTCATCGTGGAGGGAGCGGATCTGATGGTCCTTAGAGGTCCTCTCAGCTTCAACCTTCCTCAGGGACATCTGCATATCCTGGATCTGCTTCCTCAGCTGTCCTAGCTCGTTCTCCACCCTCTTCTTGCCGCTGACAGCCTCGGAATTGGCATCCTCAGCCTCGGCGAGGCGATCCTGGAGGTCAGCAAGTTGTCGAGAAGCATCCGATTGGGCCGACTCGAGCTGGGCCAGCTTCTGCTCATTTTGCGACAGATCGGACTTGGCCTGCTCGAGCTGGGTGAGCATCGCCTCCTTTTCGGCGATGATCGCAGCATTCTGGGTCTCGAAGCCTTGGCGGGCTTGGCTTTCCTTATCGATCGAGCCCTGGAGCTCCTTCATCTGGGCCTCCAGGGCCTCGATTTGCTCGTCAAACTTGGAGGCGTAGATCATCGGCTTGACCTTGCCGTACAGCTTGAACCACTCCCAGGTGCGGAGGCCGCACCACGATTTGACGTTGCGCTGGATGATGAGGAGACCGGTGCGCTGCTCGGTGCGGCGCTTCTTGTCGGTCTAAAATGGGCGTTGTACTGCTTGAACATGAGGCTAGAAGATGGGGGCTAAAACTGACCGCTCCGAGGTACTGGCGGATGGCAGCCTGGAATCCGGTGAAGATGGTGTTCATCTTCAGGTCACGCACGTCTTCAAGAGCGGCAAGGATACCGGCTTTGAAGAAGACCTAAAAAATCGGAAAATCAGAATTGATTCAATTTCGGAAAAATCAGTGCCGGCCGTATTCCCAACCTTGGTCAATCCAACGTTGAAGTTCTCGCTGGTGACATGTCCCTCATTGACGAGACGTCCCATGATGGCATCAGCGCACTTCCTGGGGTCGGGGCTGCTCTTCGCCTGTTCAGCAGCGACGATGGCGTATCGCTGGACGAAATCGGGGTGCATCATTCTGTTGGGGAATCCCTTGCGGCAAATACGGATTCCTTCGAGCACACCGTTGCAAGTCAGTTGGTTCATGACAAGGGCCGCATCCAGCACTCCGGACTGCTTCTTCTCGTTGGGGATGATACAACTGGAATTGAGGGGATAGTTATGGAAAGTTAGGGTATCTCTCCCTCTCTCTCTTTCTCTCTGTTGCTCTCTCCCGCTCCTGCTCTCTTTCGCACTATCTCACTCACTCTATCTTGCTTTCCCTCTCTCTCTCTCTCTCTCTCCCTCTCTCTCTTTCTCTCTCTCTTTTACCGAATGAAGTGCGGATGAGTCTTGTTCAACATGGTCATCAAGTTGTTCAGCGACTCGCGGTAGAGCATAGACACAGTCATCATGGAGCCAGACTTGCCCTTCTTCTTGCCACCACCGGCTCCTCCGGCCTTCTGAGCCTCGGCCGCCTCCTCCTGAGTCTGGTAGTCCTGCCAGATCTCAACCAGAAGCGCGTTTCCGGTAGACTGCTTGAAGGTGGAGACAACAGTATCGTTGAGTGGATCCTTGTTCTTCTCCAGCCAATTCAGCACATTGTACCGTACAGTACCAGCATAATGACGCATGGCAAAGTGGGCCTCGGCCTGTTTGCCCTTTGGCGGTTTCGGCTTCTCGAAGTTGGGGTGCTTGCCGAGATGCTGCTCCACGAGCTTCTGGGCCAGGGTCAGGTCGGTAGCCTTGGGGACGATGCACTCTTCGTCCAACATGGAGATGATGCCCATCGGCTGCTCGATAAGCTTGATACAGGCCTGAAAATTGTTGCTACAAACTCTTCAAGCAAAAAGCAAAAGGTTGACTGCGTCTGGGATTCGAACCCTCGACCTATTTCTCAATAGTCCTCGACATTAACCATTAAACCAAGCTACTGTTTCGATTCTAAAAGTTTAAGTTTGGTAATTTTGATTTGGGAAATACAACATTCTGTTCGCCTTTTCAATAGCTTTCGATTGGTACCAAAATCGTTACGATCCGATACTTCTACGACGAGATAAAGAGGATTTACCAAACCCGGCAAGTTCAAGGAGTTCAGAACCAAACCTCCAAATCAAGTCCAAAATCGATGAACGTCCATTGGATGCCCTCCCTGGCGTACTCCTCCTGCTCGAGGACGAACATGTGGTGGTTGAAGAACTGCTGCAGCTTCTCGTTGACAAAGTTGATCCACAACTGCTCGAAGGAGTTCATGTCGAAGATCTCGAATCCGGCAATGTCGAGCACACCAATGAAATGGTCTCGAGAAACTCCTTGCTGATCGAGGGTGGCATTGCACTTCTTGACGATCCAGTTGAAGACGCGGTTGTACAACCCCTTGGCCATGGCGCCCTTGGCCCAGTTGACCTGCTCGCAGTTCTGTCCCTTCGACACCCATTCGGTACCGACACGGACACGGGGCTTCATCAGGGCGTTCAGGAACTTCTCCATGTCAATGCCGTACATAGCCGCAGCCTTCTCGGCCTCGTCGGTGCCATCGGCATCGGCTTGTTCTTCGCGAGGGCGTTGCTTGAACTTCATGTTGCCCATGTGCATATGGGCGGACATCAGGCGGTAGCAGTCCATCTTCTCCTCGTCGGTAAAGTTGAGGATGGTGAATGCCTCATCGGTGGCCTGCATTTCCTCGACGTCATCGATACCGTCGACTGTCAGTTCGGCCTGGGCGACGAACCTGGAAAATGGCGAGATAGGAGACTGGATGGTTTTTTGGTCTCTCGCTACTGCCCTGTTACCGGAGTTCCCAAAAAGCCCCTCTAGCGGTCTGCAGGAAGGTCGGACGGAATTTTTTTTACATCATTCGAAAGCTGGCGAAAAGGCGAGAAAACAGGCAGAGGGCAGCCACCCTAGGGGCGGCCAATGGTGGTTGGGGCACGCTTAGGCGGCGATCGGCGGTCAAAAGAGGCTGGCGGCCGCCAGGCAGAGACGCAGAGTGCCGGGCACTTTTTTTGGGCACCCTTGTATTTCTCTTTCTCCGTCACTAAAGTTCCCCGCTGAGATTCGAAAGCTATCGGTAAGTGAGAATCAACTTATTATGCATTACTAAAGGATACATTAAGGACATCTCCATAAATTTTTTGAAAATATGAAACTCTTACCAGTAATCCTTGATCGGCAGGTCCAAAAGCAGCTCCTTCTTGAGCTCGGGCTTGTAGTTGGAGTAGATTTGGTAGAAGATGTGGTAGCAACGCTCCCCTGGGGCTTGACGGATGACACGAGACTTCTCGAGAAGGTAGTGCTCAATATCGCAAGAAGCGACACGGCCCAGTTTGGAGAAGTGGATACGGATGAACTTTCCGAAGCTGAAAAAGATGGAAATTAGCTTTTGAGATGTTGTCGTGACGCTTCATGATTCTCCTAGCCTTTTTCACAAAATTTGAGTTTTCCGTGGTAAGTTAAGCCACGATTTAAGCGTCAAATAATTCGTAAATTCGCGTTTTTAAGCACCTACCGGGAAGAGTTGTTGTTCCTCACAGTCTTGGCATTGCCGAAAGCCTCCAAGACGGGGTTCGTCTGTACGATCTGGTCCTCAAGGGTGGCCTTCTTGCCACCGTCGTCAGACTTGATTCCCTCGGCCTCGTTCTGCTTGGCGCCGACGGCGGCGAAGTAGGCGATAACCTAGAAATGAGCTGTTTAGAATTCTCCGTAGCGCTGACCTTCTTGGTGTTCTCAGTCTTGCCGGCTCCGGATTCTCCGGTGATGAGCATCGACTGGTTCTCGTGGTCGATCAACATGTTACGGTAGGCCTCATCAGAGACGGAGAAGAGATGAGGGGGCATCTCAGTCTTTCTCTTCGACATGTAGAGACGGGCCACTGAATCGGTATAGATGGGCAGACGCTTGTACGGGTTGATGACGACGCAGAACAGTCCCGAGTACGTCTGGAAACTTTTGTATTTCCGCTTCAAGCCTTGGACTCACGTAGATGAGCATAGCAGCGTAGCGAGCCCTGAGATTGTGAAGTACAGAGGCGTCGTTGAGGAACGACAAGTTGGACATGTCCTCGGTCTTCTCGAACTTCGGGGGGTTCATCTCCTGGATGAGCTCCTTCTTCAGGGTCTTCTGAAATTGGTTCTTATCGTTGATATTGACCAGCCATTGTTTAACAGTTAAAAATTAACAATACAAACCTCGCTCTGGCTCTTGGTGACGACGGTGACCATGTCGCCCTTGGCGCTCTGGATCTGGGCGGCGACGAAGCCATCGTCCTCATCGGGGACCCAGCAGTCCTTCTTCGAGTCGTACGGCCGCGATTGGTCCTGAAGAGGACTGATATTGGCATTTTAAAACCAATACTTCTTTTTAAAGTTTTTAGATACCTGACTTAGAGTTTGCAAAAAGTCTTCAAAAATACCCTAAAAAGTCATTTAAGTACTTTAACCTCTGCTAGGTTATGAAATATTCAGAATTTAAACTCGAAGTCTAAAACCCTAAAATAAATCGAAAACCCTTTTGCGGGATGGGCTCTAGGCCTGGCGGTCGGTAGGGTGGCTGTTTTTGTTGTTCGGATCCGGGCCAAATTTGATCTTTTGCTTTTTGGTTCAAAATAAAGTTAATGTATCGCTTTAGGGCTGGAAAGCTTGAAAACCTTGAGAACTAGTAAAAAACCAGCATAAAGCGGGTTGAATTTCGGTTTTAGGTAAAAAATCCAATTTTTGTCCAAAAATTCGTAGAATTGACGCTAGTAAAAGTCAGATTATAGTTTAATAGCTAAAATTAAGTACAGAATATGAATATGCAACGTACAGCGAGCATTTCCTCGCGCGACTGGCGCAGGTACCGCCATCCGGGGTCATTCTCACAGTCGATGGCCGACATCTCCGATGAGTACCAGCAGTACCGTAGCCCTTGGCTGGATGGGGGGCAGAAATGAGTGCGACTCCGCGGGGTGCCCTCTTATGTAGTCCATTTTTCTCGACTGCGACAGTTGCAGCAATTCCCCACCGTCTTCTTCTACTTCTCCGGCTCAGCGGAGACGATCTCGAGTTTCACCCCGGGGTAGAATATCCGTTGAGAGATGGCCTCTCCCGGCTTGTGCGCATGTTACAATGATGTTTCGGAAAAAGTGTTGGGGAGTCTGAGGTTTGGCTGAGGTGAGCAGGACCTCCAGAAAAATGAGCGGGAACTTGTCAATGTCCTTTTTGTAGTTTTGTGACGGGTAGACAGGGAAATGAGGCGAACGGCCGGATGGGAAAAAGGAGAAAGAGGGATGTCTGGCTGGGGGGAAAGCTGGGAAAAGCTGGGAATGAACGGAAGTAACGAATGGTGGGCCAGAGATCCCGGGGATTAGCGGATATACAGCTAACAGTAAAAATCTGGGGTCTAGAAAATTTCTAGCTAATTTTGAGACCAATATTCAGGAAAATACCGTCTGATCTATAAACTTATTTGGCTTGGCTATAACTTTCTTGTTTTAAAATATTTTGGCATGAAATTTAGTGAAATTTCAGCTTCTCGGTCTTTCTCTCACTCTCTCCATCTCGCACTCTCTCGTTCTCTTTCTCGTTCCGTTTCTCTCTCTCTCCTCGCTCTCTATCTCTCGCATCCTCACTTTCACACGCTCTTCTATCTCTCTCTCCCTCTATCCCTTTGTCTCTCTCTCCCTCTCTCTTTCTCTCTCTCTTTTTCTCTCTCTCACTCACTCAGTCTCTCTCTCTTTCTTTCTCTCCCTCACTTTCTCTCTCTCTTTTCTCTATGTATATCTCTCATTCCCTCTTCCTCGCTCTCTCTCACTCTCATTCTCTCTCAACACTATTTATTCAAACACAGCAATCACAAAACATATTTGGTCCGGAGAAACATAAAGCAAAATAGCGATAACCAGCAATCCAAAATCCATAAATCAATAATTTAATGGTTCGGATCATAGTTCCTCTGCCTTCCAATGGCCGACATCGTGGCGGATGTCTGAAGTCCTCCCGTCCGAGGTCCTGAGGTCCCAGAGCGACTGCTGAGGCTGAAATGCAGTTTGTTACCTATCGTACCCGCCTTACCGTAGTTTGGTCAGTGCCTGTTCAGCCGTCTCGGCTCTATCCTCGGCTTCATCGAGTTGGAGCTGGAGTTGCCGGAATTTCTGCTGGTTGGTGTTGGCCAGTTCTTCCTGAAAAAGTGTCTTGAAGCTATGTTCTTATCTATCTTGCAGTTTGTAGTAGAGATGTTTTTATTCAGATACGATAAAGGAAATTTTGCATTTAAAGGTACACTAAAATCTCGGTCAAAAAGTTTGGTCGGGGTAGGAAATTTGGGCTCTTTGCCGCAGCCGGCCCAGCCCCTTCTTATTGCCTCTCCCCTTCCCCCTTCCCGTCTCTCCCTTGGCCTGGTGGTCCAAGGCGCTGCCCCAAGCTGGCAGTCAGGGTTCGGTTTTGCTCCACGGCGAGCGCCTACCGTAACCATGTTTGCTATCCTGCGGACGGTTACCGGCCGGTAACCAAACCAACGAGACTTTAGTGTACCTTTAAGGCAATTTGCATATCGTATCTATTTTCAAGCCGGGGCAATCGAGATACGATTATCGCATCTGGGATCGGCGAGACTCAACCCAGATACGATATATCGAAATAATATTTGCATATCGGAATAAGCAGAAAATATGTCATTCCCGTGAATACTTACCCCGTACGGACAGTCTGCATAAAAAAGCATAAGGTTAGGCGTTTCCGAGCCAAAATCATTCGATTTGCATCCATTTTATCGCCTACCGAGCGCCCTAATTTCCCTTAATCCGATATGCAAAAGTTATTCCGATAGTATCGTATCTCGGTGTGTCGGATTCCAATTCAGATACGATTATCTATATCGCATCTAGGATTTTTCAATTCCGATGGCTTATTCAGATGCTATATATCTGGATGCATATCGTATCTGAATAAAAACATCTCTAGTTTGTAGCCGTACTTTGTAGTTTGTAGCTGCTTACTTACTTTGTAGGCTCTGCTATTGTAGTCTAGCCAATGGCTTAGCTTGTCGCCGAGCTTGTGTTTTGTAGTCTAATATCTGGCTTGTGGTCTGCCCTGTACTTTGTAGTCCGTAGCTTAGTTTGATGCTACCGTGTAGTTTGTAGCCTCCAGCCTGTTTTTTAGTTTTTTGTAGTCTTTGTCCTACTTTGTAGCTTATAGTTTAGCTTGTGGTCAATCTTGTAGTTTGTAGTCTAATATATAGTTAGTGGTCTGCGGTGTATTTTGTAGTTGTAGCTCAGCTTGTAGTTTACCGTGCAGTTTGTAGCCTCCAGCCTATTTTGCAGTCTGTAGCTTATTATACGGTGTGTAGTTTTTGTCCTACTTTGTGGCCGATTTTGTAGTTTGTAGCTTTGGGAGAGTTAGTCGCTATATTGTAGTTTGTAGCCTATCGTGTAGTTTCGCCTATTTTAGACTTTGTAGCCAATTCCGTAGTCTGTAGTATGTACAGTATCTTGTAGCCTATTCTGTAGTTTGTAGTCTACTCACCGCCTCTTCCAGTTGTCCCTTCTGAGCCTTGATCTTCGCGTGTAGCTGCTCCACCTGGGTGTTCAACCGTTCAAAGTTCTTCTTGTCCTCTTCCACCTAAATTTCGAATTTTTTTGGTATCATTTGTGAAAAATCGGCAAATTGACCTCTACACTCCCTTTAAAACAACAACTCACAGTCCCTTTAAAACGATTCCAATATTTGGTCACAATCTGCCCCTTCCTCACCTGGAAGAGCAACTCTCGAACTCGTCGATCAGCCGCGCCTTGGCGTTGCAGAACTTCTCGAGTCTTCCTCTGCTCCACATCAAGGTCGGCCTCCAACTCGTGCACCTTTTGCTCCATTCGGCCGACAGCCTGGAAATTATTACCTTGCGTAATCGGTTAAACCCTAATTTTTTGGTACATAAGATCGTCGGCCCCCACCATATATCTTACTACTTCGGCAACTGCCGCTTCGCGGTTTTTCACGCAAGCCGTGCGTTTTGCGTGAGGACATTTTAAGGAACCTCAGAGGTTAAATTGCGTAACCGATTTTTAGAAGGATCCCTGCTCTGGGCACTAGTTCTATATTTGCCGCTTCGCGGTTTCTCACGCGTCGCGTACTAGGTTCTAAAAATAGCGATCACCCCACCTTCTTTCCAGCCCTCAAGCTCTCCCCCTCGGCATTCTCGAGCTTGGCCTTGAATTGATTCAGCTGTTCCATCAATCTGCCCTTCGTCATCTCTATGTCTCTTCCTCTTCCCTGTTCTCTCTTCAGCTCTTCCTCCAATCTTCCCATCTCTTGCTCAGCCTTTTTCCACTTTTCAGATGAGGTTTTCAGGCCCTGAAGGCTTTCGTCAAGATCCGTTTGGAGCGCATCGAGTTCTCCTGAAAAACATTGGATAATTTTTGTTAAAGGATCTGTGCCAGAGAGAGAGAGAGAGAGCGAGCGAGAGAGTGAGAGAGCGATGGAGAGAGAGCGCGAGAGACCGAGAGAGAGAGAGACAGAGAAGGAGAGAGAGAGAGAGAGAGAAAACAAACTACAAAACCGACCCTCCAGCCTCCTCTTTGCCGTATTGAGTGTTTGTATCTGTGTCATCACTCCCTGTAGTTCTTCCTTCGCCTGTCCAGCTTCCGCTTCGGCTTCATTCTTTTCCTTCATCAGATTCCTTCCCTCCGAATGCATCTCTTCCAAATCGGTCCTCAGTCCAGTGACACGTTTTTGAGCACCAGCGAGTTTGTCGTTGACCTGGAAATTTTGAGAGTTTCGGATTTAAAGGAACCGGCAAGGCACGGCTATAGATTTCGCCGCGCAGCGACACGCACAGGGACGTAGCGTAAGGTGCCCCCCCGAAATCGGCCGGGGCCCGAAAATTTCATAAGGGGGGACCCTTATGATTTTTATTTTCTCAAAAATTTTGCTGCCTGCGGCGCTATTTTTTCACGTTTTTATTGCTTTTTGTAGAGCTATGTAGCCTTTTTTTCCACAATTATTCGCCTGCGGCGCTGTTTTTTCGGCAATCTTTTGAGTTTTTTGGAAAAATTTTTTGCCCCCCCCGCGAAATTTGTTTCTGGCTACGCCCCTGGACACGCAACGCGCACGCAGCCTGGCCGCGATAAACCAGTCGTAATCGATTACGCAATGGAAATGCGGCTTGCGCGTTGCATATCGCGGACGCGGTAAAATCGGTTCTTAAGTAATTGCGAAGCTTGTTGGATACCTCTTCTTTCTGCCGTTTCTCCTCCTCGAGCTGCAATTGGAGGTCTCGAATCGTATCAACACACTTCTTCAGCGATTTCCCGGCATCGGCGGCTTGCTTGTTGGCGTGGTCGACGGACATCTCCAGCTCGTTCATCTCGGATTCGAGGTGCTTTTTGGCCTGGAAATAACGGGTTTCGATGGTCTAAGGGGCAGAGAAAACTACAGGCATACAAACTGGCATGCAATTGCAGGGATGAGGAGTTTAAGGGGACTGGGAAAGCAAGGTATGGATTTTTTTGGGGATGGAAGTCCTAAGGATAGTTTCTGCGACTTATGCCGAGACAGAAGGGAGAGACAGCGAGAGTGAGAGTGAGAGAGAGGGAGAGCGAGAGAGAGTGGGAGAGAGAGCGAGAGAGAGTGAGTGAGAGGGAGCGAGAGAGAGCGAAAGGGCGAGAGATATAGAGAGAGAGAGCGAAAGAGCGAGAGAGAGAGAGATGAGAGCATGAGAGACAGATGAGTGAGTGAGATAGAGAGAGCGAGAGAGAGCGAAAGAGCGAGAGAGAGAGAGAGAAAGAGAGAGAGAGAGAGAGAGAGAGAGAGATACATATACGGACAAACTTGAAAACTCGAGAACTCGAAAATTCGCTGGAATCCCGCCAAATCCCAAAGAAAAATAAGATTGAAATTGAAGGCAGTCAGACACAGAAATGACATCGAAACGCACCTTCATCATGTCCCCCTTAGCCTTGGCCTCAGTGTTGATTGTAACTTGCATACTCTCCAATGCCCTTTCATGATTCTTCCTTGCCGCCTCGAATTCCTCTTCCTTCTCCCGGACCCTCTTCTCAATCTCGGTCCTTATATAAGTGACATCAGCCTGTGCCCCCTGTGCTTTTATTTCAGCGGCTTCGAGGGCATTCTCAGCTGTATCAAGGCTTGCTTGTAGTTGTTCTTTGTCCGCCTCAAGTCTTCGGATTGTCTTCTGAATATCGTGAGATTGTCGGCCTCCCTCGCCCAGCTCATTCGATAGGGCTCGGATTTGTTGTTGGAGGGCGGTGGCTTCACGTCTGAAAAATGGGCATTTTGAGGCATAATTGATTATTTTTCTTGTGTAACCAATTATTATCATCGCCTAATGGATTATTTACATGAACTCAACGGTTATTTCATAGCATAATCGAATATTTTATCGTCTAATCGTTTTCCATGGCGTAATCGGTTATTTTCATCGCGTAGTCTGATTTTTTCGGAGGGTAATCGACAAATTTCTATTTTTTTCAGTGCTTATGCAAAGCGTATTCGTTACATTGCGTATCAATTATTCCATTGCTTAATCGAATAATTCGTTCGTTTTTTTGATTCGTTTTCGTCAAAAAAGCTAAAAATCAGCAAAATTTCGCATTGTTTGTTGCTATTTGTAGCCTAGCTCTGGCTACAAACTACAAATTCTTGTCTAACTTCAAAAAGTTTTCAAGCTAAATGCGACAAAATTTTGTAACTACAAAAATTCAGGATAAAAAATTTACGAGAAACCAGAGAATGCATTTGTAGTCTGTAGCTTGTAGATCACTACAGCCATGGAATTGTAGCTGTAGTGAACTACAAGCTACAGACTACAAACTCCAAAAGCACTCCACACCCACCTGAGACTGTCGATCTGATCGGTCAGTTCTTCTTTGGCCGCCTTGGCCCTGATCAGATCGGCTACGGTATCCATGTGATTCCTCTCTACAGTAGCCACTTCCGCTGTCACTTCATCATATTCCTCCTTCAGCTTTTCCGCCAATTTGTCGTGTCCCTTTTGCCGCATCTCCAGCTCTGCGGCCAGGTTGTTGATACGGGATGCTTCCACCTGAAAAAATTGGGGGCTCCCAAAAATGTGATTTTTCCGATTTAAAGGAGCTTGCAAGGCGAGAAGAAATTATTTTTATAGTTGTTGGTATTCCTTCATTTCTTTTTGAAGTCTTAATTTATTTTAGCTTTTAAAGGGACTGGTAAGGAAAAATATGGCCGAAATGGACGTTTTATGGCCGTCACGATCTCCTTAAACGCACTGTTCATGAATTTTTGTTCGATTGCCTTCATTGACCATTTAAAATCAATTTTTGGCGAATTTCAAGTTATTTCCCGAATTTAAAGGACCTAGGAAGGCAGATTCTGTAGGTCTGTCTGTGGAACCGTCACGCTCCCTTTAAAAAGACTTATCATAAATATTTTGCTTTATTTTCCCTTCTCTGCCCCTTTAAAACCCGCATTGAGACAATTTTCGGGTTATTTTCCCATTTTAAAGGACCTAGGAAGGCAGTAATTTGAGCTTTTCTAGGTGTCACTCCGCCTTTAAACCCACCTGGGCATCATCCAGCTCCCCAGCCATCCTGCCCTTCTGTTTCTCCAGTACTCCAATCTTCTCCCGGACAGTCTCGATAGCATCATTCAGCTCTACCGTATGCTTCTGGTATTTCGCCATCATCTCTGCCCTCTCTTCATTTCTCTTGATCCCTTCCCCCTCTACTCTCTCTTTCCATTCATCTACTGTCTTCACAGCCTTTGACAATTGGCGGGAGAGTTCGAGTCTTTGAGCTGTTTCCTCTTCCAGCTGGCTCCTCAGTGCTTCAACGGCCTCAGCGGCTCTTCTCGATTCATGGAGGGCTTCTGCCCGGTTGTGCGTCTCATCTTCGGCTAGCTGGGCGGCACGGAGGAGTTCGGTCTGGAAATTCGGACTACCGTAATCCATTACGCAACGAAATTATGTGGCGCGCAATCGATTACTTTGGGCCGTTAAATCGATTCAGGTTACGCCATCAAAATTCGCCCTGCAGAAGCGGTTACGGCATCAAATGTGGTCCCCAGAATCTATTACGCTAGCAAAATACGTGGCGTTCACCCGGTTTTGCCCGGAAATTGAAGTAGATAATCGAAAAATCGATCATGACGTAAAATTTAGTGGTGTGCAACGCTTACGACGTGAAATTTGGATCTTGGAATCCCTTACGCTATGAAAATTGGCAGCGTGCAACCAAATTTAGGCTTTAGAATCAATTACGCCATGAAAAACTGAGCGACGTAACCGTTTACGGAGTGAAATGACGACCGGGGAACCGGTTAAGCTATCAAATTCTGGTTAATTACGCTATAAAAATTGAGTGGCGTAGCCGTTTACGGCATGAAATCATAGCCAGAGAACCAATTACGCTATTAAATTAGGGCACTAAAATCTACCGGCTAGGTCATGAAATTTTGACTCTAGAATCGATTAGGCTATGAAAAACGCGGCTGGCAACCCATTATGCCATCAAATTCCGGCCATAGACTCGATTACGCGATGAAAATCGGCGACTTTCAACCGATTACGCCATCAAATTCAGGCTCGAGAACCGATTACGCAATGAAAACCAGCGCCTTTAGACCGATTACGACATTAAAAGTAGTCTCTCACCTGTAGTTGTGCCTTGATTCTTCCCTCCTGTGCAATTTCCGCTTTCATATCATCCACCCTCCTTCCCATCTGTCCATTTGTAGTCTGTAGTCTCTCCTTCTCCCTTCCAATCTCCATCAATTCCATTTCAGCCGTCTCGATCCTTCCCATTAATGCATCCATCTGTCCATCCAGCCCTTTGCATACTCTCTCCATCTCTATCTTTCCCTCTCTCTCTGCGTCTCTTCTCTCTCTCAATTCCTCTCCATCTCTCTCCGATTGTTCTTTGTCTTTCAGAAGTCGCGAGGTCGCTTTTCTGACTGATTCCAATTGATCGGTGATGTCGGCTGTCGCTTCGGCCATGCGTTTCTTCGAGTCGGTGATCTAAAAATGGGGTTTTAGAAGGTTGGAATCGATTACGCCATAAAATTATGCCCTAAAAATCGTTTACAAGGCTAAAATCGCCGCCCGAAGCGCTTACGCCAGGAAATCTGGCTCATTACGACACGTAATTCACCGCGCCAGCCGCATACGGCATATGCCGGCATGAAATTCGGCTGGCTAGCTTGTTTAGGTCATGAAATTCTTCCATTTTAACCGATTAGGTAATGAAAATCGACTATGGAAATCGGTTACGCCATTTTATTTGGCACGAGTATTTTATGTAAATCGGTTATCGATGAAAATAGGCCTTCCGAGGCGATTACACCGCAGAATGGAGCTATGGTGAAGCGATTACGTTATGAAGTTCGCGACGCATAACCGATTACGACATGGAATAGTATGCAGGTACCGACTATAATATATTCCTCTCACTCACTCTCACTCTCATTCTCTCACTCACTCCCTATCTCTCTCGCGCCCTCTCACTCTCTATCTCTCCCTAACTCTCACTCTCTATCTCTCCCTAACTCTCACTCTCTCTCACCCTCTCCCGCTCTCTCTCTCTCTCTCCCTCTCGCTCTGTCTTTCTCTCTCTCTCTACCTGTGCTTCATGCTGTTCTGTCACATCTTCAATCTCCCTTTTCAGCCGCACAATCTCGTTCTCCCTCCTTTTATTGATTTCCGAGTGTTCCACCGTAGTCGCACCCTGTTCTTCCAGTCTAAAAAGAGGAATGTTAGACTATACGATACTCCTCACTACCCTACCTTTCGTTAATATCATCCAATTCCGCTTGAAGTTCAAGAATCGATCGTTCAATGCGTTTTCGGGATTCTCGTTCGGTTTCCAGGGTCTCGACGAGTTCATTGCCGCGATTTGTGGATTCTAAAAAATCGGCTCGTTTCGGCCACGCGCACTTTAAAGGGTTAAGAATCCATAGCAATGGATTTTTGGCTACGCGGCGCACACGCGACGCACACGCGACGCCTGCACGACGCACGCGGGCACGCGACGCAAAAAGCCTGTACGGCAAAAGATTTCCAAGGCACGCGACGCGCCCGGTATTCAGGCTGCGTATCGATTACGATGGGCTAATGCTGGTCGCTCTGCGTGCGTGCGTACGCATTGCGGGTCGCGGCGCGGAAAATCGAGAAGGACACACGATGCGCCAGGCAGTATTTTTGGTGCGAAATCGGTTACGACAGGTTAAGGAGGGTCGCTAGCGTGCGCGTTGCGTGTCGCGTCGCCGCAACACATCTAGGAATCCGTAGCCGCAACCGTACCGTACCCTTGATCTGTTTCTGCAACGTGGCGACCATCTGCTCCTCTTCTTCCATCCTCTCCTCCAATTGTCTCACAGCCATCTCCTTCTGTTTCATGGCGTAAGCGATTTCCGTGTGCCCCCTCCTCTCTTCTTCCATTCTCTCTTCAGCCATCCTCATCTCTCCCTCCACCTTCCTTCTCTCTTTGTCCTCATTATGTCGTGCTCGCTTCTCGGCCTCGACGGCTTCCTCGAGCTCCCGGAGTTGTTGCTCCATTTTTGAGACGCCGCGGCCCTAGAAAGTTGGTTTTAAGGGATTGAGAAGACAGGAGATCTATGGTTTAGACAAACATGCAACGCGACACGCAACGTGAGACCTAACGCGCTACGCACCGCGGACCTCGACGTAACACGCAACACAGCGGTTGACAATAGGGCGATGCGTTTTGCGTGGCGTGTCGCGTTGCGTGTAGCGTTACGCACTGCGCTGCGTATGGCGCAGCGGACGCGTTTGGTACTGCGTTGCGTGTAGTCTAGCGTATTGCGTTGCGAGCAGCGTTGCGTAAGGCGCTGCCTGTCGCTTTGCCTACTATGCGGCGTGTCGTATTGCCTACTGCCTGCGGATCGCGCTGCGTACTGCGTTGCGTGTCGCTTTGCTTAGTGCGTCACGCGTTGCGTGCCGCGTCGCTTACTGCATCGCGCGTTGCGTATTGTGCGGTATGTTTGCGTCTCGAAGCGCCGCATCCAGAGCCAAAAAATCAAGTTCTTACCTGAATCTGCCGCTTATCCTCATTGATCTGCAAATCGTCCCTCAGTCGCTCGTTCGCCTCCTCCAGCGCCTTTTTCTCTTTTGTGGCCCTAGAATTTTTTCATAGAATTCCGCAAATTTCCTCTGTTAGCTTGCTCGATGCCTCAAGAGGTTTCTGCTGATCCCATTTGCTAGCCTGACCTCATTTCCCAAATTTCCTCAGATATACAACTTTAAAACGCGTTGCGAAATTTCTCAAACGATTTGCTGATTGACGTGGTTCCCAAAAGGTATCTGCTAGGCTGCCCACACCCAATTTCCCAAATTATCCCTGCAAACCTGCCTTAGGATCCGCCGCTAAGCTTCCTAAATGCTCTCTGCTGGCTCCCCTCTTTCCCAAATGCTCTTCGCTCGTTCCCCCACCTAGCAATAACCGCATCCTGCTGCGTAATTTCCTCGTGAAGAGTCCTCGCTTGTCTATCCCTTCCCTCTCTTCCCGTTTCAGCCTTTCTCAGCGTCATTTCCATCGTTTGTAGTTTCCTTCCAGCCTCCTCAGCTTCCGCTTCAAGTCTTCTCCTCTCCCTCAATGAGGCTTCTGTTTTGCCCTCAGCTTCAGTCACTTCAGCTCGGAGCCTGAAAAATACCACATTTTTACGGGATCCTAAAGGATATCTGCTCGCCGGCGGGCAGCACGCGTTTTAAGAATTCCCTAAGAATCCCTGCTGGCAGGCCAAATCTATCAAAATTCCTCAAGAATAGCGGTTCTAAGGGGAGCGCCAAAAATTCCCTGATGTCACTGTCTCTTTAGGACTTGAAACCTTGGATTTGAAGCATGAAAATCCTAATGGAATCCTGCTGGTTTGTCCTTTACCCAAATCCTCAACGACCTCTGCTAGCTGAAACACTGTTTTTAAAAGGACGTTGCCGGCAGGACTGCGAAAATTCCTTGCTGTCACTGCCCCTTTAAAAAGTCAAAATCATACGGTTGGGCGTGAAATTCCGTCAAAATCTCTGCTAGTTACCCCGCGCTCAGAATTTCCCAAAGAATCTCTGCTCGTAGCCTTGTTTCCACTTTAAACGGAACGCTTCAGAAATAGAAAAGAAAATTCATTGCCCAATTGAAAATGCCTGCAAGCACCATGCCTTTAAAACATAAAAATTCACGCTTTTGACCTAAAATTCCTAAATAATCTCTGCTAGCTACTCCGCACGCAGAATTTCCTAAAGAGCCTCTGCTAGCCCTCCGCAAACCCCCGTACCTCTCCAACTTCTCCTCATTGTTGTTGATCATCTTCTCCATGCCTTCCATCTTTCCCTCTTTCTCCTCCATTTCCTCCTTTGTCTCTGCTAGTTCCCTCAATATTCTCGATGTCTCTCCATTCAATCGATCATTTCTCAATTCCATTTCTTCTCTTTGTCTTCTCTGTTGTCCCACTGCATCGTCAAGTTCACGGAGTCGTGCTTCGAACTTCGCAATTTCTTCTGCCCTCTTGCCCTCGACGAGGAGGGGGCGAACCTGAAAAAATATTCAGTTTCCGCTTTTTTAAAGGGATTAGCAAGGCAAAAATTCTATGGATTTGGTGAACTATGGATTTTTCGCCAGAAAGCGAGAGAGACAGAGAGGGGGCGAGAGAGAGAGGGAGAGAGAGAGAGAGAGACTTCTTTACCTTGCTGAAAAGCGAGAACCACGGCCAGGCCCTGAAGCCACACCACGATTTGACATTCCGCTGAATGATGAGCAGACCGGCGCGTTGGGACTGGCGACGACGTTGGTCCGTCTGAAATCCGCAGAATTTTGTGGCGTAATCGAATATTTCATGGCCTAATGGACTATTTTTGTCGCGTAAGCGATTGTTCCCTTACGTAATCGATTATTTCTATGCATAATCGATTTATTCGGTAGTTTAACTGAGGTACTACCTTATTTTTAGCGCGTGATCATTTATTTTCATAGCCTAATTGATTATTTTCAGCGCGTTATCAATTGCTTGCAATTGAGTTAATTCACTATATCTAGCGCGAAATCTATTGTTTTTGTACAAAAATCCGTAACTGTACTTTAAGCCCCGACAAACCTGTGCCAAATACGAGCGAACATGGAGCTGTAGTTGGGTGAAAATGGCGTGCAATTTTTCGTCGCGAAGGTCTTCGAGGTGTGCGACGACACCTGCCTGAAAATCGGGAAATTTAATTTTAATTATGAATTCTTGATTTTATTTTATTGATTTTGTGTATTAAATTACGCTGCGATACCTTGAAGAAGACCTTCGTCCTTCCCATCCTGAATTGTTCATCATGGAGGGCATTTGAGGTGATAAGCCTGGCTAGCATTGCCATACTAGCTTCTTTTGGGCATTCACTGCTCTTCGCTTCAGTGATGGCAAGCAGCGCGTATCTAAGTCGAATTTAGTTAATTTAATTTCAGTCATGGAAAACCGGTTCTTTGGCATTAGCGGGGGGAGGGAGCCGAAATCTTTTTGCATAGGTCTAGGAATGCCTAATCACTTAATGGGAAGTATTTTACTAGTGTTTATAGTAAAATATAATTAGATTTCAGCTAGAAACACGTTCTAAAAACTTTCAAAAAAGCTGTAGTCAAAATTTTGGCCAAAACAGCCATATTTGAGCGAATATCTTTATTTTTCGTGTGTTTAAAAAAAGTTTGTAAGGTTATTAGGCCTAGGAATACTAATAAACTTAGAAGAACGTGCGCTATTTAGATTTGAACAATTGGATCTCAAGAAGAACTTTGGTTTCCCGCGATATACCCTCCCCCCCAATAATGCAAAAGAGCCGGTAAGCCAATTCAGGTCGACCAAGGTAGCTTACCGATGCCTGAAATCGGGATAAACGCTTCGATTAGGAAAGCCATTTCGGCAAATTCTGATCCCTTCCAGCACCCCGTTGCACGTCAGCTGGTTCAGCACCAAATCCGCATCAATCAGCCCCGATTGTTTCTTCTCGTTCGGGATGATGCAACTAAAAAGGGGCTCGAAATTAGCTTAAATAATTTAAAACGATTTTAAGGGTTACCCTTCCCTAAATATTTGAGAAAAATTCCGTTAAGATACTTTAAAAAAGGAAGGAAAAGTAAGAAGTGTCGAAATGGAACCGCTAAGCTGCTATGTACGCTAACTTTGGTAGCCTTTTAGTCCAATTTTTGCAGTTTTTGCTGCATCAAAAATAATTTTTCCAGGCCTTAGCAAGACGTAACTTTCGATTTTTTTTTTTCTCCGTGATGATCTTTATTTTTCAGGAGCCGACAAGCAACGCGCGCGTTGGCATTTCCCTCGCATAATGGATTACACTTCTTTACGTGATTATGATTCGACTACGTGATGCGTGCGCGTTACGTATCGCGGTCCCGGAAAACATATGGAAAGCCATAGCCAAAAAGTCATACGCATCACTTGTCAACGCCTTTAAACCCGCGTTTTGCACCCAATACCTTACCGTATAAAATGTGGATGTGTAGTGTGTAGCATGGAGATCAGATTGGCGAGCGATTCGCGGTAGAGCATAGAAACCGTCTGCATCGACCCGGATTTGCCCTTCTTCTTCCCGCCCGCTTCTTTCTGGAGGGCCTGGAAACATAGTTTTGCTTTAAATGAACTGTCCTTTTAACGATGTCTCTCTCTCTCTCACTCTCTCTCTCCCTCTCCAGGCGTATTTCCCTACCTGTAACTCCTCCTGTGTCTGATGACCCTTCCAGATCTCCCCAAGCAGCGGATTCCCCTTGGACGCTTTCATGACCCCGACGACAGTATCGTTGAGTGGATCCTTGTTCTTCTCCAGCCAATTCAGCACATTGTACCGTACAGTACCAGCATAATGACGCATGGCAAAGTGGGCCTCGGCCTGTTTGCCCTTTGGCGGCTTCGGCTTCTCGAAGTTGGGGTGTTTGCCAAGATGTTGTTCGACGAGCTTCTGGGCAAGAGTCAAGTCAGTGGCCTTGGGGACGATACATTCTTCGTCCAACATGGAGATGATGCCCATGGGCTTCTCGATCAGCTCGATGCAGGCCTGTAAAGGGTTATTGCAATTTTTTTGAGCAAAGAGCAAAACGTTTGCAGCGTCTCGGATTTGAACCTTCGATCTATTTCTCGGGATCCTGGACACTAACCATTACACCAAGCCGCTTTTTGGATGTCATATATTTTAACGTTTAAATTATATCATTTCGTTCGCCTTTTCAAGAGCTTTCGATCGGTACCAAAATTGTTAAGATCTGGCGCTTCTACGCCGAGCTGGGGAGGTTTTGATAAGCTCGACAAGTTCAAGGAGGTCAAAACCCACCTGCAAATCGAGTCCAAAATCGATGAACGTCCATTGGATGCCCTCCCTGGCGTACTCCTCCTGCTCGAGGACGAACATATGGTGGTTGAAGAACTGCTGCAGCTTCTCGTTGACAAAGTTGATCCACAACTGCTCGAAGGAGTTCATGTCGAAGATCTCGAATCCGGCAATATCGAGCACACCAATGAAATGGTCTCTGGGTATTCCTTGCTGGTCAAGTGCTCGATTGCAGAGGCCGACAAGCCAGGTGAAGAGACGGTTGTAGAGTCCTTTAGCGACTGATCCGACGGACCATGTTACTTGAGAGAGATTCTGGCCCTTGGTGACGTACTCGGATCCGACGCGCACCTAAAAAAGCCATTTTGTTGTTTCTTGGGTTTTTACGCGCAATCCGCACCTCACGCAAACGTCTAAAACGTCGAAAAAATATAGTTTTTCGTTTTAAAGGTACCGTGAAGGCAAAAAAAAGAATTTTCTAGCTGTCACCACGCCTTTAAGGGACCAAGCATGGCATCCCCATGGATTTTGAGCTATAGAATTTCTGCTGATACGTCCGCCCATCCGTTCAAGGCGCCGTGGAGGCAAAATGGCCGATTTTCTAGCTGTCACCATCCCTTTAGAGGGCCGCACAAGGCATCCTTATGGATTTTTGTGCTATGGCTCTTCTATTGAGACGACCACAAACCGCCAGCTCTTCCTTTTAAGCGTCAAGGATTCGATAATCATTTTTAAAGGCCCCATGAAGACAAATAAAAAATAATTTTTCAAAGTGTCACCGCCCCTTTAAAGGCTCCTGCAAGGCTAATCTATGGAGTTTTGAGAAATGGATCTGCGATAGATCATATGCCACTCTCGCCACTCGCAATGCGCCGTGTAGCGTTGCCCTCTTGAAGGGATTCTAATCGATTACGCAACGGAAAAGGAACGAGCGCGTTGCGTGTTGCAAGCGTGGCAAGTTCAAAATTATCGATCGTTTAAATACCTTTAAACTAACCTTGGGCTTGAGCAACGCCTGCACGAAGGGCTGTTCATCTACACCCAACATTTTCGCCGCCCTGGCAGCTTGATCAGATCCCTGATCAGCTTCAGCCTGTTCTTCTCTGGGTCGCTGTTTGAAGGGGATTGCCCCCATATGGAGGAGTGCCGATACAAGACGATACACATTTTGCCGATCTTCTTTTGCCACAGACAAGACATTAAATGCCTCATCCGTCAGCCCGAACTCCTCGCCGTCGTTGACCCCGTCGATTGAGAGCTCGGCTTGGGAGACGAACGGATAATCTGGAGAAGAAGGTGTAATTTCCTTTGTTTTTTCCTACGTTTGAGGGCCTTGTTGAGCATCAACTCCTCCCTGAGCTTCTCCCCAGCGGCGAATACTTGGTAGAAGATGTGGTAGCAACGCTCTCCTGGGGCTTGACGGATGACACGAGACTTCTCCAGCAGGTAGTGCTCAATATCGCAAGAAGCGACACGGCCCAGCTTCGAGAAGTGGATACGGATGAACTTTCCGAAGCTGAAAAGAGATTTTGAACCTCGATTACGACATGAAATCAGTATCTCTCACACTCTCTCTCGCTCTCTGTCGCTCTCTCTGTCTCGCTCTCACGCTCTCTCTCTCTCTCAATCTTTCTCTCACTCTCGCTCTCCCTCTCGCGCCACCTACCGAGAAGAATTGTTGTTCCGCACGGTCTTCGCATTCCCAAAAGCTTCGAGAATCGGATTTGTCTGGACGATCTGGTCCTCCAGTGTCGGCTTCTCTCCTCGAGCCTCAGATTTGACTCCTTTCACTTCGTTCTGCTTGGCACCGACAGCCGCGAAGTAGGCGATCACCTAACAAAGTGGAGTTCACGGCTCTCGGTATTACTGACCTTCTTGGTGTTCTCGGTCTTGCCGGCTCCGGATTCTCCGGTGATGAGCATCGACTGGTTCTCGTGGTCGATCAACATGTTACGGTAGGCCTCATCAGAGACGGAGAAGAGATGAGGGGGCATTTCGGTCTTTCTCTTCGACATGTAGAGACGGGCCACCGAATCGGTGTAGATGGGGAGACGTTTGTACGGGTTGATGACGACGCAGAACAGTCCGGAGTACGTCTGGAAGCTTTTGTTTTTCCGCTTCTAGCCTCGGACTCACGTAGATGAGCATGGCTCCGTAGCGCGCTTTCAGGTTGTACAGCACCGAGGCGTCGTTGAGGAACGTCAGATTGGCCATATCTTCGGTTTTCTCGAATTTCGGGGGGTTCATCTCCTGGATGAGCTCCTTCTTCAGGGTGATCTGAAAGAGGGGAGGGTAGAGAGAGAGGGAGAGAGAGAGAGAGAGAGAGAGCGAGAGAGCGAGAGAGAGAGAGGGAGCTACCGTACTTGATTGCCACGTTGAGTAACAACAGTCGTGAAATCGCCATTGTCCGAAGATATCTCGGCCCCAATATACCCCTCCTCGGCATCCGGAATCCAGCAATGGCGTTTCGAGTCGTACGGCTTCGAGTTGGCCTGCAAAAACGCGTATAAAAACCTGGAAAATATGTTTAGATATCTAGCCGTTTTTAGCGAGGAAAATGCCCTTTTTCCACATTTTTCGAGTTGTTAAGCCGATTTCTAAACTTTAAAAAACCATCAAAAAAAAGCCCCTTGATTTTATTTGAGCGTTTTACTGGCCTAGAAAGTACTTTTGAAGCTTGAAAACCATAATTTAAGGGCCTGGCCTTTAGTGTTCAGTGTCTCGCAAGCGAAATCATATTTTTTGCCTTTTTTTTGATCGGTTTTAAGAACTTTTTGGTACGATTTTTAGCGATCTAAAACCTCCCAAAAGTAGCTGTACTTTTCTTTTATCGTTTTATGCCTGTAAAATACGTTTTAAGTCCTGAAAAAAAGATAATTGAAGGGGGTTGGCCCTTGCTTTTCATAGTATTGCTTGTAAAACTATTTTTAACCATTTTTAAACATTTTCTGGCAAGTTCCAATCGATTTTTAGTGCTTTAAAATCTCATAAAACTCGTTATACTGTTCTTCTCAAGCTTTTGGTGGTCGTTTTCCCGGTATTTTTACCCTTTATTCCCACACTTTCAGCTGTGCTAACGTCACATTCCTCCGCGGAAAAGCGAAGAAAATCCGGGGTGAAAATGGACAAGTGCGGACAGCTGTCACCTGTCTCGTTGCACTCAACAACGAAAGGGACCGCCATTTGCACCCAAAATAATTTTTGGCGAGGGACCGGCAAAAATGCAGAGCCGAAAATAACCCCTGAAATGCTTTTAAACACTTTTCAAAGTTTGTAACTACAAACTACAGTCGAAAAACGTTTTAAAACTATTGAACACCTCAAAAATTTACACAGAAACCTTACCGAAACTGGTCAAAAAGCCAAGAAAAAGCTTTATGCTTTTGTAAAGTTTAAAACCAAAAAACTACAGCCTAAAACGGGTAAAAAGTATCTAAACCTCAAAAATAATTTCATACGGATATCGGACGCGGTTAAAAAGCCATTAAAACGTTCTAAACTGGCAATGAAACTTCTAAACTACAAACCACACCTATTAAGACCGCGAAAAACTACACAGAAAATAGATACCTGAATGGCCTCCTCCCTTCCGATTCGCAGGTATTTCCAGCCGGGATCGGCTTCGGCGTCAACCATTCGATACCTGCAGCCGAAAAAAACAATAGTTATTTTGTCTAGAAAACCTAGAAAGTAAAGAAAAAACCTGCGAAATAGGGCTAAATATGCTACTAAAAATAGCTACCTCTCTTGAAGTGGTAAAACAACCAACGAAACTTGGAAAAGCCTTTTAGTAAAGGCTTTGGTCCAAATCGACCATTTCCAGTCGAAAAAATCTTGATTTTACGACTTTTCTAATGAAAATTGGAAAGATTTGACAGTTAGGAATCGTAATAAACAGCTTAGAACCTCTTTTGCGATTTATATAAGAAAAAAAAAATTGGCTCCTAAAAACGTTATTCCCCACCCCCCGATAACGCAAAAGTACCAGTAATTAAATTAAATTAAATTAAAATCGATGGTAAGTGTGAATGGGCGGTGTGTTTGGTGGCTAGTGTATGAATGTGGGTGTAGATATGGTGTGGATGGTGCTAGGGTCGGTGTCAGCCTCTTCTCTCTTGCTCCTCCTCTCCCTGCTGCGCGACTTCAGTTTAATACTGGCCAACTGGTGCTCCTCCTCGATTGGGCCCTAATAGTGCCGCCAGCCCCCACCATAACAACCCTCTAGGGCTGGCTGGCAGGGATTGTTGGGGAAGACCTCGAAATTGGCGAGCTAGCGGCGGTTATTTGCACGTCATTGAAGATTCCGATAGGGTTTTTACATAAAAATCTGTTTCTCCGTAAAATGAGGCTAGCTAGCAGAGATTCTTGCGGAAAAATGTTGAAAAATCTTTAGCTATACGTTCACGCGGTGTTTTAATTTACTAAGGGCCATCTGGGGGGCTAGCGGTGATCATTTGAGCGTAATCTGCCACGATTTCGAGCCATTTTCGCCTAAAAACTCTTGATTTCTCCAAAAGTCCACACCTCGGTCGGCTTGCAGAGATCCTTGAGGAAACCGCGAAAATTAGCAGCGATTTCTGAGGAAAATGCCGAAAATCGAGAACTAGCAGAGCTTCTTGCGGAAAAGCTCAAAACTAGCAGTGTTTCTTGAGGAAAACTAAAAACTACCTGATATTATTCAGGAAAACACTAAAAATTAGCATCTATTCGTTCGGAAAACCGAGAACTAACAGAGTTTGTTCAGGAAAAGCGGGAACTAGCAAAGATCCTTGAGGAAAAGCGAAAACTAGCAGCCATTTTTCAGGAAGAAGCCGACAACTTGCTGATGCTTGAGACCATATACCAGTTTCTTGAGGAAAAACAGAAAACCAGCAGAGATTCTTCAGGAAAAGGCTCAAAAATCGTCTGTTTTTGCCTGAAAACCTGTATTTTCGCTTCCAAGCCCTGAAAAATTAATTTCCTAATTTCACCAATATATTCAAATCGATAATTCCTTTTTTTAGTCCTTTTCATTGATCTCTGGTTCTTCTGTGATAGATCTAGGATGCCCTTTTGCTTCGTTCTTTCGTTCGTTCATTCGTTCATTCCACCCTCAATTTATCAGCCAATGCTTCCTCCGGCTGCCCTCGGCTGCCCCATTTTCCCACCAGCCGAAAAAAAGAGACCGCGGCTGTTCCGAGGGCCCCCGGCCAAAAAGAAGTTTGGAAATTTACCGTGGGATCGGCTGGAAATAGTCGCGAAAAAGTCAAAAATATCTCGAGAAAACGAAGCTTTTTAGTTTTCGAATGTTGAACCTTTTGAAAAGCTAAAATTTCGCCCGGAATTTTGAAAATTCAGCATTTCTAAGCTAAAAAAGATAATTTAAACCAAATGAAAAGGGATAAAACTGCGTTTAAACTTTACTCCTTGTTACGCCAGGGATAATCGAATAAACTTGCCGGAAACCCGCAAAAAGCTGCTTTTTCAACCCCGTAAAATGGCCTATAAAAATGGTTCGGCACTTGCGGCCCAAAATTTCTAACAAAAAGCGCCAATTTCAATACTGCCGCTACGTTTTCAACGCGAAATCGATACGCGGGTCTTCCTAACGATGTAGTAAACGACAAATGCATTTTGAAAGTGTTCGGGCAGCCGACAGCCAAGCTTCTTCCACTGAATTTCCGGCTTGTGATGGGCATTTCAGGCGCTACTACGTGGTCTCCTTCTCTGCCTCCAGCTGACAACTATCCTCGCGTTTGCCCCGTTCCGTCGATTGTAAAGTAGCCGCCGAGCAACGCCGAGCAACCATCCAAAACGGCTCCCGTTCGCTAAAAAAAAGAGGAAGAGAAACTGCTGCAAGATTCATCCAAAAAAAAACCATGTGGGACCAACGCTTTATTCGAAGGTCACCTGGTCAAAGTAATGTGAGAGGTAATCAACGTCCGAGAATGTCATGCCATGCAAAGCAATGCGGGGGAAAAACGGGGGGAACAAGTGATAATAACGGGGGGGGCTATTTGCGAAAATAACAATGTGAATAGAGGGATGCATTAACAATAATAAGGGCGGGGGGGGGGTTTGATCCGATTCTTGACGTCGTTGCTGGCGGCTGCTCACTTCTGGCTCGACGACGATGCCCTTCCTGGAGATTTCCCGCCTTGACTTGTGCCCTTCGCCGGTGTCGAACCGGTTCTCTGGAAAAATTAGTTTAAAAAACTAAACTTGGGACTTTGGTATTATCGGGAGAGGGCAGAATTTTTACTAAACGTCCCGAAGTTCCCAACATTTTTGTATTGAGTATTTTAATTTAGCATGAATTATTTTGGCCGAAAAATCTATATTTTTGTTTAATAAAAATTTATAGGGAGAATTTATAAAAAAATTTACGCCTAGGAATAGCGAAAAACGTTTAGAAACACCGCCCTTATTTAGGCCAAATTGGACTGGTCAAGCTTGATTCTTAGGAAAAAGTTGCTTCCCCCCGATAATGGACAAGAACCAAACGTTACATAGCCAAATTCCGCAACCGAACCTAGGCTTCAAAAAGTTGAATAAGTAACACGGTAAATTAGTTTTTAAAAGCTTCCGGAAACGATTTGACGGCTACGCCAAAACTTCGTGAAAAACCGGTCTAATTTTGGCATTAACCCGGAGTAAAGTGCTAAGAATAACAAAGAAACTCTAGTCAAAATTTCACCGTAATAAATTACTTTACAAAATGGCGAACGAAACTCGTTTTTCATCTTTAAAAACCAATCCTAACCTTTTTATCTGGTAGCGGAGGCGGCGTGCGAGCAGATCGACGGGCCGTGGCGCTCTGAGGCTGGCTCTGGCCGGCCGGACTCTGCGATGTTGATGCGCCAGCAGCAGCTGGCGTTGTTGTCTTCTTGGCCGCATCCGTCTCCGCCGCATTTTCGCCGTTCTGCAAAAAGAAAGATTAATGAGCTTTTCTAAGGACCTAATTTTTCAAATATAAACGGTGGAAGCGTTTCTAAATGGTTTTTTACTATTCCTAAACGTGAAAATTATTTATATGCCTATCAAAAATATTCAAAAGAACGATATCGATGGCCGATTTTTGGTAAAATTTCGTTCTTTCAAGTTTTCTGAGTTTTCCTAGTTGAAATATACTTTCTTTAACTTCTATTTTTAGTTTGATTTAATTTAGTAGTTTAATTAATAAAAACACCGCAAAAATTCTGGATTTTTCCAAATTTCTTTTTAAAAAGCTCTTCTCAAAAAAAATACCTGTTGAACGTAAGACGTCTTCGAGCGGAAGGAAGTGTTGAGCGGGTCGTCGTCGCGACGCGGCGGGCGCAATGGGGGCGGTTTGGGTGTCATTGGCGTGTTCCAGATACGCGGATCTTTCAGCGGGTATCGTGTTTGTAGCTAAACGCAGATTAAACTCCAATCACAAAAGCAGCGGTTCTTTCGCATCATCGGGGGGCGAGATTTTTTTGTATTAAACTGGAAATGTCTAGTAATTACATAGAAAGTGTTTTCATAGCGTTTTCAGTAAAATGCAACTAGATTTTAGCCAGAAAAACTGGAGAAAACTTAGAAAAAACTTTAAAATCCGAAATTTTGGGCAAAAAACGGCACTTTTTGGTCGAAAAATCGATTTTGTTAAAAAAATTGTGAAGTTTTACGTTTAAAAAAGTCAAAAACCGTTTAGAAATCTTCCGCTACTAATATTTGAAAAATTGGTTCCTTAGAAACCCCCCGATAATGCGCAAGAACCTATTATATTCAAAAGATACATGTTGCTCGGCCGCTTCCTGTTCTTCGACATAAGTGGGGGTCCTCGGCTGGTAGACGTCGGGGCGCGTCGGCTCTTGCTGCTGCTCCCGGCCGTCCTCGACCATCGTCGGCTCGTGCTCACTGTAGCCTTGGCGAGGCGGTGGCATCTCATCATCGTTGAATTGAGCGTCGCGCTCCGGGAAGTCGTACTCCTCGTCGGGCGGCGATTTCGTCGTTTCCGGGGGCCAATTCGGCTGAAATAAAAAAATTAGCTCAAAACGAGGTTTTCCGGCCCATAATGACCAAAAATTCTACCCTTTTCGGTTCTTTCCCATTAACGGGGGGGCAAAATTTCTCAACCTTATAACGAGATATGAAACCATTCTTAGATCGTTTTACGGTTTTTGTTGTTAGAAATCAACAGCTTCTAAATGGTTCAAAAATGGCTAGGAAAAGTACAAATTTTCGAATGTTCAAAACTTTTTACAGCTTTCTAGCAATAAAAACACTACTAAAAAAACTATATATACGCTATTTTTATTGACAAAAGAGAAAAGCAAAATTTAAAGAAAAGTGGCAACTCCAAATTTCACACTTTTCCTCATCGCAAACCGAAAGTTTTTCAGTCTAATATAACTGTTTTCATCAAAAAAAAATATACTTTTGCTAGCTTAGGAAAGGTATCCCCCCGCTAATCGCAAAGAACCGATTAAAGGAGAATAAGCTCTTTACCGCAGTATTATTGTTGTCCGGGCGTCGATAGGTGGCCTGCTCCTCTTCGTAATACGGCGTGCGCACGGTCGAGTACTGGCGAGGCGGCTCGGCACGCGGAGGGTACGGCTAAAAAGTAATGATTATCAAAAAACAACGATAAAACTAACGGCAACGCGGCGGTCAAGGCGGCCAGCGTCGCGGATATCAGCCCTCCTCACTGGGCGCGGCCTTGCATAGTAGCCGCTGTCCGTGTTCGCATAGGAGAGGCTGCCGCCCACCTGAAAACAAGAGATCAAAAATAAAGGACAAAAATACATTGTGACGAGGTTTGGGTGGCGGGCGGCGCTTTTCATACGCATCTTCCATCGGCACATCCCCGTACTGCGGCGACTGCGGCTCGTAGTCGGCCGGGATGCCGACAGCCGTCTAAAATTCACATTATTAGTGCCGGTGCTTTCGCATTATCGGGGGACCTACTTGTTTTTCTAGGATCTAACTTTTCAAATAGAAATAGTAGAAGTGTTTCCAACGTTTTTTCACTATTCCTAAACGGGAAAAATCTACAAAATGCTGTTAAAAATGTGAAAAGCCTCGATTTTCGAAAAATTATCGACTTTTTAAAACCTTTTAGGTAGTTTTAATAATCGAATTCGGGTTAGTTTTGACTAAAACACTTTCTATTAAAGTATTTGACATTTCTAGACCGATACGAAAAAGTTCTCCCTACCCGATAATGCCAAAGAACCTTAACGATATGTCCGGGTTTTGTTTCCGCGCATTTTTCGCCTAAAAACTCTTTTGTTTTCCCGAGAAATCTAACTCTGAGCCCGCGTTTATGGTACAAGCTTTCCAAAAAAAGTGCCTCTTTCCGAAATAAAAGTTTTCTCCGGTTTTTTAACCCCGAAAACCACGTTTTGAGCCGTTCTGGATGGATCCCACAAAAAACCCTCCCGGACGAGTCCCATAAAACTGCAAAAAAGCCGTAAAAAGAGGAACCTTCTTCATCTGCTCCTCCATGGCCACCATAATCGACGCCATCGCCTTGCGCTCGACATCGCGCTGCTCGAAACTAAATCAAAGAATAAAAAGAGCGTGGGATAGCTTACTGTTCATCCTTCAACGCGAGCAGGTCGCGCCGGAAGCTCTTGAAGGCCGTCTGCGGATCAATCGTACGGACCTGGAACCAATCAATAGTGAAAAAATTTTCTTTTTTCTGGTTCATTAGCGGGGGGAGGGGGGTAATGTCGTAGTTTTTCTATATTTCACCATTTTTTGGGGACCACATCATCGCGATTCGGTAGAGCATCAAAAATTTCGAATCCTTGATAAAAAACTACAAAAGTAGTAAAAAAAAGTTGTAACAAAAGCTATTAGCAAAAATCCCCCCGCGAACGAACCAGAACCGAAATTAAAGTCAATTACCTTGTGAGGACGGCCGTGGGTGCCAAACGAGTGGTGATGTGCGTACGTCAGGTTCATCATGCCCAGTCGACAGTGTTCACAACGGAACGGGAATACTTGGACCCTGAAAAATAGATTTCAAAAAAGTAAAGTAAATAAAAACGTACCGGCACTCCGAATGCTTGATGGCCATGTGTTCGAGCAGGGTGAGTGGGCTCCACCCGTTTGGCTTGGCGCAGCGGTCATGGCCATCGCATTCTTGGCATTCGACACGGAAATTCTAAAATGAACATACATTTTGATTGCGGAGCAACAACAAATACCTCGTCGCCCAGCAGCTCCAGGTAGCGGGCGTAGCGCTCGGCGGGATCGTCACCAGCCATCGCGGATGAGTGGCTGAAAAAAGGTATGAAATAAAGGAGAAAACAACAACAAACAAAAGACTAGCAGAAGCGAGAAAATAATTGTGCATCTCAGAAATAAAAAGGAAAGTTAAGCCAAAAAAAGTTGTTTGAAAGGCCAGTCACCCGAACAGTTTTCATTTTGGTTTGGCAGAACTTTTTCGACCCCGTTTTTTTTAATCATCGGCCCCAAACTAAACCAAATTTGATGAGAGTTGGCTGACAATAACTAATCTTCCATAGGGATCATTTCTCTAATCGATTATAAAGCACGAAAATGGCCGAAACATGGTGAATCAAGTTCCAAAAACAGTTTTTGGGCTTTTGGATACGTTGGCGGTCCGAGCGCAACCCGCAATCAGCATAGAAAGATGCGCGAGACGTTTCTGCATAGAATCTTTATGATGTGCTTGCATTGCATAGAATACTAACAATTTCAAAACCGGATTTTTACCAAAAACACCCAAAAATGCTTGTTAAAAGAGAAAAGTGCTATTTTAGAAGTCAGAGGTAAGAAGCCGCATCTAGAGGCCGAGCGGAAACAGTTGCAAAAATAGCGCAATTGACTTTTATAAAAGTACCTATTCAAAAAACTATAAAAATGCCGTTTTAGCGCCGTGCGAAAGAAAAGAAAATGTGGAAATTTAGGCCGCGCATGCTGCGGATTACGATGTTATTAGTTTTGTTTCGTTCACTCATTTTCGAAAATAGTTTTAAAACGTAATTTTGCAAGAGTAAACTGTTTTTACTGAAATATTCGGGTTTTTAAAGGTTTTAGTTCGTTTTTCTAGTTGAAATATAGTTATAAAACACTAAAAACACTATTCATACACTTTCTATAAAGTTACTAGGCATTTCTAGACTTATACAAAAAAGTTCGGTATATACAAAAAAGTTCGGTGTATTCTCCTAGTTTTCTTCATTTTTTGCTGGTCCTCAAAAAGAATACTTCAAATTTCAGGTAAGCAATGCTGAACAAACTGCCGCCAAAAGTGATGGAAGGAATAATGGAGCGACTCAACGCCGAGGACTACCGACAATTGGCCGGCGTTTCCGCCAAGATGTGGAAAATTGTCGAAGAGACGCCGAAGAAGCATCAAAGTGTCAAGGTGTTCTCCGATCCGAAGCAGTGGGGCCTCGGATTCGTCGACTTGGATTCGCTGTCGAACCGAGTCCTGATGCTTCTCGAATTGTCGGCGCTGCCACGGTTCGTTTTGTGGTTTTTTTCGCATTATCGGGGGATAAAAGTATGCCTAAAAGTCCTGAATCGTCCGTAATGCAATCGCAAGTATTTTAATCGTGTTTTTGGTCCAATTAAAGTATATTTCACGTAGAAAAACCATCAAAAATTGTTTAGAAAAGTCTTTAGACGAAGTTTTGGTCGGAAATCGGTCATTTTCGTCGAAAAATCTATATTTCTGGAGTTTTTAATGAAATTTTTAAAGTTTTTACGTATGGAATAGTCGAACAGAAAAATTGGATTCTTAGAAAAGTTATCCCCCCGATAATGCGAAAGTATACGTTTTTTTGAGTTACGTTAAGCTTTGTTTCTAGATGGGCGTTCAAAGACGACCGTCCGACGCTTCAAATGCCGGCTTCAAACTCGAGAAAAGAGAGAATTGCTCGTTCATCATTCCTTCGTCTCTTCCTCAATAATGCCACCTGTCAAGAGGTACCTTTTTCAACGTATTTCCAACTGTTTTTCAGCTCTTCGACGCTCCGCTCTCCTATGGGAACAAATTCTGGTGCTCGTTGAACACGAAAGTGGTGCGGGTTTGCAATCCAACAGGCGTCACTATCGCAAAGCTGCAGGAATTTCTTGGTAGGGCCGTTCGATTGGATTGAATGGGATTTTCCGGTTCTTTCGCATTATCGGGGGGGTGCTTTTTAATGTCTGTAAATGCCTAGTAACTTAATGTGAAGTATTTTATCAGTTTTTTTATGAAAATAAAGCAAGTTTCAGCTAGAAAAACTACGTAACAACTTTTGAAAAGCCCATATTTGTCAAAAACGGGCATTTTTTCGTCGAAAAATCGATATTTTTGTATTTTTTGATAAAAATGTGTAAACCTTTTATGCTTAGCAATGTTTAAAAAAGCTTATAAAGACTTCCGCTTATTTTATTGGAAAAATTGGATCGTAAAGAAAATTTTTGGGTCACCTCTCCACCCCAATAATGCGAAGGAACCTATTTCAGATCACTTCAAACCCCCCGAATTTCTCTACGACACATTTTCAAAAATTGTGGCGAAAGAGCCGGAAGAATACTTCGGATTTATCAAAAGCCCTTCGGTAAGTCCAGTTTTCAGCCATAGACCCCAGTGAAATTAGGTGTGTTCGCTGGAGATGCTTCACTTTCAATCCGGATTTTGTCCGCTTAATTTACTGCACGACCTGCGGGCGAAGGATCTCTTCATCCAAGCCATTGTCGAGCCGACCTTGACCGACTGGGACACGCTGTTAAAGTTCGTTATGATCAGAACTATGGTAAGCAGGGGGCTTTCGCATTATCGCATTATTTTATTTTATATATATAAAAAAATAGTGTCTCTGTGTGTGTGTGTGTGTGCATTTGCATGTAACTTCCGTCCCTATGTTCCAGTCGTATCTCGATAGGGGAAGAAGGGATGGGTACGTTTGATATGTCATTAGGTGCGTAATGGCCCTGCGATGCCTGCACACATATCAGATTTTAGAAAATAAGCTGTTTTCGGCATTAAAATTCAGTTTTTCATGAAAAATCGGAGATCCTCTTTGTTAGGAATCAATTAGCATACACCGGAAGTGGAAGTAGCCTATATAATGAGAGAGAGAGAGAGAGAGGGAGATACTTTTATTTTTTTGACAAGGGAATTCGTGAGAATTATGCAAAGGGCAGAATATCATCGGATCAGACGGCGCCAGGGTTGTTTTTAAATGGTTTTAACTATTCCGAAACGGGATAACTACACCAATTTGTAATAAAAAAACATATAAAAATATTCGTTTTTCGCTCAAAAACGGTCGATTTAAATTTCGACTTTTTTCAGCGTTTTTAAAAGTTGTTGGATACTTTTTACTATTCCTAAACGATAACATTTTACAAATTTTTAATGAGAAAAATTAAATATCAATTTTTCGACGATAAATAGTCGATTTTGAACAAAATTTCGGCTTTCTTAAAGTTTTAGATAGTTAGTCGAATCTATTTATATATATTACTAAAAACACTAGGAAAACACTGACTATGAAGTTACTAAGCATTTCTAGGCTTATACAAAAAAAAATTCGCCCCCCCCCCCCGATACTGCGAAAGACCCGCTCCGAAATTCAGATGTGGATCCGCGGAATGGTGGAGATTGACAAGATTCAAATATTGATCGGGGACCTGATGCCAGAAGCCGTGCACAAATTTCGTAAGCCCCATGCGATTTTCTAACTTTTGATTTTTAGGGATCGTTGATTTCATAGAAGCACTTACGATCGCATTGCGCGACCGTCTCGATTTGGGATGGGTCGATAGGACGTACGAAGGCTTGAATCTCATTCTCAGGGCCCGCGATGTGGGTATTCGGTTCTGGACTGTTAGCGGGGGGGGGGGGGAGTGGGGGATTTTTAGCAGGGGGAAAACCACTTTTTGTTTTTCGATGTATTTTTATGGTGTTTTTAGTAGTTTTCTTTCGTTCAAAGTTATAAAAAATATTTTGAAAGTTCGGAACTTTACCTTTTTCCTCATTTTTCATACATTTTTGACCAAAAAGTCAAATTTTCGCAATTTTTTATTGTTTTTGTATCTAAAAACTATGTAAAATGCTTTAGAAAATGATTTAATTTTGTTAAAGGGCCGTAGAATCACAGGTAAAATTTTGGCTCCCCCCCTCCGCTAACAGTGCAGAACCGGGAATTTTTTAAATGGATTCTATCCATCTTTTAGGGCCAGGCGCTCGTCGTTTATTGGGATGATGTTGACAACGCGCTATTCCTTCTCCGTTCCGAGTACAATTTCCGACGGTATCCACCTTTTATCTCAGCCAAAAATCTCAATTTTTAGCGGTCGCTGCTTCGGCAGTTATGAAAGAAATGCAAAGGCGCTCTCCAGGATTTGCGAGTTGATGGTAGGTGTTTTTTTTTTTAATATAAAATACTTAATTTATTTTGCTTTCTAGCGAAAATGGCAAATTCAAGCGTTTTTGAAAAAGTTTGTTTTCTTTTGTAATAATAAATAATATAATATAATTACTTTTCTATGTAAAATATAGTTTTATTTTACTTAAAACGTTATGAAAACGCTTCCTAGTATTAAGTTCCTGCACATTTCTGGACTTATCGGAAATAATGCGAAACAACTTTCCTTCCAGCGAAAATTCCAAATTCAAGCGGAGCGAAACGCGTTGCATGTGTACGAGACGAAGGCGAGGCTGAAACAGGAATGCGCCAAGTTCAACGAGTACAACAGGGACGCGACGGGGCTGGATTTGATGATCGATGCGGTAGGAAATCGCTTCTAACAATTAAATGCCGATTTTGATTCAGATCTGGCGCTCGAAGGCCAAGAGAGTCTCACCGTGGCGACGTTTCGGGCCCGAGGGAACGATTTTGCGAAGGCCCATGTATCCGGTCAGTCTTTTTCTCTTATACGCGGAAGGATATTTGGTTCTTTGGCATTATCGGGGGGGCTAGAAGGCTAGAAATGCCTAGTAAATTAACAGAAAATGTTTTAATAGCTTTTTTCGTAATCTCCGTATATTTCAACGAGAACAACTATCTAAAAACTTATATCCTAAAATATCTAAAAATCAAAAAAATTCGAAATTTAGCTAAAAATCGGCCTTTTGCTATTTTTTAGCTAAAAAAATTCGAGATTTTTGCTATTTTTAACTACCAATTTTGTAAACTTTTTAGGCTTAGGATAGTAGAAAACCATAGCGAAAAACCTTCACATTTTATATTTGAAAATTTGGATGCTAAAATAAATTGGTCCCCCCGATAATGCTCAAGAACCGATAAATACTACTGTTATTTTAGTTGGACGTCTCGCTTGGGCACGGCTACCAATTCGCAAAAGCCTTCGAAACGATGGGTGGGGGTGTTCTGCCGGATGTGGACGAATTTAAGCCGGCATGCTTTGTACACAGTGTTGTTTGGTCACAAGTCTATCGGGATTTGTATGTTTGAGATTGTCGTCTATCAGAATTTCTTCTTTTTTTTGTTGTTGTTGTTAGAAATGTTTTACGATATCGTCTCTCTTTACAGGATACTATTGCGAATAAATTATTTGGAAAGTTTCGATTTTTAGATTTGAAAACGTATTCGGTAAACCGCCAGCCACAACTTTTCAGCCATTCGGCCTTTTAACGCGTGAAGTATCTCAAAAGTACGCCATAGTCGAATTATTTACAAAAGTTGTTCCCTTGCGGCAAAAATTGCTAGAAAAATTTTTGTAACAATTATAAGTCTGGGATTCCTTTCCTTGATTTTTCCTGGTCCAAAGTGAATTTTCGTATCTCTACTATTTTTACTACTACAGAGCTGTCAATAGTACCAAAATGTAGCTCTTGCTCTGGAGAATAAGACTACAGGGCATTTGAGTCGAAAAAAAGGAAAATAAAAATATTTGAGTTTCAGACCCCTAGTACATTGAAACATAGCGGCTTAATAGTTTCAATTTTCAAAATCTTGTAAAAAAAATTCTAGCACTTTTTGCCGCAAGGAAACCATTTTTTTGAAGTAATCCGACAAAGGCGAAAATTTTTGGGATACTTCACGCATTAATAGGACGTATGGCCGAAAAGTTGCGGCTGACGCCGGACGTTTCCGATACTTTAGCGTAACAAAATTAGCATATTCCAAATCCGGGAATTAGCCTCCATTTCTCGCTATAAAAAGCAAAAGCCACTGCCATATTGCCATTCTCGTTTCATATTCCCCGCCTCCATTTTTCTCGAATCTTATTTTCTACATTTCTAGCCATATTTCAAGCACGGAAAAGGATCACTGAATGAGCAGCAGCAGGTCAGCAGCAAATCCGGTTCTTTCGCATTATCGGGGGGAGAAGAGATACGAAAAATATAGATTTTTTCGACGAAGAATGGCCGATTTTTGACCAAAGTTTTACTTTTTAGGTTTTTAAAAAGGTTTTTCGATTGAAATATGCTTGTTTTTGACTAAAACTCTGTAAAAATACTTTCTATTAGTTTAATAGAAATTTCTAGACGTAGAAAAAGTGTGTGATAATGCGAAAGAACCTGAAATCCAAGGAAATGACGATCTACGATTTAGTGCTCGAAAGAAGGAGATCGAGAACTACCCAAAGATCGTCCGAATCACGGTCGATTGCACGTGGGCTGGACGATTGAAGAATCCACGGCAACGCGACGTCAATGATTTCGTTCGATCGCTGGGATTCTACTGGGGATCCCTCATTCACAACGAAAATCTGAAGGATGTCCTCAAAGAACCGGGTAATATCTCGGTTATCATTATCGCTAAAAGGCTGTAAAGTATACGAAAATACTCCCCAGAGCACGGCGAACATTTTGGTATACTTTTCACACCTGTAGATGAACAGGGAGTCGAGATCCAAAAGTTGGGCGGCGCCTACCTGTCTTTTCCTAGTAAAATAACCCCCAAACCTTCAGGCGACTGCCTGCTTCGCGACGTTTTCGGCGAATTCGAGCTGTTCACCCTGTCGCAATTGGACGAGAAGAAGAACATCATCACCAGAAAGGTCAATTTTCGCTGGAAAAAAGAAAATCCTCCTTTTTTAGGTGTATTTGCGGAACAACAAGCTCGTGATCACGGACAATGCCACCTTTCTGCTAACGTATATCGTGGCGCGCAAGTTGACGCCGGTGAATCGACCGTATTGCGACAAGACGATCCGACTCGAAATGTGCATCCACCGGATTGCCCATGTATTCCCCATCCCGCAGACCCTCATCCAGCTCGGGCTGCTTGGACCCATGACTTTGGTATACCAGGGTTTGCGTATTAATGGCGCTGGGAAATTTTGGGATCTTTTGCAGTATCGGGGGGCGGACGAATTTTATACTACAGGGTGTCCCAAAAAAAAACCCCCCCCCCTAGCCGGCCGCAGACTTGTTCAATTTTTGCGATTTAGGTATCTATCGAAAGCTCTCGGAAAGGCGAGTCCAGCACGTCTCTCGGATGCTCAAATTATCGAAATTTTTCTAGCATTTACTAACATTTTTGCGAAATGGATAGATTTTCCTAGGATTTTCAGACCAAGGGTTTTTTTAGAAAAATCACAATTTAAGGATTTTTACCTCCTTCCTGGGAGTCCAACAACAGCTTTTAGAAAGCCGTTTGCGAAAACACAGTTTGGATGGCGCTTAAGCCGGTCAAATTTAGTTTTTGACAAAAAGCTTGCTCTTTTTGCCTAAAAAATGGTCAAAATCGAGCAAAAATTCAGGAATTTCGAAAATCCGAGAGACGTGCTGGACTCGCCTTTCCGAGAGCTTTCGATAGATACCTAAATCGCAAAAATTGAACAAGTCTGCGGCCGGCTAGGGGGGATTTTTTTGGGATACCCTGTAGAAGCCCCGAAAGTCCGGTGACGTGAAAACAATACTTTTAAAATTTTTTTAGTAAATTGAAAGGTTCTTTTACATTATCGGGGGTGCAAATTTTTTTCTATAAGTCCAGGGCGAAGGGAAGAATTTTAATTTTGTTTTTAGCCGAATTTAGCGCTATATTTTAAATTCAAACACAACCTAAAAAGTTAGAAAACATTCCTTTGGTGAAATTTTGGTTGAAAATCGGCCATTTTTGATCGGGAAATCAAAATTTTTATATTTTTGATAAATTTTGTAAAGTTTTTACGTTTAGGCGTAGTAAAAACAATTTAGAAACTTTTTCTCTATTTATACTAGATCCCCCGATAGTGCAAAAGAACCAATTTAAGCAGCTTTCCGAGGCCAGCGATGCAAAACGTGAAAAATTTCAAATTTTGCGTAAAAATTGTCTTTGTTTGCGTTTAGGGACCGTAAAAAATGTTTGTATTTGAGGTGATGGACCCGCGTCGGAAATTGCCGGTACACACGATCCAAGTCTTCCAGCTGGCGGATGAACAAAAGGATCGTCTCATCACCCAGCTATACGATCGACGCAATTTTGGATTCGAGTTCGGGGAATTTTATGAATATTGCTATAAAAACTGAAATTGCAGACGCATCTGGCGCTACATCGGCTTCCATTCCCCACCCCAGCATCCCACCCATCTGGTCATCATGATGGAGAATATCAAGCTCGGCAGCGTCACCGAATACGTCCGATCGCAGACGCAGAATCTCGATCGGCTTGAGGTAGCCGGAACAGGCGCACAGTAGAAAAAGCGTTTCCTTTTCAGCTGTCGCGCTTCTGTTTCGAGACGTCGGAAGCGTTGCACTATCTGGAGAAATACGACTTTGTGCACAAGCGTCTCTCGGTTGATTGCCTGCTGCTGACGTGTGATCGTCATGTGAAATTGGTCATTTATGGGCTGTCGCAGGGAGAACTCTATCCAACTACCGTCGATCTCGAAGATCCCGAACGCGCCAAGTATGTGCCAAGAGTAGCTTAGTAGTTTGGTCATTTTGGGTTAAAAAAAATCAATATTTCTGGTTAGAGTGCAGTTTACCCCCTCCCAGCCGGCACCCAACTTTTGTATCTCGGCTCCCTGTTCATCTACAGGTGTGTAAAGTATACCAAAATGTTCGTCTTGCTCTGGCGAGTATTTTGGTATACTCTACACACCTGTAGATGAACAGGGAGCCGAGATACGGTAGTTGGGGGTCGGCTTGGGGGGGTAAACTGCACTCAGGCCGTTTTTCTACCTAAAATCAAATTTTTCATGAAAATTTGTATAATTTTTATGCTTAGGAATCGAAAAAAACAATTTGGGCAACGCCATCTTGTCGACAAATGCGAGAGAACCCAAAAAGCACGCATTTTGTTGCAGGTGGGTTCCGCCGGAATGTCTCCGAAGGGGCCGTACCCCAGAAGATCCATCCCCACACGAATACGACAATACATCAGTGGTGCACACCTTCGGCACGGTCATCTGGAGCATCTTCCATCAGTCAGTTGGCCCAGGAAAAACGTCAAAAGTGACATACTGCAGTTGCTTTGCCCCGTACGAACAGGAGACGGCGGCCGAGGTCACCTCGTACGCATACCGAATTGAGAACCCGCTCGACGTGATGGACGACTACATTCCCCATAGCATTGACAAGGTATTTTCGAGGCTAACAGATGCACGTTAAAAAGGACTAAATAAAACTGAAGAAGGAAATCCGGTACTATTCAAGTTGGGGGGCATCTTAGGTCATTTTTGGGCTACTTGGTCAGTTTTTCGCGACTAATCAAGCACGATGTTCTACTCCTAAGCTTCGTCTCGCTCCGCTAGCTCGAGCTTGAACAGAGGCAAGCCGAATCCAAAAGCAGCGAAGCTATGAAAACCTAAGCTAAGGCGAGGGTATTTCACCCCGACCAGAAGCTAAGCCCAAGCTGAAGCTAAGCTAAGCATAAGCCTGACCGTAAACTAAGCCCATACTTAGCAAAGCTACGCCTAAGCGCTAAGAAAAGCCAAGAAGTAGGACCAAAAATCGCTTGAAAAATTTTTGCCCCCAACTTGTAGTACCGGAAATCCATTAAACGTATCGATTTGGCAGGTGATGAACTCGTGCTGGTCGGCAGATCCGGATCGACGGCCCGACTTCAAGGAGATCAAGGGCCAGATCAGGAAGGCCGTCAGGGACATGCTGCCATTCCAATAAACAACCCCCCATTTAAGCTTCTTTTAATATACTTGTGCAAACGGATAAATGGCTTCAGTTAATTCTCGAATTCTCGGGATACGGTAATTTGCGCGTCCACAATTGGCGTTTTTCCACTTTCTATCAACGGCGGGCTGCCTCTGGCCTTGTAATTGTAGGGCATTCTAACGCTTTTCAAAATAGCTGTAAAGCGCCAACCCGAAAACTATAGCCTGTGCGTATATAAAATAATTTATTTTTATGCAAAAAGTTAAATAACAACGTGAATCGATCAAGAACAACAACAAATAACAAAACTATTTTTAACAATGCGAGATGTGGAAGGAAAGAAGAAGAAGAATCAATTGTCGGTGATTTGTTGCCCGGCTGAGGTGTCGATCTAAATTCACCGGTCATAAACGATTCGAAAGTGGCGTTACCTGAAATCCGGCCTTGACAGAACTGACGGATCCTTTTGCCTTTGCCCTCGGGCCCCAATTCTTGCCCTTGTTGTCTTGGAATCGAACCTAAAAAAACAAATTACAATCAAGGCGCTTTCGCATTATCGGGGGGAGGGGGTCTACTTTTCCCATAAATGCAAAAATTTCCAGTAGCGTTTTCTGGTAACTTCTGAATCATAGACTTTTTTGAAAAATCAAACCATATCGTAAGTGGAAAATTATCTCAAAAACCCTCAGAAAAAAATGTTAAAATTTACAAATTCGGTCGAAAACCGACAATTTTTGGTCAAAAACAGCGACATTTTGGCAGTTTTAGGGAAAAATGCAAAGTTTTTAAGTTTTAAACTAAAGAAAAAGGTCGGTGCCCCCTCCCCCGATAATGCATAAGTGCCGAATCAAAACGACACCCTTACCAATTGTTCCGAGCGGGCTTGCGATTCGGCTTTCGGGTGCAGCGTGAAATTGACCGGCGCCCTGGAATGAAACGGTTAAAGGGGTCATCTTCTGACTTTTTCACCCCCCGTTCGTAAGTACGAACGCAACGCGATGGCGTCGCATGTTCTTTTGCCCCTGTTCGGACGTGAATGGCTTTAATTTCAAAATTCTAACGCTATTTCTGGGATCTTCATCGAATTTTGATCATTCTAGACGTCTTGATTATGAAGATTGATCGGAGAATCACCGAGATCGAGAGATTGGGTCGAGCGTTACGACATGTGATCGCCGCCCACATAATGTCGTTTTCGCCCCAAGAATTTTTCGGCCTCACCCAAATATTTAACACTTTTTTCGCACCGAATTTTTTCTGGTACTTCTCGGCAGTAACACTTTAGCTTTTGCCCCGTAGGTCTGACTTTTGAGCCCATTTAAAACGAAAATCCCTTACGTGGATGCCTTAGAAAGAATGGCCTTGCCCGGTTGTTCGTCCTTGAATTTCTCAACGTTTACCTTCGATTTCTCCGCCTAGAAATCGAGGTGTAAATAGGCACTTCTCGTAAATCACCAACCACAAAGCGGCAGATATCCCAGATGAAGCTTGGTGGGGCATCCGTCTTTACAGCCCGCGCATTACAATGCGAACCGGATACCTAAAAAAGGAATTAGAAGTTTGTGAAAAAGTACAGTACTGGGTGTCCCAAAAAAAAAAGCACCCCCCTCTAGCGGTCCCGGGGAAGCTGAGCTCAGGATGTTTTTTATACCATTCGAAAGCCCGCGAAAAGGCGAGAAAACAAGCGGGCTTCATTTTCTAAGATTTATTCTTATTCGTCCGATATTCAACGTTTTTCTAAAAAACAGGCAGCTTTTCGATAGGAATTTCGCAATTAGCATGCAGATCTCGCGTAAAGCTGCTGTTTTCATGGTTTTTGGAGGTAAAATTCGCCAATAAAAATACATAATAAAGAAAATGAACCCTCCTTGTTTTCTCGCCTTATCGAGAGCTTTCGATTGATACCTAAACGGTGAAAATCGGACACGACTGCGTGCCGCTAGAGGGGGGTGCTTTTTTTTTTGGGACACCCTGTATACCCGATAGCCGGCATTCAAAAGCGCCGATCGCATATCGATCAACTTTGGGGTGACAGCCTTGACAACACAGGCCAGCTGATCATGGGCATAGTAGAGGGGAACGTCGTGCAATTCCTTAAAGAATCTCTGCTAGATACCACCCTTCAAAAACCATACCTCCGAGACGACGGTCAACATTCCCAACAATCGTCCGTGTGTTCCGAGACGCTCCTCTTCCGGCGTCGATTTTAGCCTGGAAAATATCATCGGTGAAAATAATGCAAATTTTACCTGTGAAGAATGCCGCGCACAAATTCCTCATTGTGAATGGGTGCCGTGTAGATTGGCCCTCCTTCGTGCACAGAGTGGCCACAGTGTACGCATTTCTGCTCGGCGTCCAGCTAAAAACTTCGCTTCGAACTTTATTAATTGCGTAAAAATCCGTAAAAGTTATGCGCACGCAATAATTCGGCTGTCCTGATCGTTTTAATGAGGCCGCAAAACGCACCAATTGACTGTTTGCAAGGGCGGGCATATACCGTACACCCTTTCCCTCGACGACCTTCCGTATGATGGGTATCGTCTCGTAGCTGCCGCAACCCGAACAGCTCAACACGCGGCCGACTTTTCTGAAAAAAAGAACAGGTCCTTTCGACTAGATCGGGGGAAAACAACTTCTTTTTTGCCTAAAATCAAATTTTTTTCCGAGCTAAATAGCCCATTTTTCGACCTTGAAATCAAAAAAAATTGGAGGGTTTAAGATTGTATCCATTCTAACACTTACAGCGCGGATTCCTTGGCCTTGGCGGCGCCGGTGTGCATTCGCACAAAAACACGCACGTAGAAATCGACGGAAATCGCGAGAATCGGCTCGATGTAGCGCGTGTAGCGGTTGGCCGCGTTGTCGATCGTCCGGAGGAGCATGCGGAGGGCCTGAAACGAGCATGTAGAATCTTTTTTCCTATTGTCAACACACAAAATTTTGATCTTGTACGGGGTGTCCCAAAAAACACGACCCGAGCTTCCGTTTTATAAAAATTTTTAGTCCCCGTTGGAGATTAAACGATTTCTTAAAAAAACCGTAAGATCAACGTCGTCCTGTTAGATTGAGCAATCAATTGCATCCGGATTTTTAATGGATTTTGTTCCTGAATTTAGTGAATTAAAATGCATATATTGAAAAAGGAAAAGCGCTTGTTTACTCGCCTTTTCGAGATTTCGGTCGATACCTAAAACGTCACAATCGGACCCTCCTCCGGCCCGCTAGCGGGGCCGATTTTTTTGGGACACTCCATGGTAACAAAATCTTGGAAAACTTCAAACAAACGTACCAATTCGTGGCAAGCATTGATGCGAATGGGGATTGCGCCATATTTGTTGTAGCACGATTCGGGGGTATTCCCGCATAGCACCGCCATATCCGTGCAAGTCACCATCAAAAGACCTAAAAATGTGTGTAAAAGCACAAAAAAAGTGTTACAAACTCTACGCGTTAAAAACCCACCCCGATCAGCGACACATTGCACGGCCGAGTCCAAAAATGGACTGGCAGACCCGTAGGGGTCCAAATCGACGCAATGGAAACGTTTGTCGATTCCGCGATGATCCATCATTGTCATACTAAAAACTACTGTTTATTTGAGAAGTTTTCCACCCACATTGCATCCCCGAAATGCGCTTCCACTTTGTCTTCCACGTTGTTCAGCTTCACGTTTTGCTTGATGGTCTCGACGGCGTTTTCTGAAATCATTTTGCTTTTAAGCCTGCAAAAATACCCGAAAAATCGTTGGCCAGCACAAACGCAACGTCGGGGACTTCTTGCGAAAAGCGCAGCGCGCGAAGCCCGCTGGCCGACAGCGCGTCGAGGATTCGGATCGAGCCGTCCTAAATTCGTGGCTTTCACTACGAAATTATCACCCAAACCTCGTTCTCAATGGCGAGCTTCTTCTTCTTTTTGGCCGGCTCGGCGGGGTCGGCGGGCTGTTGTTGCTGTTGGGCCCGATATTCGTGACGAGTGCGGACGAATTCGCGCAAAACCGACACCCTAAAAAGGACGATGTAAAACGCTAAAAAACTCACGTCAAATCGCGATTAAACTCCTGGACTGGGTTGTAGAATGTGGGGCCGGTGAAGCTCACTTTCGCCATGCCCTCCTAAAAAGGAAGTTCTTGCGAAAAGACGCTAAATTGCGAACCGTGATGATTGTTGTGGTGGCCGAGGGCTCGGCATCGCCTTCCTCCATCTTGGCCGTCGATTTAGAGTCGCTTTCTGCGACCTTTGCTGAAGATTCGACCATCTGGAACAATTCTAGCATAAAAACGTGCCTAAAACTCCTGAGGAAACAGAAAAAAAGACAGTTTGGATCGCTAGGAATTGTGTACGCATCAAATCGGCTGGTCACCAAGTATTTTCAATTTTTTTAAACCAAAAAAACGGGAAGAATGAATTTTTAGTTGAAAATTGACGAATTACGGGAGGAAAAACGTGCCAGGGCATGCAGGTTTTCTCCGGCCCCCTCGCGAGACCCCCACTATCTCACTTTTCCGTCACCGCCCCGGGTTGCATAAGCATTGCCGGCACTTTCGCATTATCGGGGGGGGGGGGACATCCGAACTTTTTGTTGCAGTTTTGAAATGTCTACTAACTTAATAGGTGTTTTTAATAGTGCGTTTCGTAATTTACGACTATTTCATCTAGTGAAACTATCCAAAAACTTTTAAAATCTACATTTTTGCTGTTTTTGAATGGAAACATCACGTTTAGAATAGTAAAAACCACTTAGAAACACTGCACTACTTTTATCTAAAAAATTAGATGATGAGAAAGAGGTTCGTCCCCCCCCCCCAATAACGCCTAAGAACCGCATTTCCTACTATTACCTCGAAACTGCAAGTCTGTAAAATACGGTAAACCGCTCAAGGCTGGAACTTTCACTCTGTTTCCACCGACTCTACACGTAGGAAATGATTTATCTGAATGCACGCAAATTTGACAAATTGTACAAATTGTGATGCAAGAAAAAAAGGAGAAACAAAGGATATTGGGAAAATCAAGGAGCAATTGTACAATCAAAAAAGATCGAAGGAGGGAGGCGCACCATTTGACGGAGATCAACACGATTTGCGCTTGATGTCCATCTCCAGGCCGCTGCTCGAGTGACGCTTTCGCCCGATTGGCGTTTCCTAAAAAAGGAGGATCCTCGACAAGGGATAAATCCTCACGGTAAGTGTATTCCTTGGGGCGAGAACGCGGCGCGCAGAACCCGGCGACTTCAAGTCGACCACGGCCTTTGTCGGCACCTAAAATGGGTTTTGGTACTTGCGCATTATCGGGGGGGGAATGAAATCTTTCCTCCCTTTTTTGTCAACCCTTTCTAATATAAATTGAGCAAGTTTCCTAAACGTGAAACGTTTTTTAATCTTTCTAAACGTAAAAATTTCCAAACTTTTTTGAAATGCATAGTTGATTTTGGGTCTTTGGCATTATCGGGGGGTCACCTTTTTTCTAAGAATTCAATTTGTTTTATATAAATAACCGAATTTGCTTGTAAAATGTTTTTTCCAATTCCTAAACGTTCAAATAATTTTGATATCTTGAAAAATAAAGATTTTTCGACCAAAATCACCAATAACAATTTTTCAAAGCAGTTTCTATTGTTTTTTCCACATCAAATTCAGTTAAATTTTACTAAAAATAAACTATAAATTAAAACAGCTACAATCACGTTACTAGAAATTTCTGGACTTAGAAACCCCCTCCCCCGATATTGTAAAAACACCCAGATTTTAACTCGAACCCCATAGTTTTTAATCAACCTTCTCAGTTGTCAAAATCTCGTGCCGAGGCGATTTCCGGTTGGAAGAGGGCTGGGTGATGGGCGTGGCTTTAGCGGCTTGCCTAAAAAATTTTAAAATAACTCGAAAATCGAAATGTCGACCTTGGCGTGCTGGTCATCTTGTTGAGGGTGGCCGGCGTCGGGTTGGCCGGTGTTGACTGGATTGAAAAATGGGCGTGAGGTGGACAAAAATTAGATACCTTTTGAATCGGGGTGAAATTGGGGGTCTGAACGACGCTGGAGCCACGTCGTGTTCTTCTGAAACCAAGTGATTAATCTAAATTCTAAAAAATACGAATTTGCGATGGGCGTGGCCTCGACATCTTTTGGCTGTTCTGGCGTTGCGCTTCGCTTCTTTTTCTCAGAATTGCGACTAAAAAGGGTTTGAAGGGGTAAGATTAGGAGTACCTCGACGATCGCAGTAGTGTTGACCGTGTTGCGCTGCTCGGGGTGGCCGTAGGTGTATTTCGCGCCTAAAAAGAGCTCAGATAAGAAGATGAAAGCAAAACCGTTTTGGGGAAATAATCGTTCCAAGCGTCTGCGGGCCCCTCTTCGAGCCCGGATTCCGCATCTGACTCGGCGTCTCGATCCCGCATCACCACGTGCCAACGGTCTAAAAGTATTATTTTAGATTGATATTATTCACCAATTTTTTACTATAGCTAATCATAAAAACTTTACGCATTTTTGCTGAAAAAACGCAACAAAACTAGATTTTTCGACCAAAATTTCAACTAGAAAAGTTTTTTTAATTGTTTTTCACTTCAAATCTGGCTAAATTTTGTTTTACTTCTACAAAACGCGTCCCCCCGATAATGCGAAAAAACCGCAATCAGAAACTCACGCAAAACGCGTCTCGCGACGTTGCTCAAATTCTCGACATTTTCGATCCGTCCGCTGATGCCCTCTCGTGGCGGCTTTTCCAGGCTCCGCTGCACTTTGGTAGATTCCGAAATTTGCTCTAGCTTTTGGATCATCTAAAATAACTGAAATATCGATGAAAAATGATTAGAACCTTCTCGCAATCCCGTGGGCATCGCTGCAAAAAGGCTTCCGCATACCAAAGCGTGTAGTAGCAGAGGAGTGGTGATTTCGCGTTCAGGCACCGGAAGAATTCTGCGGAAAACATCAGATTTAGCTGGTTCTGACAGTAATACCTTGTAAAACATTGCGCGAAAGATCGATATCAACGGGGCCCGCTTCTGATTCCGATTCGTCGCCGCTCGATTCATCCGATTCCGAGCCTAAAATTTTCGTTAAAAAAGGGTCAGTGAAGCGAAAATCATGGTATTTGTCTGTTAGCAGGGGGGACGAACCTTTCCAGAAACCTTGTACGGTCCTATAATAAAACACAAACAATTTTTATAGCGTTTTAAACAGTTTTTGGACGTAAAAAGCTCAGAAAAACATCAAAAAATGTGACAACTTTTTACTCTTTGGTCAAAAATGGTGAAAAGTGAACATTTTAACATTTCAAAAATGTTAAAACATTTTTTTGTGACTTACTAGCGATCGAAAACTCCGAAAAACACTATAAAAATAAACTATTTACGTTTAATAGGCAGGTAGACGGCAAAACAAAAAGTTCCCCCTGCTAACAGCCCAGCACCAAAATCCTTACCATCCGACTCGTCCGGTTTGTAGACTTCCCCTTCCGGCGCATCCCTGTAGAATCGAGACGTGTTCGCCAGGTCGTGCTCCTCGAATTGCCTACAAAATTCGTAAATGCCAAGAGCAGGGAAAATACTGCTGCATCTCTTTGATGGCCCGCATATCGTCATCCTCATCCGAATCGTCTGCTATCGTATTTTCCACTTCCGGCTCCTCTTCTTCCATCTCAAAGGAAATATGTTTTTTTTTCAAGTAGAAGAGCTCGGATACCTCAACAGCCGGATACAACGCCGCTAATCGCCCATCACGGAATGCCGCCATTTGCTGTCTACAGCTCTCCAGATTCTGAAAAGATTGTGCTTCTTTTGAAAACGTTACAAATTTTTCCTAAAAAATACAAAAATAGTTTTTACTAGTCCAAGGTTTGATAAAAATATCATAAATATCGATTTTTCGAACAAAAATAGCCGGTTTTGACTAAAATTTCCACCTTTTGAAAGTTGTCAGATAGTTTTTCTAGTCCAAATATAGTTTTATTTTATCAAAAAATATTGTTAAAATAATTTTTATTAAGTTGCTAGGCATTTGTAGACGTGTAGAAACAATTTTTGCTCCCCCCCCCCCGATAAGGCGAAAGTCCCCAATTTTCGAAGATGCTCACCTTGACACATTGCCGATGATTCCGCTGTAGAAACGGAGGGCCCATCTCATCACTATCGAACTCGTAGAAAACGCGCCGCTGCAGGGGCAGCGAGTTGGCGATCTACAAACAGGGGAGCTTTGTAGTATCGAAAGGGTCAAGCTCACCTGCAGAATGCCGATCGGTAGGTGTTTTTGCGCATTCTCTTCTCGACCGAGCCGCCACGGCTTTTTCACAAAGTTGATGAGATTTAGGGTCATCGGATGGGGCGCCTGAAATAAATCGAAACTTGAAATGGATGTCATTGCAGAAATACAGCGGAAAAAATATGATCCCGGTGTAACTTTTCAAGCCCAATAAGCTGATTTTATTGTTTTTCGATATTTTATACATTTTTATGGTAGATTTGAGGTATTTTTTGAAAGGGAAAAAGGTTTTCTAGATGTTGGAGCCGGCTTACTGCTTTCAAATGTGGACCCGTTTCCGCGCGTCGATAGGCGTCTCGCGGAGCTCCTTTCGGGGAAATCTTGCCCACTTTTTGATGACAATCCTTTCGCTTTCCCCACTTTTCAATTTTTGACGTTTTTTTTGGCAAACTTTTTGACATTTTTATCTATTGTATCGCTGAAAAACGATTATTCTTTTTCGCAAACCCGTCTGAACTTTCGTGGCCTTCCAATCCCGTGGGGATCGCGGCGTTATTTCGGCTTAGCGGTCCCGCCGTGATCGGCGCTTTTCCACCACGGTTATTCCATCGATTCTAGGATAGTTTGACGCGCCGAGCTCGAATCTTTCGCCTAAAACTCAACTGACACGTTGTTTTTCGAGCTTAGCGCGTCAAACTATCCTGGGATCGATGAAAGAAACGGCGGAAAATCGGTTGAAAGCCTAAGTGGGTCCGCTAAATTGAAATGGCGTCGGAATCCCTTTGAATCCGATAGTCTAGACTTCTAAATTGTCATACTAAAACGCTATTCTTTGGTCGGAATCGCTAGTTAAATAAAGGTATTTTCCCACCCTGAAAAGCCAATCTTTATTTTTCGCTTTGATTATTGCAAAAGTGTGTATGGGAATGAGCTCGACGGAACCGGTCGCAAAAACTTATGTTCCCAAATTCTCTGCTCTCTGATTTTCCGTTGTAAATTCCTCTATATCAACCCTTTTCCAGATGGACATAAAAGCCATAACTAACAACTTGGCCAAAGGATCGGACTGCCTTGTTTCTAGGTAATTCTGAAGCGCTTTGCCCTGAATTCACCAGTTTTTAGTTTCACAGGCCGGGGCCTGGCCGCGTTCATCGACGGCAAGGTGGAGCTGTACCTCGACTGTTCGCGAAACGATGGCAACATTTCCTTTGCCAGCAAAACGGTAAATTAACCCTTCTTTTCCCCTTTGAATTTCTTCATTTTGAGGTGCTCGTGCCGTGTCCCTCAATCGGCTCGCCAATAACGAGGATCTCTACCTCGCCCAATGGTTCGCAAATTGCCCTCATCGGCAAGAAGTAGGGCTGCCTGAATGCGCTGGATATAATGTGTTCTTTTTTAGTGATATCTGGATCGTGCGGGTTAGCCCTCAAGTCTGGGCCACATCGGCGTTGATTGGAAGCTCGCGCTTTATGCAGGAGAGCTATCTATCAGAGTATGGCTTCAGTTTTCAGAGTTAATTTTATTTTAGAACGATTCGCGTCGGTCCAAAGGAGTCTTTCCCAAGCATCGTCGGGAATGCCGTCAAATGGCTGCCCACTTCCGACTCTTCCAAAACACAATACATCTCGATTTTGGCCAGGGATCGGATTAGGTAAGCGGATTTCCGCATTTTTTTCGGTTCTTTTGCATTACCGTTTCTAAATGCTGTTTTAGTATTCCTAAGCGTGAAAACTCTACAAAGTTTTCAAAACTTCTTAGAAGTGTTGTGTATTTTTCTAGTTGAAATGTGGTTTCTTTTTAACAAAAATCGTATTAAAACACGAGCTATTAAGTTACTAGAAATTTCTATACTTATATAAAACCTCGCTTTTTCATGTTGCAGTTTAGGATCTACAACGTTGACGAGTCGCACGATTGCCCGCTGTTCGATATCGAGTACGACGGGCTGTTGCCGAACGATCGGACGATGGTCAAGGGCGAATCGACCTACGGGCTTTCGGTGCGGATAGCAGCCTATTGCTTCTTGAACCAGGCCGGCCTCTACTATCTGCTCGCCGTCGATTCCGAGGGCAACATCAGCGCCTGTGATTTTGACGTGATTACGGGCGCTATAACGGATCCGATCCCGGTCAAGACACCGGTAAAAAACTGGAGCGATACGTATATCTCCCTTTTTAGGAAGCGATCCCATGCGAGGCCGTCGACTTCTACCATATTGAGCACGCCAACTCGGCGCTTTTCGACGTGGTCGGCCTGATCGGCAGCGGCTTTTCCCTCGTCCATTTGATCGCCTTTGTCAACGATGATGGATACGTTGAGTACGATTTTTGAATCATCTTTGAGGCATTATTTTTGCAGGCTTTATCTGCAAGATCAACACCGTCTGTCGTCTGATTCACCGGGCGATGAACCGGCCGTCGCCGCCGATCTCCTCCAGAACGGCACTTATTTGGTAGCTTTTGTCATACGTTTTGAGCCCCATTTTTTTTAGATCTCAACCTCGTTCGCTCTTCTCTACGTGAATTGTCTGCCGTGGATTGCCCACTATCTGGATGCGGCCTCGTCGAGTGGAGATCAAACGTCGTTCTCCGAGATTCTGCGCGTGCAGCCGGACACCGAGAATAAGGTACATCGAATTCCGAACTTGCTATGTTTTCTGCATGATCTATTCTTATTTTATGGCTGAACGACGCTTTGCTCTCGCCCCCCCCGGCCGGAAGTTACACATTTTTTTTTGGAAGCTTCCCTTATTTTTCAGGATTTTGACTACACCATTCGATAGAGCATCAAAAATTCTACGAAGGTTTTAATTACAGCCCAAAGTAAAGCACTAGAAAAAAGTTTAGCGAAAAAAAAATTTGGGAACTTCCGGCTGGGAGAGGGGGTAAAGTAAAGCCTAGCCTATTTTATCAGTATCTGTTTTAGGAAAACGGCATCGCGACTCTCACCTCATCTACCCCTCCACTCATCATCCACACCCGCAGCTTCGACGGCTCGGTCTCCCCGAATGGTCTCCTCCTCATCCACGCATCACCTGATCTCCCCACTGCTTTTATTAGGTATACATTTTTCGGTTAATTTTTTTATCTACCCATTACCCATTTCCAGTCATCAACTCCCCGCCGCTCCGACTGCCACCGCGCCCGACACCCAATTCCTCGAGCCGAACCCGCGGGCCGACAAATTCCATCTGGAGATCGAGACGATCCTGTCGAAAGTCGAGCCGCTCACAAGACCGTAAACCATTTGATTTTTGAAAATAGAACTCCATTTCTAGCATTCCCCTCCAAAACGAGGAGGACATCATCGCCCAGCTCACCCGACTGCTCGCCATCGGGACGGCCAATTGTGAGAAGCAGAGTGAGGCTGCGCGTGCCGCTCTCGCCCACGTGCGCGGTATCTTCGATTCGCTGAAGGGCGCCGTGAAGGAGCATCAGGTATATTTCTGTTTACTTTTCGCGGTCTCTTGTGCAGAATTTTATGGAGTAAAGCGTACTTTTTAAAATCTATAAAAACGACCAGTTTAAATCGGTATAAAGATTGAATGTGATAAATTGTACATCAAAAAAGCAGCGTTGTTGATTTTTACCCAGAAGCCTCCTGGCTTCTTTGGACTGATCGTTTCGCTGATTCCACAAAGTACGCTTTTCTCAGCAATAAATTCTGCCCTAAAAACGTCGCCTTGTTATTTTGTTTTTCCAGGACCTAACGACTCGCCAGAATGCCGTGGTGGCCCAGATGACGGACAACTCGGACAAACTGTGCGAGGCAAAGTCTCGGATCTTGTCTGCTGAGGATCGGCTGAATCGGGTATCATCTCCAGATCCCGTTCCATTCAATGGCTTTCTAGATATTTACAACGGCTTGCGCAAATCTGCCGCTTTCCGACGACGAACAGAAGATCCTGCAACGACTGCAGGCTTACAAGAAGGATGTGGAAAGGATGGAGGTCGCCCTTGCTAAGGTATTTTTTTGTCTTGAAAATTGGAAAATTGGAAAATTGGGTTCTTTCAAGTTATCGGAGGGGTGCTATTTTTGTCTTCGGAGCCAATTTTACTGCTATGCTATTCCGCAACGCAAATACTTTGCAAATTTGTATCTAAAAAAATAGCGAAAATTTCGGTTTTCGAACAAAACTGGCCGTTTTTTGACCAAAATCTCGACTTTTCCAACATTTTTTAGATAGTTTTTCTAGCCTAAATGAGTTCAAATAAACTAAAAACACTAATAAAACGGAGCTATTGATGTTGGGGGGGGCATCTTTTTTTGGAGGTTTTTTCGGCCTAAGCTTGTCTCCAAGTCTAAGCTAACCAAGCCCAGCCCAGCCTAAGCATAACCTAAGCCAAGCCTAGACGTAAGCCCAATCCTAAGCTAAGTCTAGAACAAGCCTAAGCTAGGGGTGGGCCAAGCCTAAGCTAGGCCTAGACTAAGCCTAGACTAAGCCTAAGCTAAGCCAAAACCAAGCCTAAGTTAAGCCTAAGCCTAAGCCAAGCCTAGGCCTAAGCTAAGTATAAGCCAAGCGTACGCGAAGTCAAAGCTAAGCCTAAGCCTAAGACTGGGCGCCAAAAAAAAGATGCCCCCCCCCCAACATCAATAGCTCCAATAAAACAGTTCCTATTAGGTCTTAGGCGTCAAAAAAAGGTTCGCTCCTCCCCCGATAATGGGAAAGAACCGAAAATTGATTTTAGAAAACCCTCGAATTGGCGATGGAAGGGAAAAAGCGACTGCCGCCGACCCGTTCGTTCGTCTCGACACCACAGGGACGCCAAGCGAATACGCAGAGATGGTATGATAATGATTGCTGACAAAATATGTATTCTTTTCTTTTAGTGTCCGTGAAGTGGAATGTCTGGTGGAACGGATGGATGGGCTGAAGAGTCGTGCCGATGCCCTCGCCAATAATTCCCTATAGTAGTCGAATAGTGGTTGATATTTCTATGATTACGGTTTCTACGTGCGTGTTTGTTGTTTTCATATATGGGTTGTGCATAAATCGTCTCGAAACTATTTGTGGCTCTGGCTACCGTAATCTCCGTGAATTGACGGGTGGATTATCGATTATTTTGCGATTTCTGCTGATTTTGAGTTTTTTCTAGCATCTGAATTTCAACCGCTGGGTCCGTCTCGTTTTTTCTTTTATTCGGTCCTTGTCTGTTAACGGGGGTGGGTTTAAATTTGTTTTTCTCGCTAGAAATCCCCCATTAACAGTTTTAGATATAGAACGTGCTATTCTTTCGTAAGGCGTATATTAGTCTGTTAATTTCTGTCACGTTTCAAGTGTTTATTTGCGCTCGTTCTCTTTTTTGATTCCTCTCTCTCGATTTCGTCCAACACTCATTTCCAGGATGTCCGTGTCCCGTCGTCTGCAGAAAGAACTCGGCGACATCCAGAACTCCGGCGCCAAGGCCTACGGCAATGTCGAGTACAGCGAGAGCAACCTGCTCCACTGGACCGTCACGCTTCTTCCCGACCAAGAGCCCTACTCCAAGGGCGCCTTCCGCGTCCAAATCGATTTCCCCGCCGACTACCCGTTCAAGCCACCGAAGCTCACCCTCCTAACCAAGATCTACCACCCAAACGTCGATGAGCAAGGCCAGATCTGCCTCGGCATCGTCCACCCGGACAACTGGAAGCCCGCCACGCGCGCCGAGCAGGTGCTGCTCGCTCTTCTTCAGGTAGCCCCCCCTTTTCCCGTTGCGTTGAATAGCCCTTCTTTTTCAGCTGATCAACTACCCGGAGCCGGACCACCCTCTTCGCGCCGACGTCGCCGACGAGTACACCAAGGACAAGAAGCGCTTCATGAAGACCGCCGAGGAATTCACGAAGAAGCACGCGGAGAAGCGCACCGATTAGTACAACGCCCAATTCTCCTCCCCGCTCTTCCCCCCGTCCATTTCTATGCTCCAATTTTTCCGTAAAACCTCTACGGCGCTAAAATCTTCTAGAACCAAACTCAAATAAATCCCGAACCGCGCAAATATTGTCCAAAATTAGTTTGTCGGTTTTTGATATGCAAAATGTTTCGTGTAGCCCCCAAATAGACTTTGAAGATCGGCATCTGGGTGAAGTCTCACTGCCAAACGTTCGCATTCCAAGTTTACGCTAGATTTCGATTTTTCCGGATGCCGATTTTGTTGTCTATTCGAGGGTGGCCCGGAGTCCTTGCAAATTTTCGTCGATTTCTTCAAAAAAATTCAATTCATCCAGCCTATGGGTACCCGTGCTGCGTGTTTCCTCTCTCTCCTCTCTCGCGCCCCCACCATTTTGACCGACCCCTTCCGATCGTGTGCACCTGTGTTGTGATATCATTCGTTGGCGGGAAGTGGGCGGCAGAAAAAGCGGAAGTTTCCCGTTCGACCCTGTCATTTACCGCCGGGCCCTCCCTTCAAGTCAACGCCAATATATATGCTTTCTTCGGTGATTTCAACGTTTATTTGATTTCTCTCGTTCCCCGGTTCTTTTCCCTGATTTTGCGATATAAATAAATTTAGATGCTGGCGCGGGCGCTGCTGAAAAGGGCTCACGGGACGCTGAAGACGGCACATCGGGTAATCCATTCATTTCGGTTTTAACCTGAATTTTTTTAGTCGACATGGGTGTTACAACGAGTCAATCTGCCTGAAGCCACGCCAATTGGAGCTGTACAACGAGACCCGGCCGAGCTGTCGATCACGCAAAGATTGGAGGTATCTGGCTTTGATTTTTTTACGTTATTTTGTTTAGGTGGTCGAACAGGAGCCAACGACCCCGACGGGCAATCTGCAGCTGATTCTGCTGGAAGATGTGGAGGGCGTTGGGCATCAATTCGACTTCGTCTCCGTGGAGACGAACCTTGCCCGCACGGAGCTGCTCCCCACTCGAAAGGCCGTCTACGCGTCCCCATTTGACCTCAAGTACTATGGGGATATGAAGGAGGTAACCAGCTCTCAATTAAATTGGATAATTTCTTTTTTTTAGAAAATGAAAGACGAACTGGCGGCCCGCGTGCGAATCCCGTACGACTATCTCGTCGTTGGGCGCAAATTGAAGAAGATGGTCATTCCCATAAAGGTATATCTTTTCGAAAAACTCATCGGAAACCCCTTTTTTAGGTGAGCATGGAGAATCAGTGGGCGCTGAACAAGACGATCGTCAAGACATCATTGCGGCAAACGGTTTAGATACAATCACTTTCATTAATACTTGTTTTAGGGCGTAGCACTGGTTGACGACGCAATATACGTGCCCGATCAGCCGTCAATTTCCGGGCCGAACCCCGAGCTCGAGGCCAAGCTTTTCCGGTTTTACGTTGTGGTACGCTGATTTGAAAAATGCTTTTATAGTGCTTTTCAGGTTGGAAAGCAGTACATCGTGCCGATGGTTGGCCGGATAGCCCATGTATCCACAGATGAGACCAAAAAGGTATAACGCTTTTTTGAGGCCGAAAACTTATTGTTTAGGTGATCACCGTCGAAGGAGTGAAGGAGCCGACGGATGCCGAACTGTCTCGCCATGGGCTCCGGGCTGAAGAGTGCTATTTCCACAAGACGCCCACAGTCGAGGGATCATTTGATGTGTTCGGCGTCATGAAGAAGCGATAGCTGTCCCCTTTTTCACATGCATAGTGTTACCCCATTAGTGTAGTTTCAGATTCGTTTTCTTTGTTCGTCTTTTTCCTTGTTCTCGTTGGTCTTTGTGTGAAGAATAAATTGTTCAAGATCTCTATTTTGTGTTTTTTTTAATCTTTATTATGGGTTTTGTGCCCTGATTTTCTTTTTATTGATGTTTTAATATAATTTTCAACATTGGCCGGGTCCGTTCGCGACGCTACCGAAACTTTCTTTAGTTTTTGCATAACAAAATGAAAAACGGGCTTATTAGACATAAAATCATCTTCCCGGCGCCATCTTTAAATGTTTTGAAAGCGTTATTTTCTTCACGGCTTCATACGTCTTTTTCAGTCCTCTCAACAACTCGCAACCATGGTGCAAGAAAGTACGATGATTTGGTGAGTTTCTGTTCTCAAAATCTCAATCATATCCCTTTTTTAGCGTCGACAATTCGGAGTTTATGCGAAACGGGGACTACGTGCCCACTCGACTCCAGGCCCAACAGGATGCCGTCAATTACGTAATCAACTGCAAGCTGCGCGCCAACCCCGAGAATGCTGTCGGCCTGTTGGCCATGTCTGGGTCAGTTTGTCGTCCGTTTTCTTCATTGTTCTTCTTTTTCAGTGATGTGACGGTGCTGTCGACAATGTCTCAAGAAGGCCCTCGTCTCTACATGAAACTCCACGAATTGGCTCCCAAGGTATTCATTCACTCTTGTTTTTAGTCATCACGTTTTTAGGGAGATTGCAAGTTCATCTCGGCCATCAAGGTGGCTCATTTGGCGTTGAAGCATCGACAGAACAGGAACCATCGTATGCGCATCGTGCTCTTCTACGCCAGCCCGGCCACTCACCTTGAGGGCCAAGAGGTAGTTTTTGATCATCTACTTCAACCCGGCTCTTTTCAGCTGCTGAAAGTTGCCAAGAAATTGAAGAAGGAGAAGGTGTCGGCTGATGTCGTCTGCTTTGGAGAGGTGCGTTTTGCTTTATTTTTGATTATATTGCACCTAGGTTGACGAGAAGAATGCCGCCGTCTTCGAGGAGTTTGTCGAGACGATCAATGGAAAGTGGGTATTTTTGTTTTTGGTCTTTTTAGTTCGGGGGCGAATCGAAAAACTGTTTATTTTCAGAGATGGTGGCAACTCGCATCTTCTCGTGATCCCGGGCGGCAACTCTCTGACGGAGGCCCTTGCCAACAGCGCCGTCTGCCGTGGAGAGGATGGGGCCGCTTTGCCGGTAAATTGATCCGTTTTGCTCTGAAAGTTTTTGTTTCAGCCTGGCGGTGCTGGATTCGAGTTCGGCGACCCGGAAGACGATCCGGACCTCGCATTGGTAAGCTTTTCATTGAATTCGGCGTAATTTACTGATATTTAGGCTCTCCGTGTTTCGCTGGAGGAGCAGCGTGCCCGTCAGGCTCAAGACACGGCCGCTACCGGCAATAATGTACGTTTTATTCTTTTTGTATCATTTCGCATCTGCTTTGTAATTTTTCGGAAATAATTATCTGTTTTTCAGGATTCTCCACCAACTGAACACGCTCCGCCGGTGCCGGACGTGATGGAGATGGACCTCGGGACGATGAGTGAGGATCAACAACTCGAATGGGCTCTGAGGATGAGCATGCAAGAGGGAGGACAAGCCGACGTTGCTCAAGATCACACGATGGATACCACCGCTCCGCAGGTAATTTGTTATGCAAAAATTTCTTGTATTTGAAAGTGATTCCGCGATTTCAAAGCATTCAGAAAGGCCGTTTTGTCAAATGTTGGATTTTAGATTTAAAATATTTTTTTTCAGGGCTCGAACGATGGCGACGATCTGATGAACAACCCGGAGCTGCTGCAACAACTCGTCAACGATCTGCCCAGCGACGCGAGCAAGCCGGACAACAACAAGAAGGAGAAGAAGGCCGAAGACGGACCCTCCAAATAATTCTCCCTTTCTCATCTCTCGCTCACTTCCGGCCATCCATCTCCTCTTGCATAGCCCACTTCTTTCTTCCGCCCATCTTTTTGTATACCCCATCGTCACCTATCCATAATTTATTACAATGGTCGGGCAGCATTCGTGTGTATGTGATTTCGTTGGTGAGCCCTCAATAAATTTGAGTTTTTATCAGGAGGTAGAAATCTTTCACTAGTCAGGCGAAAAAAATTCTTTTTGAAAAGGGCTTTTGGTTGTGGCAGAAAGAGCTGAATTCTCATGGCAACAAAAAGTGCTAAATTCGTTTCAAACACTCAAAAATGCGCAAAATGTGGGATCAATCAAAAGGGGCGGCTTAGTTTTTAGCAGTTTCCGTTCCGTTCTGTATTATGATCTATTTCCACCTTCTTGAAATTAATCTGGAGACTATATCCTCTATGACCACATTTAGTCACACGTTCATTCAGATTTTGAATAGCCAGCAACTTTTTGTTGTTCCGGCATTTTGTGGCATTTTTCAGAGTTTGAAAGAAATTTAGCACTTACTTTTGCCACCAGAATTCTTTTCTTTTTGCAACAGCCAAAAGACACTTTTTTTAAAAACTCTTGTTAGACTCACTCAAAAACTCACGTATGCATTGAAAGGGCAAGCGTGTGCAGGGAACCCATAGGAAATCCCTAGTCTACAGACTGTCCCAAAAAGAAGGCCTGTCGAATCATTTCACTGAATATTTAGGGGGTCGTATGCCACGGAAGCTTCTGAAAAAAATGGAAAATAAAGTTATTTTTGCCACAACTCAAAATCCAGTTATTTTCTCTACTAATACTCAACAAAGTCAAAGCGGGCAATAGGTCAAGGTCCTGGTTATTTAGGGTATCATGCAATTCTGGTCAGATTTTGGGGCTGATCGGGCGTGAGGCGGCCAAATTCCGAGTGGGCTGCTCGCTGCCCTTTTGGCCACCCTGCACGCTGGTCCACATAATTATGGAGCCACCCACAATTTTTCGAAAATCTCAATTTTAGGGTGACTTCAGGGAACACTTTGTATTGGTGAAAGAAGCCGTATAGCATCATAACTTGACACAACAAGCCCGTTCTTTCATTCAAGGACACAAAAAAATTTAAGGAAGAAAAAAAAGGCACTTCGAAAATCCGCATAATTATAGTCACTCAGGCAAAATGTTTATAAAACAAGGAAGCCCGATAACAAACAAACGGATTCAATAATCGGCGTATATTAGTGCTTAATAATATTAGTGCTTCGACCTATTAGCGTGAGGATAATCAATCAGGGATGTCTATAGAGCATCCCGCAAATTCGAATCTGCGACATCTGCATGAACGAGAACCACTCTCGCTTAACTACTTATAGCTCTGCCCCGTTAGCTAGCTAAAATGCTAAGAGTTGTTGCTAAAAGTTCTGGTTCTTTTCCATTCTGGGAGTGGAGTTCGTCGCCTTCTTCCCAACATTTTCTGAGTTTTCTGTTACATTCAGTGCCAACTGGAAGAATTGTTTGCGGTGGCTAGAATGTTTGAAATGGGCCTCCTACCCGACGCCCTCTTCTCCGCCGTTCTCGACCAGCTCGGCGTCATCGGGATGCTCAAATTACGGGACGTCAATCGAAACTGCAGGTAGGCTTATTTCTTCTTTGTGAGAAAAAATGTAGTTGTCATTATAGAGATCGGTTTTTGGAACCATTACCTTTTCGCTGCGAATTTTCCGCCATTCGCGAAAGCGGGTGCAGACGAGCATTTACAAAAAAGTCTCCGACCGAAAAAGCTCAAAACAACCTTGAAAAACAGCCTCATGCGTCCTAAAGTCTCCTTTACTAGCCGTCAGGCGCGTAGAAGGGGGCCCGAAAAAAACATAAGGGTCCCCCCTTATGATTTTTTTCATCTTAAAAATTTTTTCGCCTGCGGCGCTGTTTTTATTACTTTTTATTAATTTTTTTGCCTGCGGCGCTGCTATTTTAGCAAAATTTTTCGCCTGCGGCGCTTAAATTTCGAAAAAATTTTCTTGCTGCCCCCTCCGAAATGTCGCTGCCCCCCCCCCGAAACTTGGGGCCAGCTACGCCCCTGCTAGCCGTGACTTCCCCCCAATTCATTTTATGAATACCGGAAAATAGACCTCCCGAACCCCCCCTCTTTCCCCCTTTATCCCCTTTTACCCCCCAAAAAGCCCCCCTCCCGAGCCCCCCTCTTTCCCCCTCGGCGCCCCCCTCTTTCCCCCTCCCCAGCCCCCCAAAGTCCCCCAAAAAACCCCCCATTTTCCCCCTCCCAACCCCCCTAGTCGAAAAACGGAGACCATAAAGTATCGGTAAAAACAGAGACTATATTCTCTTCCATTCCCCAAACCGTTTAATTATTATATTTGAGTAGAAAAACACTAAATTCACAAAGAAAGCTTCATTTTACCATGGTGGCTAGGAAAACCAGGGCGGCAAGGCAAAAAGCGTCGAATTAAACGAAATATCGTCAACCGGTGATGCGAATCTTCATCTACTGCTTTTTACTTTATCTATATTATTTAATTTCAGCAAAAAAACCACTGAAAACCACGTATTTTTAACATTTTCTAAACCAAAACTTTTTCTACACCTAAAATATGGCGAGAAAACAGCTGTCTGCTGTAGAGATCTATCTGTAACCTTCAAATATGCATTTTTGCTGCTAATAGAAAGCTAAAAAACAGGTATAACAAATTTAATTTAGTTTTTCATCTCGCAAAAACCCCCCAAAAAGTCCCCCTTTACCCCCCAAAAAGTCCCCCTTTTTCCCCCTCCCGAGCCCCCCATTTTCCCCCTACCCAACCCCCCATTTTCCCCCTACCCAGCCCCCCTCTTTCCCCCTCCAACCCCCCTGTTTAGGGGGAAAGAGGGGGGGGAAACGGGAGGTCTACCGGAAAACATAAAGAAGACTTAGAGTTTGGCAGGTTTTATATTTTTTGACCCAAGATAGCGGAAATTTAATTTTCGTAGTGTCGAAAAATTCGCGTACGTCGTAACTGTCTTCTTCACTCCTTTCAGGGCGGCAGTAAGTCAACGCGGATTGATGCCGAGAAAAATACTGCGGCTGAAGTTACTTTCACGCATTCGAGGACCAGACGATGAAATTGAAGGAAAAGATATGGATGGGGTTGAAGATGGCTATCAAAGGGTATACTTGCAAGGACGCTTTTTGGGTGGACATGGAGTTTCGAAATGAGACCAGACCTAACTTACGTAGCATTTTTCGTTGAGCGGCTGCACTTATCGTCAAAAAATTTTATTTGATACTACAGGGTGCGTCAAAAAAAAAGAACGAAGTTTGCACTGAAATATCTCCTGAACGGAAACGAATCGGACCATGGTTACCTTGCCAGAATGCTTAAATATGCTGGGCATGAAGAAATAACACAAGTTGTTTTTTAAGATTTTTGACGACCAGTGGGTCGTTAAAAAGTTTTGAACATTTTTGAAAAAGTAAAAAACTTTGAAGCGATAAAGTATGGAACTTTTGATGAGTTAGCGGGACTTCAAGGGTATCAAAATGAAGCTCTTGGAATGCGCTATCAAACCAGTGGTAAAGAATTTTGATAGGTTTAACTAACCGTCAATAGGAGCCCTTGGAAAAAACGGCCTTTTCGGGAATGGGCGATTCCGAGTTGACCATAAAAAGCCTATCGCCCTCATAACTTTTTGTGTTGATTAAATTTAATGCTGTTTGCCAAAGCTAATCATGCTACCATTTTAACTATATTAAAGTAAAACTTGCAGTTTCGACCGACTTGGCAGGCTGCCAAAAATATTTTTGATCGGGATTTTGAAAATCTTGATGCCAAAAGTTAGTCGTTATTTATATATTGCTAGTTGCAAATTATCAGAAAGATCGGATGGTAAGAAAATTTTATCTGGAACTTTTTCTTCAAAAAGTCCGTTTTTTCCAAGGGCTCCTATTGACGGCTAGTTAAACCGATCAAACTCCTTTACCACTGGTTTGATAGCGCATTCCAAGAGCTTCATTTTGATACCCTTGAAGTCCCGCTAACTCATCAAAAGTTCCATACTTTATCGCTCCAAAGTTTTTTACTTTTTCAAAAATGTTCAAAACTTTTTAACGACCCACTGGTCGTCAAAAATCTTAAAAAACAACTGGTGTTATTTCTTCATGCCCAGCATATTTAAGCATTCTGGCAAGGTAACCATGGTCCGATTCGTTTCCGTTCAGGAGATATTTCAGTGCAAACTTCGTTCTTTTTTTTGACGCACCCTGTATTGAAGTGGCGCGTTCTTTTTTGCCCCATACTTTTTGCTCAATCTCTAGAAGGGTTTGTTAATTATCAGATAATGGTTGCCGAGACGAAAGTATGGATTGAGGATGTATATGGAACAGTTATATATTACCCCAAATACGATATCACCAAACGAATTGGACTCTATTCTCGATGGCCACGTTATGGCGGTCAACATTGCGGACGAGGGTTTCAGTAAGCATGGTAAAAAAATTTATCGATGATGCAGATCTTACAAAACGGACGGATTGTCAATCGATCGATTCCTGCCCTTTCTTCTCCACATCCGTTGTCCAATGTATTTGTGGATTGCGTTGACGCCCGGTTTTGAGCAGGTCTTTCTTCGCATATACCGGTTGTCCCACACCCCCCCCGCCAGGCACTATAGCCGCACGCAGACGTGTCCGATTTTTTCGTTTTTATATATAAAAAAGTGTCTGTGTGTGTGCCACTTTGCATCCACTTCCGGATCGTTGTTCCAGTCATATCTCAAGAAGGGTAGATATCTAAGGGGCATATGATACGTCATTAGGTGCGTAATGGTCTTGGGATGACTGCACACATATTCTCTCTTTTAAATTTAGGCATTTTCGATATTAAATTTAATTTTTTGTGAAAGGACTTTTGTTAGGAAATAATTAGCATAGACCGGAAGTGGGGAGTCGTCTATATAAAGGGGTAAACGCAACTGTTTTCCCATTTTTTTGTCATCTGAATTCAGGAAAATTATGCAAA